ATATTAGAAAAATGAAATAAAATGTTTCATGTTACACTTTTTTTTATCTATATACATGGATCATAAATACTTTGTGTAAATATTTGTGTTTTCATGGATTCATAAAACATTTCATTGCACTATTGAAAATTTTTCTTCAATCCCTATAATGATTCAAGAATCTACAAATTCGGTTCACTTATATTTGATTTTCACATCCAATTGATTATTTAATAGGATTTTTTACTCCAAAAATACAAAAAAAAATTATTTAGATTACATCCGTGTGATCAATAATTAAATTAAATATTGCTATAAGTACACAAAAAATTTGAATTGTAATATACTTCACTACAAATGAGAAAAAATTTGCAATGTTTTACATTTTTTCTTGTTTAAAATTTATAAGCATCAAATTAACTTCAAACATACTCATTTTGTTACGTGCTACAATGTTTTCTAACTTATGTATCTACTTTTTATCAATCAAAAATTAATTATTTCGAAGCTACACTATCTTTTATGTTCTATTAGCAATCATAGATTGCATTTATGCTTCATAAAAACATATCAATCAAGTTTATTGATAGTGAATTGAGCTTTTTCAATAGAATTAAGTACCTTCTTTCAAGATCAATTCATTTTCATCATCATCTTTGATTTTAATATCTTGATTTTCATAAATAGTTGAATTAAACTATATTGTATATCTTGCAAGAACTATATTAAATCAATTTAGAAACTCTTATTGGGTGTTTCTAAATAATTTTTTAAGTCTCACCAAAATATATATTTTTTCTTCAATTCCTAGTTATAAGGAATTTTTTCATCCTTGAAATTTTCACTAGTGTCATAGCATTAAATTTCAAATGATCAATCTATTCCTCACAAAAAACTTATTAAAGGAAAAAATCTATTGACAATAATCTTAAACATAATTGAATCTCATAACTATAATGCTTCACACCAATAGCAAATTCAAGATAACAATATTTTTTAGATGTTATATAAGATTTGATATTAATATTTTTATGAAAAATAATATATTAAGTTAAATCAAATAATTATAATCAATCATCCGTTTGCTCAATAATTTTAACTATGGTAAAAAAATTGATTGGCTTATAAGTATAAATCTATCAAGTACATTAATTTTTTTAAAAAAAATTTGCTCAAATTTTGTGATATGCATTAAATTGATTCATTCAACTGTGAATTTGTACCATCATTTTTAGATTAAATCTATTGAAAAAATCCATTTATTTCGGATTATACATTGTTGTAAGTTTAAAAATGACGGACTCCTCTCTGTTGCATTTCTAAATTTCTTAAAAACATTTTGATCATTATCCTCACGTAAAGTTTTCATCTTGTGATTTGATTTGATTTGATTTAAATTTGCAATATTTAATTTTCTAAAGTTGTTAAATTTCAAAATCTTGTCTGAAATGAAATCCAAATAAAATCTTGAGTGATCTGCGATTTTAGTACATTTGCATATGACTTTTTGATAATTCAAAATGATTTTGGAAGATTGAATAACATCTATATTTATAAGTAAATATTTTTTTCAACATTTAATCCATTCCTCATTCAACAGAAAATCTTATGTACACTTTAAGACACTTTGTAAATCCAAATTTTTAATGATGAAACAATTCAAGAAAAAATTTTATTTTAAAATTTCTTTACAATTATTATTTTTCCTTTCTTTGAAATAATTTTATAGTTATCAAAAAAAAATATAAAAACTAAATCTATCATAAAATTATTTTTCATTTGTTAATCTTGCTTAGTTTAATTTGGATAGGTAAAATAATTTTTGAATAATATTATATGGCAACATGTTATTAATCTATTCAGATCCTATAGTAGTTTCTTTCTTCCTAACTTGACATGAGAACATGTCATTGAGTATCTTGAAATCTTTGAAATTCAACCTGTCACTAAATAAAAATTTAACTTAATTCAATCAATTAAAAGTTTTTTACTTAGTCAAACTATTCAAAATTAATAGGTGGTCAAAATATTTTTTGCAATCTAAACTAAAAAAAATGGTGATGTTCATTCACAAATTTCATCAAAATAGAAATAATGGAAAATTATAATAATGATTAAAATGATCATAATTAATTTTTTCAACAATTTCAATTATTTTATCATTTTAAAATATTACTATTATGTATTCTACAGGTCATAAATAAGTCTATGGTGAGTGTACTCAAATGCCATTCTCTGCATACTCAAGTGATTACTGGAAGTTTTGAATGTCAACTTCAAAAGTTTTATTATGATGCTTTTGCATAACATAATGCTCATGAAAATCTACTAACGTTAATTTATTAATGTCAAATAACAAACTAAAATTCTAAAGTAGTGTCAAGTATATATTTGTCACATGTCATAGTATGGAATGTGGCATATGAGCCATCTCACTTTGAGATCTAATAAAGTTGAATTTATCAGAAACAATTTTGCTCTCTCATATGTATACACATCTATGCTTGTTACCTGTCAACATAATTTTATTACATAATCTCAACTTGAGCATTTTATTTCTAAAACACATTCAATACTTTTAGAGATTAACTTTTCAAGATATGATTTTTTAATATTATATGTAAATATAACTTGAATCAGTATATGATGAACTTCATTAAAAATTTACAGATCTCTAATTTAATACTTTCAATTTCATATATTGAATATTTTTATAAAAGTTGAATAGTTAAAAACTAAAATTAAACTAACGTTTTGAATGTGATAACAACTATAATTCAGAATAAATACATCATCAACATTCTTTGATGGATTGTATAATACATAGTTTTGGCTTCATAATTTATCATTGAGCAAATCATCTTCCTTATCATCAAAATCATGAAAAGAGATTCAAACAGTATTTAGCTAAAAGAATATTAGTAGAGTTTAATCTTCACACAAAAATCATTCATTAAGTTGTTGTTTTTGCCACAATTTCGTTTGTATTGTCTTCATCTCTCAAATTTAATCCTTATACTTGGATCGACTTCTATATCTAAAATTCTTGTCATTTTGTGAATTACATTATCTTTGAGTTAGATTTAGCGTCATGTCGAATAAAGAAGATGGAAGAGATAACATTGAAATCAATGTTACATTGAAATCATTGAAATGAATGATGCAAATTTGATGAAGTTAGAGGATAGATATAGAACTAGATAGCTATATAAGCAATTATTGATATCATAATAATCTACGATTCATTTAGACAATTCAGAAAATCAAATAAATAATTGATTTAAAAAATAACTTAATTTATTTTATTAAGTCTACATCTTCAGAATAACATTTTTCTTTTATAAGACCATAAATTAGTGGGATTTAGAAATTCAATAAGTCTCTTACATGATGGAAATTTAACTAGTTTAATTAACTCTGATTTAGCTAGTTAAAATTAATCAAGACCTCAATTAAATTTCTAAACACATCACGTCATAGGATTAAATGCTTATAAAATTTTGCATTGATATTTAATATTCTTGTCCACTTTTTATTAAAAAAAAGGTAAAAATTAGTCAAAACATTTGAAAGAGCATTTGAGTATATGTTTTTTTGCCAAATTTAATAGAATTTTTTCTACTATTTTATTATATGTGCAGAATATTACGTGGCATATACAAGGTTTGATGTTAGTTGGAGATGATTTTAATGTTATACACAATGTCAAGAATTATGAATTTACTCTTTAAGTGGGCTAATGTGCATTCAAATGCATTTAAGCTACAGGGCTTTCTTATATGGGAATATTAGAACGTGAAATACATTTTTTGTAACTCTTATTGCAAAGTTAAACATTTCTGTAACCTACCTGAGTTTTTTTTTAAAATATATCCAATAATCTACAGTCAACCAAGATTTCACTGAAGCTATGATGGAAAATTTGGAGAATTATTGGCTTCAAAGCTTGAGGAATACAGAGTAGTTACTCTAATTAATGTTTATAACTTCAAAATACAAAAAGTTACTACTCGAGAGCCACAAAAATCTACTGTGAATCAGTGTTGTCCACGCTAAATATATTATATCAAAATGTGTCTCATTTTTACCAAAAACAGAAAGAGGAAAAGACACGGAGAAAGTGGAAGTTTCGATATACGCTCTTTGTATACGCATTTAGGGGCACTTCAATCCATCTTAGTGTACCATCTTTCAACTATGTAGGTGCAAAGTGTTCAGATAGCCTGATGGTCATTCCAAAGAGTAGCTTAAAAGAGAACGAAAAGTATATGATCATGCAGTACCGACAGTAGTGCTGGCATGGCCTGCATCGTTTGTTTTGCAAATTGTAGACGTCTTATCGTTCACTCATTACTCAAATATCTCACATCTCTGCCAGTTGAGATTTGTCCGCCTATCTGATTATCGTTCAACTGATAAAGTTCGCAATCTCCCAAGCCATACTTTTAGAAAATCGTTTCCTTTTGAGAAGAGGTTGGTTATGAAATAGAATGCACCAAAAAACACGTCTGTGTAGCAGTACCTTGACTACATCTAGAGGTGTAATAAATAGCACAAAGGATGGAAAGAGCCCATCAAGTTGTACATGGATGAAACCAAGCGGGTACGATGGGAATAGGCCCCAATAGCATTACAATGATTTTCTTCCATACAATTGAGAAAATGGTTGTTAGCAATTAGCAACTCATGTCAAGAGTGCACGTTTGAATCCTTGATTTTGTCTTTTACAGAATGTGCCAAAATGCATTTAAGGACTATTTTTGAATTATTTGCAACATAGCTGAGAAACAGACGCTTGTCCCACAGGCTCACGACTGACTATGGCTAAACTTGTGGTGACGGGTCTCCAGACGAACTGCGCTAAACGTTCGCAGTTAGGGGCCTTGACCACTGCAGTCACGGTGGGTATGGTAGCAGACAAGCTGGACGAGCTCCGCAATTCACAAGTGGAGGTCTTCCTGAGACAGCAGGTGGCGAGATCTCTGCTTGGCACATAGGACTGGCCTCCATGCAGTGCCGACTGAAGTGCTGCTCTGTATCAATATGCAACAGCAGTGAGGTGTTCAGAGGCTGTCGTGCTGAAGGAACGGGTATCATCGACCTTCTGATTCGAAGGTCGCTGCGATGGTTTAAAAGTGAAGCTGCCCAGCTGAGCCGAGAATCTTCGAGCTCGAGTAAATAGGGAAATTGTGAATTTCGATTAGAATCGGCAGCCGAGGAGGAGAGAGTTCCGAGATTTCTGAGTACTTTCACAGTATCAGCAACCTCGACGAAGGATTTTGATCGCTGAGAAGATGGCGGAGACTGTAGATGTCGCCCACAACAAGGAACCTATTCATGTAGTTTTGGGAAGACCACATCAGTTTGCGGATGTGGGTAAGCAGGCCAAGGATCTGTTGTACAAGGGCTTCTCGAGCGGAAATATGCTCATGATGTCCTGTGTCATGCCCGGAGGTGCGCTTCTGTCCACCACCGCCACAATGTTCGACGGCAACGTTGTCGGTCTCATGAGCACTTCCTTCAAGTCTGCTGGTGTTCAAACGGAGCTGAGCGGAGGCACTCTTAACCAGGTTTTACACCGTAACTCATCAGTGCATTTCTCGCTCTTGCATGTGCATCTACAGGACTGACAAATTCGGATTTCTAGATTATTTTCTCCCATAGACTTAAATTTGGCGCTAACTCTATAAGTTTTACAGCAAATGTAGACATACAGTCGAAAGTTTACATACACAGGGCATCTTCATCTCCAGAGTGCCAGTATGTTTGAAACCACCTAACGATCAGGACTGCTTTTCTATGCTAGATAACGGCATCTTCAACCTACGAGGATCTTGCACCTGGTTTGAAAATTGCCTTGGCAACTGCTCTTCCAGGAGCTGAAGATATCGGCAAAGCACAGGTGGGCAATCTCTTCCACATCTTTAGAAGAAGTTTTGAAAACTAAGCAAGTACGCTTGCATGTTGTGATGGCTATCTAGTGCATGGATTTTCGTTTCAGGACTTTTCAAGTGAGGACTTGTTCTGGGGCAGAATTGAGGTGTTGTTTTCTTTCGTCAGAATAATCTTGATAATTACCTCAAACAGATTAGATTCAACCTGTTTCCTCCTTTTGTATCCCTTCTTGTTGCTTTAAGGCCAGAGCTTAATTTTCAGAAGACACAAAATATAGGTAGAGGATGAGGAAGGAACAACCGAAAATTTAAGTGGGGAAATCAGATATACATGCTAGACTGTACTGACTGCGTACAAGTTAGATCATTCTAAACATGCAATTGGCATTTTTTAAGGACCATGCACTTACTGAATTTCCTGAGATTCTGGAGCTAATTGGTTTCTTATTCATCTTGGGTACATGCAGGTTCAGTATCAGCTCAATAATGCAGCGTTTGATGCGACGATGATTGGTTTGAAGAGTACACCAACACTTCAATTCTCGGCGAACCTGGGATCGGAAAGGCTGTCGCTGGGTGCCTCTGCATTGTACAATAGTGAAACTAAAGAAGTGTCGACTTTAAATACAGGTACAAGAACAAGATTTTCTCTTACTCATTCTTTTAGGTAATTGTAACTAAATGCTGAGAAGAGATCTGCCTATTCTTTCTTCAGTTCTTTTTCTCTATCCACACTGGACGCTGGAATGTATTTCTGATTGTCATCAGGTTATTGTTCCTCCAAGTTGGTCTTTCAGTCTGTGAGGAGTGTGCGGGTTGTTTTAGTCTTGCGGTGAGATGTATATGTTTACCATCTACCGCGTCTCTTTCAGTCAGTGTTGGATTACTTTCTCTCATTATACATAGCTCCCCCCCTTCGTTTTTGTCCGTGGGTTCTGTCAACGTCTGGTCACAGCTTGGGTACGTAGTCTTCATTATCTCACAGGGTATTCTCCTTAGCTTCTACTGGATGTTACTGTTCGTGCTCAAATGTTATGGAGAGATTCACATTAAACCTTAGCAGTACATAATACCTGAATGATTCGTCTAACTGTTGTCCATGTCTCTTCTGTTCAGTCAAATACGTCAGTGCTCTCAGAATCGCCTGTTGCTTCTCTGTGAACCCTCTAGAGGATGACAAAGCAGAGGTTTCAATATTTTTGGAATTACATACAGAGAATTGAGGTTACGAGAACGTTACGAACATTGATATGATAGCTATCTAGGCTAACATTATGTGTATTGCATCTCTTGGTATACACACGGCCTCTTTCCCCTCACATTATTCTCGGAGCGTCCTCAAAAGCTTTGAGGACGTAAGCCATGAAGATAGCTTCCAAGATTTCCGTCAGTAGGATCAACCTTTCTAATGAGGGAGGCCTAGCAGAGAACTGCTAGAGGAGCTTTGTAGATATACGTCCAAGCTTTCTCTTGGTTTATCGAGGAACTGATGAGCGAGGTATACAAACTGTTCACTATCTCACACAGGCCTTGTGGTTGCGCAGGAATCGGATATCTGAGACCAGACATGTCAGCAGCATTCTTCTATGATCCTTTGAAAGATAATGCTATGGACGCATACTTCACTCGGCACATCAGTCCCAGAGCAATGTTAGGCGGACACCTACACTTCAAAGTCGATAAGCAGGTGACCGCTGCAACACTTGGTGGATCACTGAGGATGGATGCACAAAGCACAATCAAGGCAAAGTGGAATAATCAAGGAGTGTTAGGAGCACTATTCGAGCACCAACCAAACCCTTTTTTGACAGTAGGTATGTATGTAGACGTGGACACCTTCAATCTTCGAAGACAACCCAACGTGGGATTTTGTGTATCCGTTTTAGGATCTGTTGCGTAAGCAGCCGCCATTATTATATGTCATACCCCTATCAAATCTCAATTCTTTTAAGTAAAACTCCTCTAAATGTGGAGTGATCCAAGATTTACCGATGTAGTTTTTTTCACATTGATCGTTGTGATTATCCAGTTTGTTTGGTCTGAGTTGGTACAGAAGCAGTTGTGAATTGTTAGTTGATATTCTTCTGTTGAGTAGTTTGTGTCACCAATAACACAATAGACGAGACCAATTGACTGCTCGCCAAGTATTACAATACGCCTTGATGAAGATGCATTTTCGCTCAGGAAGGAAGCTGCCCGTCCAATGCTCATTTGGTTCACTCACAAGTAATCAGTGAGCAAGTTAGGTGAAATTTTGTTTCTCTTTATACTCTCTATCTAATCTTCTTCCTACTTATGAAATGTGCATCATGGTACACTTGTAACAAACTATGATTGAATCTTCCAGAATAAAATCTTTAAATTAGATTTAGCATTAAGCTGTGATAAATGGATATGAATATATATGCGTAAAGCAAAGCAATTAATGAAGCATAAGCATGCTAGTAACTATTTTAGAGTCGGGATATTCTGTTTTAATCTACAAGTTTCTCTTACATAAAATACCTCGTTACATCTCGTCAATTGCAGAAATAATTGTGGAAGGAGAACTTTAAAGCCAAAATAAAGTTGACTTATAAAGAAAATATACTCACAAGCAATAATGCCAAATTACTTGCGTGTATAAGAAGCATGCCATAAATATCGAGCTCTAGACTACTTCATTTACATTGTGCCCCTTGAAGCAACCCTAATGCTTCAACATCAAGGGAATCTACTAATGGAAGACGCCTCCTCCTTATAGTGACCAGCCAAACCACTACCAGACACGGCATTGCTAACTTCAGATTTCGTACTCCAAATACATAGCCATTACTCTTCTTCCGTAGCGGAGTACTAATCATCTTACGTATCATCCAAACCAACAAAAGCCTTTTTCTTAACAGAAGGGAAAGAAGGTTCATACAACCTAATTCGTTTCTTCATCTTTAAATGCAGCTGGAAATAATTTTGCTGCCACCAGGGCGACGTTAAATAATGCTTCACATGACCATGGAGAAGTATGTTCAGATGAGGTAAAATTTCCAAGTTTACGGGGTTCAGGTTTATCCACACGATGTCGTGGAGTGCATTTGACGTGTTGTCTGCTATGACGTTCCTGTCTACAAGGAGTAACGTCCCAAAACATCTGAAGACCCGGACCACAGTTGCTGTACATTTGATATATAAGTTTTTGTATCGCTTACGGTCAAAAATAAGAATTCGATTACAAGGTGTTGACTCAATCAACCGTTCGTGAATCTTATCGAGAATTTGTCTTGCTACCTAACTGAGTCTGGCCAGAAACGCCTTCAAGAAGTCTGAATGGAAGGGTACAGTATACAGGTGCCGAGCCCGCACCACTATCCAAGTAAATGGTCACACTGGTGTACACATTCTGGTGTTTGATATGATACTACAATTCTAGACAGAGGAGACTAAAATCTCTAGTGAAGTTCAGGCAATCTACACCCGAGTTTGTAAACAAAAAATCTAAAAGTAAGATGCGCGAGGCAATCTTGTGCCTTGATTTACATTTCAGTTTTGCAATGTCAGGTGAAGGTTTGGGCAATTGCTAGATGGTTTGAAGGGCACGTGATGAAGGTCTCAACTCATGAGGATATCCGAGGACATCATTTGCCGGAACTCCATAATGTCGACCTCACCATTGCCATCCAAGTCCACTCCTTGAATCATCCGCTCACAGCTTCTCAGGCTCTGCCCTTCCTGCAATCCTAGGGCGAGAAGAACGGATTGCAGTTCTTGACAAGTGATGTAACCGTCGTTGTTCTTATCGAATACTTTGAATGCTTCCAACAGACTTTCCTCGTCCTCGTCAGCGTCAGCCACCTCCAATTTCCCGGGCCCGTCACCGCCCTCATCCAGTGACCTGTATAGAGTGCAGAATTCCTCAAATCCTACTTTGCCGTCGCCGTCATGATCAACAGTTTTCAGCATCTCAACGGCTTCTTCCTCTGATACTTCGAGACCCAATCTGCTCATGTACCGGCGCAAATCACCTGCGCAAATCATATCGTCTTGATTTTCGTCGAACTTTTGAAACACTCTTTTCAGCTCCATATTTTCAAGTGGTGGAATGCTTTTGGCATCAAAACCCTTTTGACCCTCACTGCTGGAGCTCGTGTCGCAGATGCCGCCATCAGAATGAAAATTAACTCCACGAGCGGTAACATCATCTGAGCTGGTCTCGGGTATGAAAGCAGGGCCTACGGACTGGAGCTGCCCAGCTTCCACAGAAAGGGCGGCGCTTTCCGCCTTCTGCTTCACACGAATTGCAGCCGCTTGCAACAAGAACGGAAGATCCAGCAAAGGCAGAACGGACTTTGACCCAAGCCATAATTGATTGCTAGATACGATAATATGCATTATGATGTGCTCGAATAAAAATTCGTGTAAATATGTTCTCCGCTCGAGCTCTGATCTGCCTCAATTCGGTCGAGGACAGAATCTGACAGAAGTGGCCTTGCAGATGCGGCTCCCCCTTGTGAACTCTGTGAAAGTATCTCTGATCGAGAAAAATCTACAACGACAGGCACCACAAAGATGGAAGAGGATTACAGTGCTCAGCTTCAGACTCTGACTCGCAAGTGCAGGTTTCAATTTGAAGATGCCGGAGAAGAAAAGAGCCGAACGGGAGAATTCGAACACCTCGAGACGGCTGAGGAACGAGCAGACGATGGGAATGAGGAACGAATTGCGACGGCTCCTCATCTATATTCCGACAGGCATGGATCGGTTGCGAGAAGTGGGCACGACGCCACCACGCGCTCTGCTGGGAAGCAGACAATGTCAAGTCAAGCCGAGAGCGAGGTCCAAGGGGGGCCTACACGCAAGACTTGGACATTTTCGCTAGAACCAGTCCTCCACGAAGCGATTGCGGGGCCCATCATCGCCTTGTGATAAGCTACGAAGAAACGTTCGATCGCGTCTACTGCGACGCAAAGTCCAATTCCTCCGCAACGGCCAGCTGACAGGCCCCACGCAGTCAAGGCACCTTCTCCGGATTCGAGAGAAGCGGAGGGGAGCTTCATCAGAAGCCTGTGCGGCAATGGCTGGCTTGCAGCTGCTCCGGGGCTTGCTCTGCAGTTTCCGTTTAATTGGCACAGACGAAGAATAGTTTTCGGTTTCCGGCAAGGACATGTTGGAAGCGTTTCATCGACCACGTCGGTGACGTTAGCCCTTTCTTCTGCGGTCGAACTTCCGGCCGTCCCCATCTTGCGGCGTGTTCAGATTTCGTGGTTAGACCGGGACCGCTTATCCGGGGCCACTGATGCGGGAGGCAACGATCGTCCAACGCATTACTTTGGCAGATCCGGACGCAAATGGTCGGCGGCCGAAATGTCTTCTGCTTGGGCTGTAGATATTGCGCGTCGCCTGCGGTTGACTATTTTCAATGACTCAATTGCGTGTGACGTAAGAGGGTATTTGCGTCAGCCATTTCTATTTTCGTAGCCGTGGATGTCGATTAGGGACCCTGCCCACCAGCGCCGGCATTTAGGCTAAACCAATCTTCCCCGCCCAGCCATCCAAAAGCAAGATTATGTGAAAGTCTTATACAGTAAAACCTCTATAAATTTATACTCCATAAATTTATAAACTCCGAAAATTTATCAAATTGTGGAGTCTCGGCATGGGACCAGGTCAAAAATTTATAATCTTATAATTTATCAAGTTTTGGCTGCTCCAAATTTTTTATAAACTTATATTCAGGTTGATGTGCTTTCCGAGCTACATTTGTACGACTATGATCTACTAAAGAAACTTGTAATGGTTGGCTGCTTAAGTATGTGATGTGGGTTAGGGATTTTACTGGGTTAAGTTGTTTACATTTTGAGAAGTTTTCTTTTACACAGTCCAACTGTATACAGTACGCCAGGATACAGTGCCCTACACACCCCATTACAATACCACAACCAATACACACGGAACTTGATTATCAAACAACTTCTATGTCTTTTCGAGGTCCTGCATTCCTTGCCGTAACCTTCCTAACCTTTCTGCAACCTTCCGGATGGTTCTGAGACCAATCAAGAAAAATTAAATGAATCAATTTTAATAAACTCTAGAAACTTATCACCTCTATAAACTTATCAAAAAAGTCCGATCCCAACTTGATAAGATTATAGAGGTTCTACTGTATGTTCTACGGAATATGTGTCCACTAAAGTTTAGTGGACAAATAAACTTTAGTTAATTCTAAAGGGGCGGGATTTATTGTCTACAGATTATTGACCTTTCGCTGGAAGCACTAAGAATGATAATAGTCACGTCTTACGCGCCAAATCTCGTGCAAGCGTCTGCTGTCTGACTTAAGAGAAAGAGAGACCACATCAAGGTACCCGCAGCTAATTTCATCAGGACCCGAACCCAATATAGCGGAGATGTTCACCACGTGTGTGCGATTGCTGACTCTAAGCAGGTGACCTCGAGTCCAGCACAGGTCGATCACTCTTGATCGACTCTTTTTCTGCGGACCGGGAACCGTTTCAGTTTTCTTGTCGAACGCGGAATCCCTGCTAACGGGTTACTGTATATAATTCCTTAATTTTTATGCAAGAAATCCGAGGAATAATACAGCAAGCAAAAGCGATCGGAAGACTTCGTGAGGGAGTCTCACAAGTCGCACAGGAATGAACCCAAAGTGTAAGATGGGTGTGGGGCCCATATCTTGCCAGCAGGATTCGTGTGAGAGTAGTTAGCAGGAGACTTCCGCTTGGTCATTCGGACCTTGCATATGGGTCATATGGAGACTTCGGATTTTTAAGCTGAAGTACATCGCAGTCTCCTGGACTAGTTATAATTAATATTATGTGCTATCCTCCAAAATCCCTTCAATCACACGAGTTGACTCCTCTCGTTCTTGGGATAAATTTTCCGATACGTCTGAAAGAATTTGATACCCTACTTCGAGGTTCGATTCATCATGTTTTCTAACTACTAAGTGTTTAATGGAGGAAGTCTGATTTCACTAAATGGATCTTATGTCCGACCGACGTGTATACAATCAGGTATCCAAGATAAAGTGGGGAGCACTTTATAGTGGATTGGTGATCCTAACCAAAAACAGTTCATTTCTCTTCCCCGAAAGTAAGGTTTGTGACTTCATCTTTGGATAGCCCATGAAAAGACCTTAATCCCCTGGCTCCATTCGAAATTTGGCCGGTGGCAGTTGACCCAAGCCACCATGCTCGACTCGATAATACACATTGTTTGCTAACAGCTGCGGGTGCTTGATTGCTCGAAAAGAAAAGACTACTTCTTCGTTCTTGGTGAGTTCACGCATCTACATGCCTTTAGGTGATTTCAAATCCAGAAGACTGGATTGAATATCATTTCAACTTGTTCTCCCTACGACAGACATAGCGCTCATCACTTAGATAAGGACTTGTCCGTACCCAAGAAATGAATGTCATGTCAGACCCGTATTTCAGGACTTGTCCGTGCCCGTACTCTGGCACTTTAATAACAGGATCAACCTACATGGGTAAAAGAATCGATCGTACGTACCCTCATGCCTTGACGACGTGCATCGGTCTTACTTGACACCATATTCTTAGTTGTATCCTAAAAAGTGCTCTCTACAATGGAGACCACTATTTTCACTTGTCTTGGTGTGAGTCAAGAGCTCGTACCTGAACACCACCAATAAACTAAAATTTGATAGAATTCAGTGTAAGATAAATCATCTTAGCTTCCAATATTAGCGTTTTTGTTTGATAACTCCACAACTGTTGACAACTATCAAGCAGGACAGCAACATAATGAGTCCAAAAAACTCTTGGATAATGTGTTGCCGTTTCCATTTTCTCGACCACTTGAGTTGATGCTGTAATAACATGCTAGATGAGTTGATGCTCTAGCATGTTGTTAGCAACAAAATCTGGATACTCTTGAAGCAAATATTCAGCTCCGGTGATGAGAGGATGAAAATAACCTTGAGCTTGACTATAAAATCAAAAAACGTCCAAATTTAACTTATAATAAAAATTAGAGATTGACTTGAATGAACTCATAGATTAAGAAAATTTATAAATCACGAATTAAAATCATTTAGGCTCGGACTTAATCCTGAAATTGTTACTTCCAGGATATCCGGCCTCATGCATATATTGTGCAGTCCATGATGAATGTTTCAAAATCATCACAATTCAATTCCAAAACCAAAAGCAACAATGTAATTTTCAATAACTTGATTTTCGTTAAGTTTGCTTGTTAAAATTTCAGCAATGTCAAACAATTTAATGCGCTATGATGATATGTGAATTTCTTTTTTAAATCTGATACAAGGATTGCATAGTTTACTGTGCATGATTACAATATTTTCAAAATTGATTTTTTCAATCATAATTTTGCAATTTAATATCATTTCATAAATTTCGTATTGATGTTAATTTCATTAAGTTTTGAACTCAAGTAATTTAACCTAGCTTGGATTTACATTTTGCTGTCTTGGTTTAAATACATTGAGTTTGAAACTAAAGAAACTGAAATCTGATGTAAGTATAAATTTTAGATTTTCAAAGCAAAATCTGAACAACACTTGTTTGAACTAATACTAAAGAATAAAAAAGTTTGAAATCTTAAATTTAACTGTGAATACCTTTATTTTAAGTGTGAATTAGGGTTTGATGTATGTTTGTAAATTTTAAATCACAAGGGAAAATTGTCTAATAAAAATATAAATCATATGTAAATCAATCTAGCAATAAGAAAAAATATGTTTCTAATCTTGTTATCAAGAGCACATGAGAATCTCTTGCATAAAAGTCAACATGAAAACTCAAAGAACGTTTTATAGAAGAAATGTATTGTAAAATTGAAAACTAGCTTTTTTAATTTGATATAAATATTCAAAAAAAAGTTTCATCATCTTACATAATATAATTTGATGTATGAGGGACATGAAAAATTTCATAAAAAGTTACACAGTTTCTAAAAGTAGTCAATATATATATATATATATAACACAAATTGAGAACATATGTATGAATAGATTAAAACAAACTTACTTAAATTTTATATTTCTAATCTCAATTTTATTTTCTCAAGATCATGACAATCACAATTGGTATCCAAGTCTAACAATTTTACCTTTCTTATCGAAACTTCAATTGAAGATGCAATTTCAACACTCATGCTTATCCCATAATTAAAATCTTTCGCGCTTCTGTTTTATTAAGAGCATGTGATCGATGGAATATGACACGCCATTCGAATGAAGTACTGTACATAGTAGCAAGTGAAACTATACGAAACACAAAGAAAGATAACAACGTACGCGATTCATCTCCTAGACATCCCTCGCCCCCTTTTATGCATCAGCAGAAGTAGTTGTGGTAGCCTAAAAGTCTCATCTGTTACCAAGATCCATCATTGCTGCTGCTGCTGGTATCCTATACGATCAGACCGGCTCAGTCTTGCTCGCATTTTTGAAAGTACGAATGAGTTTGCGGCTGGTCGAGAAGACCAAACACAAGCAAGCAGTGAGCCAAACTGATGTAATGTGAATACATTCTTAGTTGCAGACTCGATACAAAGGCCCCGCGCCAATGTCGAACGCCTTTCTGAACCTGAACCTGAACCGTACAAATTTCTGCTGAAACTTTCGATAGAGATTCTGCGTGGGGATAGGCGTGTCGAAGAAAAGAAGATCCGATACTCTGTGTACGAGAATGTGCACCAGAAGACGGGAATTGTCGAGTTTGCTGAATGAGCAATCTGCATCTATCCACGTCATATCAGGACGTCAGGAGAAGCTAGGGTTCTCCACTTTCCTGCTGGCTTCCCCTTGATCTGCTCGCGACTTCAGGAGTCCCGTAAGTCCCTTCATCGGAAAGAGCCTTCTCCGTGAAGAAGCCACCCAGTTCCCCATGCAGCCATGTTCGCACAATGAACGTGAGGCAATGTCTGTCCTGTGCAGGCGGTAACTGACGACTCGGAGTCTTCTAGTAGAAGAGAAGACCAGGTTGCGGACTCTTGATTTTAGTAAACTATGCTAAGAGCTTGATTGGATTGGCGAAGCGGAGATTCTCATGAAGCTATTCTTAAATTTCTGAAACCCTGAAGATAAAAAATTCAGGGGATAGTTCTACGAGATCTCAATCTCGAGGCCGACTTTGTGTTGTAGATATGTGGGTGGAACAGCAAAGCACGAGTTGAAGCTTCCAAGTCTCGGCTTTCAAGATGAGCTACTCCTGCATCGAGGTCGAATGCAACAAGCACCCGCTTTTCGAACATTGCAAACGAATTCGACTTGAGGTGTTCGTGGGAGAGCAGGGGGTTGATGCCGATGCTGAATTGGACGACATTGATGATTATGCTCAACACTTTCTGATCACGTGGAGAGGAGACGAGGGAGGGAAAGCAGTGCCAGTTGCCACAATGCGAATTTTCCATTACGAAGTACCTGAGCAGCCGGAGAAGCTGATCTTGAAGGTTGGGCGAATCGCAGTTAGTCAATCTTTCAGAGCGCAAGGAATCGGGCGTCGATTGATGGATGCTGCTGAACAATATGCCAAATCACAAGGCAGGAAAGACAAGAAGTCTGGAGCTTTTCTGTTCATGCACTCGCAGTCAGACAAGCAAGGGTTTTACAAAAAATGCGGATACTGCGTGGTTCGATCCGCAGCTCAACTAGATGGTCTGATCGATGCAAGAACTCTCAGAGAACCAGATGAGGCGGAATTGAAGAGCCTCGAATTTCTGGAAGACGGAATTTTACATGTTAAGATGGCCAAGTTCGTGCCTTGCTAGATCTCGAAGCTCACGTACAGACTTACATTCGATTGCATTCTGATGTCACCGTCACAGAGTTAGTGCTTAAAGATGTCGAAGCAGACGCGAAGAGCTGTCGACGGATTCAGGCCAGAGTGAACTTGGTGTGCCCGGTTGTTCATTCTAATCAAAATATTTTGTCACTTTTACTAATAAAAAACTAAACATCCATATGAGTTTTCATTCATATTTCGTCAGTAAAGAGCTTCACTATTGTACATAATACTTTTTTCAATAAAATTTTTCATTTTCTAGATATCAATTTTATCTAATTGTAACTACATGCTTTTGAATACAATAGTATATAATCTAATTTTTCAACTTTTTCCATAAAGCTAAAATTTCTTTAGATGCGATTCGATCTGGTTGAATTTTGAATATTAGGTAATCACACTCAATACATCATTCATTGTTTGAAAAAAATCTATCAAAAATCTTGTGAGAACTATATGTAATGGTCTAAATTATGTTATATATCAATTTTCAGTATCCAAATTTCACTCAAAATCAATCCAATTCACATGAAAGTTAGAACTAAAACAAAAATCACGTGGAAGTTAGAACTAAAAAAATTTTCACATGGCATAATTTCTTTCTGTCATAAAAATAAATGAGAAATTATTTTAGATTTTTTATAATCTTCCAAATTGCATTATAAAGATAAAAATTCATATGCAATCTTCAGAAAGAAAATTATGGTTGTTTAAACGTAAAATATTTCTCAAATTTAATTCAATCTACTTGAAAATTGTATCTAGCACAAAACACTTGTTTTAAATACATTTAAAATAAAATATAATGATTTAACTCCTTGTCACGTTCCTGCACTTGCTGCGAGTGTAAATTCTACTTTCAACTTCAAATCGCATAGCTCGTATTTTTTTGTATTGATTTTGTCTGTCATATCACCATCACTTGATGAAATTCTTTCGTCCATCAAACAATATTTCAATTCTTTCAAAAAATGATTCCTAAACATTTAAAATTCGTGTTTTATAAATCCATTTTTATGTTTATCATAATCTATTTTTAGTGTCATTTCATGTGATCGTTATCTTGTTTTTTCTTCTATACCTCTATAGTCCATTGTTAGTTAAAACCACATTCTATATTCGGATTTCATAATTTAGATCTTCATTAATATCCTATTTTAGATTTTTGTTCTGCTTCAAAGTTTGACCACTTTTTATTTTGGATAATTTTGTTCCATACATGTATTACATTCACTTTTTTGAATTTAGCATTTTTTCATACTATTCTTTTCACATTTCAGAAAAGCACATCATCACCACTTTCTGATTCCTTGTAGCAATTTTTTTTCACCGTTATAGGTTTACTCTTATGACACTTACACTCATCCTCACTTATCTTCTTCAGTACTCATCTACGAGTTGTAGATGAGACAATGACTTAATATTAAATATGAACAAATGACTCAATGTGATACACACACACTAAAAATCAGCGCATAGCAAATATATTGATCATTTCTGATAAAACAATGTCCACTGAATATAAAAAATTCTTACCTAAAAGAAACTGTCCTGTACAATTATGAACATCTTTCTTAGATAGTATCAGAAAATTGATATTTAAACTCATGCGCAGTTAAAATAAACTTTCTTATATAATATCAGAGAAATCATACATGAAATCTCTAAATGACGATAACATGAATAAACCAGACTCGAATTATATTTCAACACTTAGTTAAATCATTAAGATAGTTGAATCGTTCTTTTAGATAAAAAATTTATAATAAAATCATAGTAATAAAGGAATCAAATATTTTTGCATATATCTTCATTTAGTTAATAATCCAGAAGTATTATTTCTCAAAGAAATAATCTATCAATTTTCTTAAGTAAAACTTTCAAAATTTACAAATATTCATTTTTGCCAAAATTTCAGCAAAATCGATTTAAAACCATGGAAATTTCACACAATGTATATATAAAAAGGTTTTTTTAGAAAATTAAAGGAATGCTAAAGTAAATCAAATTTTTTCAAATGTTAAAATTTCTTTGCAATATGACAGTTATAATTTTTGAATATAAACTCTAATAATTGTCATTATATTTTGATTATATTTTTTATTACACAAAGACCATTATTTATTTGATAATGAGTTTGAAGCCACATATTTTTAAATATCATTATAATTTATTATTGAAAATTCTAATGTCAATCATAGGAATCTATATACGTAATAATCATCTATAGATGTTCCATCTACATATATTTAATTCTATTTTTTATGAAAATACATGTACATCAATAAAAAATTTTAAACATTTTTTAGATATATATATGATGTAAAAAAATGAGATCATATGAAACAAACCAAGAACATCATAATCGATATATATTATATCAATAGTAAGTTTTAAGTGATAATGTGACCAATATGATAAAACATTTTTGTTTCATTGCTGTATAATATATTGTCTTCGCAAAAGTAGTCCTGCATATCTTGGTTTACCCATTTGTAATGATATTCATACTCTCATACATTATTGTTTCCTAAATGACTTGAATGATTACATTCATTGTGTACATTTTAGTGAGATAATTAGATGATGCATGAAACTGCAATAGTTGTTTTTCCTATTGAAGATAGCTTTAGAAAAAGGCATTCATGATTGTATTAGGATATTGTATTTGCTAGGGCTTGAGAATATTTAAATTTCACTGACTAACTGTAAGAGTATAAAAAAACTTACACTAATGCACAAACTCTTGGACTACACTAAGCCTAGAGGGGAGTCGATTACATTACTTACATCTGCGCGCTGTCCGAGCTCAATGCTGCTTCAGTAGGTATCTCTCTCTGTCTCTCTAACTTGTGAACAACATTCATGACGGCTTATTTTGAGCATGTTGCTTAATGGTGCAACACATTTGCAGAACCACCGCAAGGATCCGATAATCTGCTCTTGCCATGCTTTCATCTAATGTTGCAAGTCTCGAGTGATTTTTGAAGAGGTGTTTGGATCGGGTCATGATCAGGGTCTGGAGCCAAGGTGGAACCCAGCACGTTTCGGCCGGGCGAAGGTGTGTAGAATTGCTAGAATCCCTTATCAGGAGTACGCGAGGGGCTCTAGCGACAGGTGAGCCTGTATTGAGTGACGCCAAATGGATCAGAAACACGAAGCCGGCGTCAAGCACCTAGATGACGTTGTACCGAGCGTGTGGATGGCGCCAACGGCATATATCACCCATGCTCTTAGCTTCTTGCAATGCGCCAAGCTGTTGGCCAGACATGGGCTGACCATAACTCTGTTCTACCTTGATGATGATTTTCATAGTCTAGATGCAATGGAAAATGGAATGCTTCTAGACAACTTGAAGCGTGAAGGTTTGGATATCCGAATGCAATGTCTGGGTCCAAGAGCTCGATTAGTGGACGATGGTTCCTCTGATTTATTCAGACATCGTCAAATCCACCATTGCACAGCCGGAGCAGAGCGTATGGTGCAGAAATATATGAGAAGCGAGGTGGATCGTGGAACAAAACCTACATGTCTTTTATCAGACGTTTGGCTGGGAAGCTTAAGGGTGGGTCTCAAATCATGAGTGGAATGTCTAAGCTGCTTATAAATTGACTGCTAGTCTAAGATCGCTTTATCCTGACTGGACGCAGATTCATTCGCTGATACTCCACCTGACAAAATGAGCCATCAAAACCCTTGAAGTTGAAACCAAGTGTGTATAAATTTAGGAAAGATGCAGCTTAATTGCAACCACAACATGTTCGTTGTTGGGGACTCTTGCAGGAGGAGGCCACCTCGTACGGTATCCCATCCTGGGTTTTGTGCCCTTATGCATCAGGTTACTTGTCAACTCTAACCTATGTATACCAGCTACAGTCGAAGGGCATCTTGAATCTACCGTATTCTTTCCGGGATGGAGTCAACCGGAATGAATGTATCAGCATTCCGGGTTTGCCTCTACTGAAAATCCAAGATATTCCCATCTATTTCTCCCGAGAAAGTCCTCTTTTTGAGTACTTGAGTATCGGTGCAGCGTCGGTTTCGAAATGTAGTGTTATTCTTCTGACCAGCTTTTATGAGCTGGAGTCGAGATCTATCGAGGGATTCAAAAGCTTCATGAGGGCTCTAGCAGTCGGATTTCATAAAAAGGTGCAACTTCAACCCGTGATTGAACTCAAACTATATTGCTCCCTTCCGCTTTCGAGAACATTTGCCAGGACGTGAAAGGATATGAACGTGATGTCTTACTGCAGGTCAGTTGAAGTTTTTGAATGTTCGACACGGCCAACAAAATATATTTTCGGAAGTTGATATGATTTTGTTTGTAAGCAGAGTCCAACGGTCTGGAGTATTGGCCCAACATTCGATATGGCTTCTTACAGCAAAGAGTCGAACGTGGCCGAAAGCGAACCTGGAGAGTTACACAAGCACCCCAGCATTGCGTTTCTGGACACGCAAGCTGCGTCCTCCGTCCTCCTGGTGATGTTTGGAACACTTGTTTACCACACTCCAGAACAAATCGAAGAAATTGCAAGAGGGCTCGAAAACAGTCAGCAACCATTCCTATGTGTTCTAAATGTGCCAAACATGAACACGGGATGGATTACTCCAGGCCATGAAGAAGATCGTATTTCTGCTGTGGTTCCAGCAGACTGCATTGGCAATGCCAGAGGGCGAGGATTATTTCTAGAAGGATGGGTTCCTCAGAAAAAGATACTTGCACACCCATCTACAGGAGGGTTTGTCACACACTGTGGCCAGAATTCGATTCTGGAAAGCATAGGGATGGGAATTCCTCTAATAGCATGGCCTATGCTTTCGGATCAGCTTCTCAATGCCAGGTCCAGACCTTATCTAGTTGGAAGCGTATGAGATTCTAAGCCTTTCTCGTTTGATACATCTGTAGGCTTGGATCTATTCGCTAAGATCAAATATTACGTTGTAGACACGTCGTCTAGGACAGCGAAGCTCTAAAATTCTGGAGAGTCCATGTTTTGATAATACATTCTTTCTTTAAACTCTCAAACTCGAAACTGTTTTGGAGTTGCAGTAGATTTTGTTTGTAAACTCAATCTCTTCATGACTTGATTGCTGATACACGTTAGGCACATGGAACCCCTACTCTGTCGCCTGGCAGGTTCTTGGTAAATGAGGTGCAGATCGCAGTGGACATTTCCAGGGGACCTGATGGCTTCGTGGACAGAAAGGAGCTAGAGAAAAGTGTCAGGACTCTATTTCACAGCGATGAAGGAAACCTTGTACGGAGGAATTGTCTGATGATGAGAGAAATGGCCAGAAAGGCTGTACAAGAAAACGGTTCCTCTTGGAAGAACATCGAGGCTCTGGTTGCTCTCATAAGAAGTGAGTGCCATAAATTTTTTCTTTCTTTTCGTGCCCTTTCGTTTGCGTGGTGTTGACTATCATAGTTCATGAGCTTCTGATTATCTCCACCAAACATGTGTTCTGAATCCCCAGGTCTGTCGACATGAAGAACTTCCATTGGCTGGCGAAATTGGATAAGAGTAGCTCGTGAAAGACCCACTAAATAAGATGCAGGAGGAAGATTTAGGTTTCTGAAGTTTGTGTTGCTGATGGATCTTATTTTTCTCATGTTTTACTTGAGCCGGACGTTTCGTCTACAATGTTCATTGTAGAATTTACGCCTGGAAAAAATTGTAGCTCAGCTGTAATAAGAAGGGTCTCGGCATTTGATGCGATATTTTATTATGCTCTTAGAAAATCATCTTGAGCTTATTATCTTTTGTAGTAGACAAAAGACAATGAGCAATGACAGTCATTCATCCATTCTCAGTTATATATATCATAAATATTTTCATCAACTAAAAATTGAAAGCTAGTCGGTATTGCCAGACCAAAAGATTGTGATGATGTATCATAAAATATTGTTATTATCTTAAACAAACATCTAAATTGATCATTCATCAATCATCGAAGCAGGATTCGCTCACAAAGAATCTTGCTTCGTGAGCGAGCTTCCGTTGTTTTGAGTCCGAGCAGACGGCGATTTAGTGTTTTCCAAGCTCGCGCTTGATCACTTCGAGCAATAGTTGGTTCATCATGTCCACGTGATCCGGCATGCACCAATGCAAGCAGTCTTGAGGAGGTGGTCGATCTTGCTCGTCCCTCTGGTTTTTCTTGTTGGGATTGGGACTCCTGTAAGGTCCATCTGCATTGAGATTGAATGCTTTGAAGATATCCATCAACGCGAGCGACGGGATGCTGCTCTTCCATCTCTCGTCGACACATATGACTTGAGACAAAGGAATTGACTGCACCCTCAGTTCATACTAGAACATAGTTGACGTGTGTCTTGTACATTTGCTCACGTTTCTACCTCTTTAAGCGTGTTGACACAATCAGGACAAAATGACATTTGCGACATTTTATTAGTCGTGAAAAATCTTCTTCTTACGAATTTGCGAACAAAACTTGTCTTCGTATTTGGTAAGTAATAATATTTAGCAGTGTCAAGCAGTAATTTCTGAGCCTTTTGTCGCCTCGTTCTCTTTTGTTAGAAGACGATACCTTGAAAGAAATCAATAATGCACAGAACTTTTCGGCTACCTTCTCACGCAGGACCCAGATTTCCCTGATCAGTAACGTAGCAGATTCGAATCTATTTACCTCATAATGTCATGATAAAAAGACAAACCACTGTGGTATTGAAAAAAATCATGCAAATTGCAAAATCTGTCTGTCTGCAGATAAAATTTTAGTTCTAACCTGCGAAACCTTCAAGACCTTCCTCTGAAACTGTTGTTTTCACCGTAGTTGACGGAAAAATCAGACGTCTACAGTTTTGGTGTAGTGCTGCTTGTCATCGTTACTGGGCAGAAATCAGTGGATGTTGCGAGGTAAGCTAAGGAACGGAATCTAGAAATGGCAGCACAGAACTTTGTAAATTCAGGTTTGCAATGTCTTGATATTGATTCAGTCTTATTGAAATCTTCAAAAATATGAGTCGTCCCCAGACCTATTAGAACTCCGGGAATGCAATCGAGTTTCTAATGATCGTGCATACTCTTTATTTATGTTATAAGACTTGAGGTCTAAGCAACCTAAAATTAAACCCGTCAACATCCTTCCTAGTATTCACTGGCCTATTGTCGGACCCTTCCCCGTTAATTAATCCACAAAAGTCCAGGATGTCTACCTTTCCCACTCACAGACTGTTACCAAGGTTCCAATAGTGAGTGAGTGAGTCAGCTCCACTGGATGTATAAGCTAACGTATGTATTTATATAAAAATACTATTGCCCGACAGTTCTCTGTTCAGATGAGGGGGAAAATTTCATATCTAAATGGGAATGGGAAATAATCATGAGGGAATCAAACTCAGACATTTTGTTTAGAGATAAGTTCTAACTACCTCACCAAACAATTTGTAATATTTACCGTATCCCTGTCTCAGTAACGAACTGGTTCACAGCGTGCAGATTGAGTTGAACTAGTCAAGTCTTCTGATTTGCTGCTGGAGCGATGAATTTTTCGTTTCAACTTCATTCTCTTCTTCATTATCTACAAAAGCTAAGCCATTTTTTTGTCCTGTTCTCTTCATTCTGTAAATATTCTCATTGGACTTTATTTTACTCATCAATACCTTTGAGTGGATGACTTAATACTTATATTTTTCTCTTCTATTATAAATATTCATCACATCCATTTTATTTTAAATATCTTAAATCTAGCTCATACAAACTTCATGGCCATCATCTTATTTCGTCAAAGATTGAAGTTGTACCTTGTGTTTTTTGAAAAAATGATTTTTTTAAACTCATCTTTAGCTTTTTAAACTCTTTGATGTATTCAAGCTTCCTTCATTGACTTCTTGATTTTGCTGCCAATATGAACAATTTCACTATGACAAAGTTTGAAATCAATATAAAGATCTTTGAATTAAATTAAATAGGCATATGATTTATACATGTGACGTCATTTTCTTTGTTTCTACTCTAGATTGAACTTCACAACAATGTCATCCAGTAGAGAACTTGAGTTTATAATTTAGATTCATCCAGCTAAAGATTGTCAATTTGATCTTTGAATTCTATTATAGAAAGTTGTTTGCGCAAATCAAACTGCAAGAGCTTGTGTATATGCTTACAAGAGATTTAGACAAGCAAATATTGATAATACAATCTTGTTTAATATATTCTAACGTGCTCTAATTTTGTGACTTTAATATCGTGAATAAAACATAAACAAATATCTGATTTGTGTTTATGTCCCTCATTATTGACAACAACATCAATTTAGAAAAAAAATAAAAAATTTATGGAATGAATGCATTACTTTGAGATGAAAATGTTGTTGCTTATGTTGATATTTTTGTTGCTAATGTGATGTTCCTTAGCAACAATTTCAATCTGTTGCTCAATTTGCAGAATAGTTTTGTTTATTATAGAATGAATGCAATGAAAAATATGAGATGAAAATTTTCTTGCTAATGTTGACATTTTTATTGCTATTGTGATGTTTACTTGTCAATAATATCAAACCGTTGCTGAATTTGCAAAAAGTTTTGTTTGTTATGAAATGAATGCAATATTAAAATGTTGTTGCTAATGTTGATGTTTTGTTGCTAGTGTGATGTTTTTAATTCCACAAGACATTCATGTCAAAACAATTTGCTCTCATATTCATTTCATCCCAATATTTGTAACATGATCTCATCTTTCACATTTTCAGGTTACTATTGCAAGATATACAATGTGCCAATAATGTTGTAGCAAATTTCATGATTTGGAGACAATCGACGCAAGTTGATGCTTTAAATTGACAGCGAGGAGGTAGATGGAAATCTAGCGAGTGAAATGTGAAATGTGCAAACGTAGGACTTTTGTAAAATTACACTTCTCAATATCCTCCAATGCATGAATTAATTACGATGAAAAATTTACATATGTTCATGAACAAGAGCAAGATCACTTGGGAGACTCGCTAAAACGTTTTTTCTAGCTGGAGATTGCCGGAGATTATAAATTTTACCTTACCTCCTAACTGCCAAACCAGGCCTGGGGGAACAAATTTGTTGTCTTGACTGAAATCAGCACAATAAATCTTCAGCCAATTTAACAACAAGAAAAACATTACTCTGGCTCTAAAAATGCACGTCCACTTGACAATTACGAAGAATGAGATTTCTGAGACGTACATAGAATGGAGTCGTTTTGGAAAATGTGAAAATGAGTCGATGATCAAAATACTACTCCTTAGATTAAAAGATGTAATAGAATAAGAAAGTACACGTCCGTTTCGATCATTTGCGCTCAATCTTTGCCCTGTTACCAAATGATTGGAACGAGAAACCACAAAACACAAAAAACACAAGCATGTTCGCAGAGACATGACGCCAACATGAAGAAATGTGATTCATCACTGCTGTACTATACCTACGGAAAACAAAGAGTTTTATTGAAATCTAACAATGTTCAATGAAAGCTGCTTCTTGACTTCATATACAATGGGTAGTAGAAATTATAAAAAACTAATATTACTCCAAATTTTATTCCAACTAGGATTAATGTAACCAGAATCTAGTTCAGACTCGAGTTTATACTAACATGATAATCCAAACTCAAAGAAATATCCCTTTTTTTAAGTTGAAAAAAAAGCAACCAAATGAGAAGTAGTATAATATTCTATAAAAAATTTTGTAAGTGTTGATATGTTTTGATCCAATCTATTGCAGAGCAGTGCCAAGACGGATTAAAGTTTGTAAACAATGGATGATGTTACTAAAGGTTTCATGTTAGATGATGATCACACTCCAAGATTATCTTTATCCATGATATTTCAATAATTGATTTTTCAAGGCTTCATAGTTTGATATAAAACAAGAGAAAATTCAACACGTGCTGTAACAAGTTGATGTGGCGAGAGTTATTTACTTTCATACACATATGAGTCTAATGACGAATGTCTCTACGAGATCAAGCATGTCTCATTCATGCTAAAGGAATCATGAGGTTCTAACTTCTTCCCAATATCGTGTACGGACCTGCCATTTCCGGCCTTAGGCACTTCTTTCGTAAAGCCAAAGAAACCTTTGGCTTGATTTGCTGCAAAGTTGTACGAAAAGTCGTCATTCATGTCCAAGGATATGCTCTCATCATGCATATCCATGAGACCAATGTTATGTTGCCTCCTGCAAAATGTTATTCCTCCTTTTTGGAATGTCCAGGATTTCTCTATTTGGATTCATTATTCTGTTATTCTCATGAGTCATCTTCGCTTTCATCATTTGGTCAAAAAAGAAAAAAACATTATCATCCGAGACAACCAATAATTTTAACTATTATATTTCTTCAACCTCGGAAACTTAAAGAACATTTGCACAGTTTAAATCACTAAGCCAAATTAGCTCTCTTCTGGGAAAAAAAATAAAAAATGAAAGCCCACTTAGCAATTTCGAATTCTGAAAATTTATGGTTACTATATTGAAATAACAAAAATCGATCAACCCCAGCCGCAATTCCACCTCAAGTAAGGTTTTCATCTTTTAAACCACAAGAGGCCTTCTATGCATTGATCTTGTAGCACATTCTCCGCAAGCCATTACATACATTCGATTAATAATTTACATTGATTGAACACCGTCGTCTCAAAGTAGCACATCAAACTTGCGGAAAAATCTCCCCAAATGCTCAAAAGCATCTCCGAATTAAAACCGCACTGGCCATGGAACTGCTCTTCCCACCTAAAGCTGCTGCCAAAGCTTGGTGGGAGGAGCTTTTGCAGGGAATACGTCACCGAATGTCCGAAACTGTTAGTGGGATCGTCAGATGTCCGAAGCATATTTTAATCATTTGTGAGCTCCGAGCACTTTTTCTTCGCACTTTGCTACCTTGATATTGTGATCCGGATAGAGCAAGTTTTGCTTGTGTCCACATAAATTTCAAATGCATTAAAAAGTTACAGTCATGAATAACAGCACTATTAAACCTCAGAGTAAATGCACAACACGAGGCCGTTGTAAATAACGAAGAGAAAAGATTCGACCATAATTGTAATTGCAAAGTGGGACACCGCTCAACATCAAGTCCCGTGGAGTAGTCTCCAGATATCATTGTCATTGGGATATGAACTATCTCCCTTGAGATGACACCAGATTTACTACCATTTTGTAAAGTAATAACTTCATTTCCCATACCTCCTTTGCCACCGACCAAAAGTTCTGAACTCGGAAGGTGTTTCCATTACTATCCACTGACATCCACACCAGCACTATCGCATGGTTGACTATCGTTCAGACTTCGACATATGCGATCCGTATAACTATAATATGAAGACCGGGCTGTGACTGGAAACACTTCTCGGATCATTTAGAGAACTAGATCGAATCTCGGTTGGAATAAGAATGTCTGAAGGTTCATATTGAGGATGGAGTTGCCGAAGTGAGAAGTGATGCCAGGAAACGAAGGCAGTAGTCTCCACGTGTGCGACCTCAAATTTATCATGCCTACACTGCTACCGCTCCTCGAGCCAAAGTAAATGTAATCTCCTCCAGTCAGGAAGAAGAAGCTCTCAGTGGTGGTGTTCCAGAGCTCATCGTTGAGATCCTTGGGCTCAAATTCCATCAACCTCTCCCAGTGACCATCTGTTTCGACCGGAGTCGAGTACCTGGATAATTTCCATATTATGACATTGTTCCAAACGGGGAACCGCTCGTTTCGGCTCTCGTAAGTCGGGAGTGCAGCCACCAGCATCAGAGTTCCACGATGGGTGAAAAGATGGGGCGACACTAGAGGAAGCCTCTCATGAGGCATAGCAATGTTTTCCCTCCGCCATGCGTCGGCAGTATCAGACACTACGGAGTATATCGCCAGATGACTCGGTTGAGGGTTGCGTTTGCAAGTGGTCACACAGAGCAGCTTTGTGTTTGACATGGCTGCACTCGAAATCGACCATTTGAACAGTGGTTTGAAATCCACTTTCATCTTCCATGATTCTGTTCGAGAATCGTAAACTTGAGAGACAAACGGCTCGAAGGAGTCGTAATCGACGAAATCACCCTCAATTCCTTCCTCGTTCGTCCGTTTATTCATTACCAAAATGTTGATCGCATCACTCGTCCCATCCTCAGTGACGAACATTCCGATGATGTGTATGTCAAAGACAGCTGGTAACTCCCTCGGCTCCATGTCCAACATAGGAGGAAGCAATTTGAGCGAATCGTTGAGGGGGTTGTACAAGAGAAGACGACACCGACGTAAGAGAAGAATTTTCCCTCCAGCAGAAGACACCACATATGCGGGGCCATGACTGTCGTCATGAGGTTTAAAGAATGAAAGTGGAATGGATTTCCAGTCATTCACTGCAGGTTCATAGGTCCAACAGTTGTCATTGTCCATGAGAAGCAACGAAGGATTCTGGGAGCTGATGCGAGAACAAGCCTCCAAGAAACTCTTATCCTTGGTCATAGAATTCCAGCTTTTACACACAGTTCTCAACCGTAAGAAGCTGCTAAGCGGAAGATGTGCGAGAATTGTACAATAGACATCGTCCGGAAGACCTCGACTCCAAACAACGGCGTCCAAGGGTGATGCCCTGGCAAGCACAGCGAAAGCCTCAATGTCAAGATCAATCCATCAACACATGAAAGAGATCGACATTCATGTTGACTCCTAGCTCTATCTAGGCGATAGAGCGAGTACATTCTTTAGTACAGACAATAACACCTCCTACCTCAAACTAACAGAAGTGCATCTGTACAAATCAGAAGCAAAATTCCCTGAACGAACAAGGGGTAGATGCGCAGCGGCGTTTACGGTGCTTCAACCATGCATACGACCACCTTCATGCCATAGTTTTCACGGTTAGCTCTTCCTGCCGTGGACGCCCAAGACAATCCCCGCAGCTTTCATAGATTTCTTGGTCCTATCTTATCATGAAGGTTCGGTACATATCTGATCATCCTGTCTCAAAGATGTTAGCAAATTTTCTCTACTGGACGAGGAAAAGTTCGACTTGTATCGACGACACATATGATCGAGGAGAGGAAGGAAGATCTGTTATTGCAAAAGAAACCTTCCAAAGGTCGCTTACTCTGACCACACTTCCCGCTGGAGAATCTTCAACTCTGAATCTGCTTGCTCGCATCGAAATTCAGTCGCAGAAGCTGATGGTCCGTTTCTCTCTGAGTTCTGATGCCATTCGTTTTGATTTATCCTTCTTTTGCTTCGCCTTCTCATCATTGCGATCCACCACATTGCCCGAGTGGAAGCTGGCAATCGGACAAAGGATGCACATAAACCTTGCACAGACAAGCAGATCTGGGATTTTCGTTTCACATGGCAGTCGTTCCCGCTGTGAAGTACTTTCACCAACCAAGATCATTTCAAGGTTTCGGACAACAGAAAATTACAGGCGATAACTAACTCACCCACACCTACTGGACCCATCCGCTCACAGAACAGATGAACAAATCGCCAACCGCAGCTGAAACTAAAATAAGACATCCGATCGATGTGTCAGAATAAGACGCGTCACTTTGAGACCAGAGTAAACAAGAGAGCACTGACTGCCACTGCCTGACGAACGAGGAACCGTTCCCACGGAGATCCCATCCGACCGCATGTGGAAGTTCTCAGATATCCAGACATCTAATGATGTGGGTCAGGAAGAGGATTTTTGTCGTCATTATTCCAGCTTCTGCAGAAGTTCCAAGTCTGGTTGCAGGCGACCTCCTCATGAATCCGGTGTCTCAGCTCGGCACGACGAGGCTGAGACTGCAAGAAGGGTCTGTTGCTGAAGTCCAAACGATCCAGCTTGCAGAAGTCTTTGCACAGCACGAGTTTCCAAAATGTTACTGTCCGCTGTCCAGTCTGATTCGGCCTCCATGCAACATCATTGCAAACTTATGACCCATCGCTGCACAATCTGCGTGTCCGCAAGATTTGTACTGTTGTTTCCGAACAATTGGAGTCGAGTAAAAAGACAGAACACCGGTCATACTTCTCATAGCTCGATTCGAGGTCACAAGCGGCATCGCACTAGCCTTCGACGGAATATGTATCTTTTCGTACGTATTTATTCCTGTGCCCAGTACAAAAGCACAGGGTCTGTCCGTACATTCAACTGCACGGCTTTTTACAGTCGAGAACAGTTTTTTCTGTACCTGTGCAGGCCTCGTAGAAGACCTAGGACAGTCTACGCAACGGCTCCTCCCAATTTCTGAAACTGAAAGTCACGCGAGTATGAGGCCATTAATGGCTGTCTGCGCGGTAGGTCTCGATTCATTGCATGTACTCGAGGACTATCTCAATGCACCCGATAACTGACGGCCATGTATTTATGGGAGAATCAAATAATCTTCATCCGAGTCAATCCCAGACGAAAACCTAGTAATAGAGCAAAAACGATCTGAGTTAGCAATGTCCGGACCTCCACTCACGTGTGCTGGAATGCTGATCAAAATCTCCGTCGAGGACAAAAATTACCGTATGCACAGTACGAATTCTAAGGGATCTTGAGAGTTTCTTCTCATGCGGAATGATGAGCAGTCTCGAAGTCGTGGAGGTACAGTGGAAAGAGGTCGGACAGGATATGCCTCTCCCTTGCCTAAGGGGATGCCTTGTACTGGCCGCCAATGCCCTCCGCCTGGTACCGACCTTTCCGACCTGAGCTTTCGTGCTTCCAAATGTTCTTTCTCGTCGTCTGGATACCAGAATAAGCTCTCATCATGACGAAGGAACGCTTCATGGAGGGAGGAAACACACGTCCAGTCATTTCACCTCGACGTGTAGACTTGTATTCTGCGATCATCTCCAGGAGGCGTAAACGGCGATATCGAACGCTGCTCGACTTCGGAACTCCTCAATGTTCCATACTGATACCATGTTTCGTAGAACACCAAAGTGCTCTAAGGGTCGGACGAGCGTTTCTCCTCGTATACTGACGTCTTTTAGCTTGATACTGCCTGATGTGTTTATTTTCATATTGTTCTTATATTTCCATATTATAGTTCCCAGTCACGTTTGTCTCATCCATCTATCGTTTACAGATTGTTCTAGTTGAGATGGTTGACTTTCAGTTCTGGGCATGCAGCTTGGTACAACATATAAGAATATGGTCGGAGCAAAACTAGTTAGGTAACGAGAATTTGTTGGTCAACAGTTGCCGATTCTTTCAATTTTATAAGATCTGCGACCAAATGCATGAACAATGAAATGGATAGCTCAAAACTTTCGATTATCCAATTGAAGTCACCTAGAGACAAGACAGCAAACCAAGAATCATGGTAATTCCACTGCGTTGTATATAATAGCACTGGATATTGTTATCTATATGCGAGAATGAACACGTACTTTCTAGAGTAAGCTTAACAGTAGAGTTTCTTCTACTGCCTAGAATTGTATGATCATGCATAATACAAAGTGGATGTCATCGATTGTGAGCATGTGCATATCTTAGATTATTGCAACTTGATAATGTTATAAACCTTGTAATAAATAATAAAAGCACTTCACGGACCCTTACTGGTCTCCAGATCTGTAACCTATTGTCCGAAAAAGATTATATAGTGAAAAGTATGCAGGTCATAGTTGTGTACACTTAACACTTAATATCTTTTACTCAAAACCTTAACGGATGTTATATATTAATTTGACTACCTATCTTCTACAGCAGTAGTTAAATTGGTTTAATTAAGTATAGTCAAGTTAATAACGCTTAACAAAGACATCAATGAGATTCTACGAGAAGAGAATTTTTTATGTCATTTTATTCTCACCAATTTCAACGTCAAAGAAATAGAATTTTATGTAGGGTTACAATTTATGAAATATATACTATAATAACTCTACAAGTGCAATTTGAAATTTTTTTTACAATCAATGTGAAAACTAGTAATTTTACAATTGGTCTACATGTTTATTAAATTTAGAAAAATAGTAAAATTTAAGATCAATATAATCAGATATATAAATATATATTATAAATCAGATAAAATTATTTTTATAGAAATATGTAAATACTTATAGAATTTATTTAATAATAGCTCAAGTTTCAACACTAAATGTTGAGATGAGAATCAAAAGTCCATAAAATACAGAAATATCATCACACTCACATACGCAATGCCGACATATATGTTTTTATCACTACCATGTAACATCCAAGGGAAACATAAATAAATGTACACGTGATTTATGTCTCTCCTTCCTATATAATGAGTAGAAAAATAAAGTAATAACGTAAAAAGAACTTAAATCTAATCTTAACTATGATTAAGTAAAGTAGAATCTAATTCAAATTTCAATTAATATCAACAATCTACTTTGCAACTCATGTTGTGGAGACATGAACTTCAATAATTCATTTAATAACTAGAAATTCTAAAAAAACTTAAGTTAAACTAGAACTAACCCATAGCCAAAACATGATAGAGTAAAAATATAGTGTTAACAAAAAATACTACATGGATTCCTCATGCAATATGTGTACAGGAGCATAATGTATTCTAGAACCTTCTAAAGTAATAATCTTGATCAATACATCAATTCAATTTTATTTACCTTTAATGTTGACTAACTGAATATTTTTATCAAAATTACAATTCAAAATCTTCACTTTCCGACAAGTCCAAAGACTTTTTTATCCAATTTCCTATCTTAAGTTTGGCTTGCGGATGATCATATGTATTGAATATTGAAATGCTTCTAAAAACATCTAAACCAGAGTACATTCCCGATTGCATCTTGTTCTTTAACACCTAATGTTGTATGTTTAGGCATGATTGTATAAGGCAACCGTAGACTTAGGGGCCTAAATTAACTAAACTATCTCGTGATTAGGCTTCTAAATTACTATGGGTGTGATTTGACGCCTACATGTTACAATCAATGGAAAGTGGACACTGATGCAAAATTAACGGCTTTTATTATTATTATTTTCTAAATTAATTTAATTTTAAATATATATATAAAAGACTTCATCAACCTAAATTAAATTTTTAGAGGCTAAATTAACCTTAATAAAATGTTTAAGTATACTAAATTAGCAAAAATTAACATTTTCTTATGAGACTAAATTAACGTCTTTGAAGAGACAAAATTAAACGTATTTAGTTAGTTTAGGCGAGTGATTATTACAGCCATGTCTGTGTATGTGTGAAATAGATTTAGAAGTAACCAAGGCGTTAATTATGATTAACTAATTAGTTAACTAAGTCTAGCTAGTTCTAACTAAATTTATCAAGTTATAACTATGTTTAGCTATAATGTTTATATTGGCAAAATAACTAGAGAAGTTTTAAAATATTTGAGTAAGTATTTCTATTTCGTTTTGTACAAAAGTCTAGATTTCAATAGAAAATATTTTTGATTTCATGTTTAATTTTGATTGGTGTTATTAAGTAATGGGGACTTCATTGATTAGACTAAATCCAATGTTGATTTTGTGGCAAGTGGAGATTCTAGAAGTTGTAAGTCTCAAATGACATATTGTCACCTCAATCTAGAGATTAATAAACATCAAGAAGGTTTAGAAGTCCAATGGCATGTTACCACGTATTTTAACTACTCAAACTTATTATGATTTATCTCTCTAAAAGTACATTAGACAAAAATTATCATTTGTTACTATAATAATTTCTCAAGCAGTATATATAGAGAGTTAGAGACTAAATTTGCCAAGCAATTTTGAAGAATTCATGTGTAAAGATTTGTTACATATATGAAAGAGTGACGTTTTTTAACATCTTGCAGTGTCGATGTGTGTGTGTGAATTTGAATTATGAGTTAAAAAAATGTGTTAGAAATTGTTTGGTATATGAGTATGGGGATGAATCCTAGCCTTCTAAAACCATGATAAACTATCGCAAAGCCATTTGAGATATACATGGATGAGAGTCAACTCAAAGATTGCAATTCCCTTTCTAGTTGTTTCTTACTTTTTTCTTTAACTTTGTCTCTATCATCTTCTAATTCGTCATTTTTAGACAAGTCCCAAGATGTTGTGATCTGATAGTCTTCATTAGTTTGCCTTGGGTATAACCACGTGTAATAGAAATTGACACACTTCTGACAAGACTTAAATCAGATGCCATTGTCCGATGAAATCTACTTTAATTTTTCCTTGCTTTTTAGCATTCTTCTTAACTTTTCCTCTATCATATTTCAATTTATCACTTTCAGATAAGTCCAAAGACATTGTGATCTAATTTTCTATCTTAGGTTTGGCTTGCGGATAACCATGTGAAGTGAAAATTGACACGATCCTGGCAAAATCTAAACAAGACGTCATTTCTCAATCAGATTTTGTTCATTTTCTTCTTGCTTTTTAGTTTTTTTCTTAACTTTGTACATATTATTTTTCAACTCGTCACTTTCAAACAAGCACTAATACGTTGTAATCCAATCTCTTAATTTAAGTTTGGCTTGCGAATGATCATGTGACTAGAAATTGACATTCGTGTGACAACACCCAAACAATAGATTAGTCTCCGATCACATTTCGTTAGTTGTCTCATTGCTACTTAGCTTTTTTTTTATTTTTGTCCTTATCATCTTCGTACTTATCACTGTCAGACAAGTCCAAAGAAGTTGTGATCCAATCTCCTACCTTGGGTTTGACTTGCGGATAATATTAACATCCTCCTTAGAGACTTCTTTTGTGACCTCTGCCCAACTGACTGAATTGGAGTTGAGGAGTACCTTGAAAGAGCAGGTCTCTTCTTATTTCTTGCAGAAGAGTATAATTGTGCTTACATTTGGGAGAAGAATCATGACGTTCTTCATTATCATCAAAAGAAGTATAATGAGTCAAATGTGCAAGATCACCTCTAGCCCTCAAACTTGACCAAGTATTTTCATTCGGCATTTGCTAAATGAAAATCTTCTTGTGAAGTAGGCTTATTTTCTTTTAGAGTACGCTTCAATTTTGAAATTGACTAAGATTTTTTTGCCATGTGAAATATCTCTTTCACATTTATCTGTACCACGATACCTAACTGCATTGAACTGTATCCTTGAGCTCTTGAACTTGTGAACTGAAGTGATTCCATGGACGGTATTGACCTAAAACCATAACCCTCACTTGGTCTTGATCTACTTTCAAAATTTGCACGATGCTGCTGATTACTTCACTTATGCTCCCGATCACCTTGAGAGTTTTCATTTGTCAAAGTTGCAAACAAAGCGTTTGAATTTGTTCCTGAATGCCTCCCCTTCATCTTAGTATTCTCCCCTAGATAGTGCTAGTCAAAACCAGATCTTCCACAAAAAAAAATTCAAAGTTGCAAGTGTTTCTTGACAAAAAGTTTCATGAGTGAAGTCAAAGTTCATCATGCAATAACCAACACCGTAAACGTTTAAGTTAAATCAAATCCATACCAAAGAATATGACTAATTTTATCTTTTTGAGCATTCATTGTAAGAACTTTATCTAATATTTAACATTTTATAATATTAAAAATAGTGTGAGCACAAATTTGAATTACATTATGCAAAGTTACAATCTCCTATCGTGAAATGATGTCAAGTAGCTATTACTCATGATTCCTAGTCTAGAATGTCACATATAAAACATCTGATCTCAAAATTAAATATAATCTACTTTATCACAAATTGTTATACTCTCTAACATGTATAGATTGTTGTGTTTATGAACTCTTAACATAAACTTATCATCTAATCTCACCTTGAGCACTTTCTTTCAAAATCTTCACCCTATACCTTTTGAATCTAACATTTCAATTAAGATCAAAGTCTTCTCATATCACGCATGAATCTTACTAAAGTGAATGTATTTTTTTACTCTTTCAAGAATTTGAATCTTAATAAATTGAAAATCTTTAAACCCACAAGATTGATCATTTTCTAGATGGATTGTTTGAAGTTAAGAAAGCACACAAGAATATTTAATGTAACGAATGAAATAAGACTAAACTTTATCTAGATACCATCATCAACTTACTTCAATGAATTGCATAGTACATGACTTTGAAATCATTCTTTATTGTCAAATAAGTCATACTCCTTGTGATCAAAATCTTTAATTAGTTGAATAAATTTAAAATAACTAAAAACAAAGGTGACAAAAAAATTGAACACCTTTAATATTCATAAGAAAACCATTTTTGTGACCATACTTGTAACATTTTCAAGAAATTACCATTTTCTTTTCTAAAAATTTACACCTCCACTTGATTCTATCCCTAGTTTCAAAACGCTTTTATTTTTATTATTACGTGAATATGACCAAACTAGAGTTCAAAGGTTTAAACTTCCAACTTCTAAATAAAATCTACATTTATTTGCAAAAACGGGTGAAAACAGGCTTTAAGGTGCTGATTTTGCGACCCTCATAGTTTCTTGGGCATCATCGTTCTAGATGAAATCTGCACTATTATTATGGAAATAATACTAATGGAGATGTGATTTGGATCAGCCTAAAGAATAGAAGGCGAAGAAAGTAGACAATGTGAAAGTAGGTGAAAAATCTAACATATTTGTTGTGAGAGTACTTCTAATCACTCCACCGTATTGAAAGTCTTGGTGAGGGCTTTGCAAAATTCAGACAATGCTTATCTCAAAATGATCAACCATGTTTGTTTCGAGAAATCTGTAGAACAAAAAATTCATGAAATATAAAATAAACATCATAACCGTAATTCGTCACTAAGAGGCCACAACCATGAGAACCAAAAAGTTTTAGTGAAATTTAGATGTTCAACGCAAGCTTTGGCTTGCTTTCTTACGTAATGGAAAGCAAAAATTCTAATAACAATAAAAATAAAATTCTGGTTAACTTAACTAGTGTTAAGTTAAACAGACTATAGCTCAGACTTCAGATTATATTGAGACTAAGTTTGTCTGTGTATATCTATCTTTTCATGACTATGATTACATGAAAAACACATTTTTTAGCTTAAAACTAGTCAATTTTGTAATGAGTAAAAATTTGGTCTTGGTTTAGTGAGAAATAATCATCATATGAGGAGATTAATGTATATATTTGACTAGATTTTGGAATTAATACAAGAACATGCATTTTGAACATATTTAAGAAGAATAATCTCATTAAACTTTATTCATCACTTTGTATGAAATTGAGATTGATTGCATATCATATTTGTAAATCTATAATTACAAAATCTAAAATAAATGAGAACTTAAAATTAATATTCAAAACAAGAAAAGAATATTTAAGAAGGATATGCAAACAAAGCTTAGATAGATTACATATGATTGATCGATATGAAAATTTCGTTGTACTATGTATTCATGATTATATATATTTTTCATCAAGTCAATAAATTTTCATCTTGCAAATCTCCGTGTGATGAGCAAGTATGAATCGCTATTACACGAGCATTGAGAAATACGAGTGTTAAAGGTATTTTGTTCAGATAATAAATATACAATTAATCATTGAAGAATAGATGTCTTTGATATGTAAAAAAAAATGGTCATATTACTTACGTTTTAATTAAAATGTTATCCTATTCTTCATCTCTGAATTGTTAATGCATGAAATCATCCAACAATATACAGAATTTTATTGAAAAGTTAAGTACATCTTTCCCTTCAATAAGTATACATCGAAGATCCGTATTTGATCTTTCGTTGTATAAATCTGAACTTTTCATTTGACAATTTTATTTTTTTCATAAACCAATCACTATCATCTTCCACTTTCATCATCTGTTGAACAAATCCTTCTTAACCTAGCGACGGACAAGTAACACATTACATTTTTCAATTGAATGATAAAATATATCAGAGGATCTTTTACGGCAGTCAAGTAATTCTCGAAATTATCAGTAAAGTTTACAACCTACCAAACGAAACATCCGTATTGTAAAATCAGTAAGTTGAAGATTCGTTGTTATTCGATTGATTTATTACTTTTATCTTACTTCAAACCTTGTCTGTACCTGCATGTGATACTATTTACCATAATGTATGACTAATTGTATCTTTCTTCACGTTTTTGACATTGTAATTAACATGGAGTATACTCTATTTATTTATTCTTTAACCTTAACATAACAACAATATACATTGCTTCAGAGCATGGTAGGAAGGAACAATATTATTACATGTGATATTGAGAAGAGACCTCGATTGATCAAACATTACTTGTACGTCTGATACCATATAACAGAACTATGTCAAAGAGGAGTTAGCTCCCTCCTTTCCATGTTGTCTCTCAACATTGTTGTTTACCTTCAGTGGTTTTTGCAATGTGCAAATCTAGTAACTTTTGAGATAGTTTTTTCACTTTATGCTTCGACGTTTCATTTTCCATCTATTGTTTGAGTATCTACACAGTAAAGTGGGTCTTCCCTGGCTATTAAATCAAGCACACTGTCCCTCTCTTTTCACCTTATCTGCATAGACAAGGGATCTACGTGCACGTTTTAGAATAAGAATACTCAACGACCTTACTATACTTTTTATACTTTAGACTCGGGAAAAGAAGGCACTGCTTCTCAGTGCCTTTTTTGTTGGAAGTTGGGTCTGAATAGAACTGAAGCTAGCTTTCCTTCTGCAAATCAAACTGATGAAACTGGAGACCAACATATACAGTAGAAAAAAATAAATGATTGTACTCCTTGTGGGCCCTTTTTACGGTATCAATTAAGGGGGGGGAGCGTGTACGATTCCGCTGCAAAAGCGGATGTGGGACACCTTTCTACCACTTGTCGTATGAACCGAAACTTGCTTCGACACTGAATCACTCCAAGTGACATCGTAGCAAAGAGGAAAAGACTAAACGTGCATGATTGCGGTTGCACAACCACTCACAACCCTGCTACTAACAGTGGAAGTTCAAAAACTGCTATTAGTGAAACCACCCACCTCAGTGAGTCCCAAACTTCGCATCCCGTAGTCGTTCTCGCATACACGAACTTTCCCGGTTCGACAGTGATTTATAAAATCATCGGGTACTTTCATCAGTTCAAATGATAAGAGAAATGTGTGCTCTGAGCAATTCTTCTACTACATACTCGGAGCGCAAGGAACTAAGAAAATTTCTATCTCATAAAGACTTCGTATGAAGGAACTAAGATAATTTGAATGGTCTTAGAACGGCACTAGATGGATGATTCGTCCTGCTTCCAACTTGCAGCCAACAGCTCCATGACTAGCCACAATGGAGAACTCATTTGCTTATGAATCGTGTCGACTCAAAAGCTTAGACCAGAGTGATTACTCTTTTACCTGCAGATTTCCTCCTTCTCCTTCCATTCTAAATTGTAAGTGGATCCAAGCATCCTTGCTCCATCCCACAAACTGTGGATGAATTCATATTTCTTAAAAATTTCTTAGGAAAAAGCATGATGTACAATGAATATGAGACCTCCAACTCAGGAAATCCCATGTTGCCCGTCTGGTTCAGCCTGACGTATACCGTACAGGCTACTTCTCAAAACGTCAACTTTTATTGTTCAAATGCCTCAAAAAATTTGGACTGAAAGGAATGAATGTACCAGTCCGTAGAATTAGTACTAATCAGAGGAGCGCACATGACATAGATCATGTATTACGACAATCTACTTCACTACTGTACCTTACATATGACAACCTCACTCAAAGGCTTGAGTGTAACGTTACGGTTGGGAGATCGAGATTCTCAGTTCTGAAAGACAAGTCTTTCGAAGTCCCCGCCAGCAAATCTTATTATAGGCCTGATCTACCTAGTCAATTTACAATTCTCTATTGACTATCCAATTGCAACAAACGTCTAGGTGGGATCTATAACACTGATTCTACTTATGGCTTTCACCGAACTCCGAGAAACCTCTTTTAGAATCAATGTTCGGATCAAATATCCTATTCCCCATCTGCACAGTAGTTGGAACCAACTTCGCAGCGGACGTGTGTGACCAGTAGTGCTGCACGTGACAGGATTTATACTTGTACATTTCGACATCCTGCTTAATCAATCAACTCTTGCCGAACCCCTACCAGTGTGAAAGAATCTCACGAGTAACTTCTACTTATGTTTGTTCGTCTTCCTCCACAAGGCTCATATCGGGAGATTGGGGGGCAACAGGGGGGATAACGTCCAACTTGTGGCGTACGATCTGGAGTAACAAGAAGTCCAATACTTTAGTCAGTCGAATAAAACACATGTCCTGAACCACATGGTCAGCGTTCATGTTTCCCATATAAATACTACCAAATCTCAGCTTTCAAAGAGGACAATTAAGACATTCATTTTCTTACAGAATTCAGATCACTTGCATAACATACCTTCCGATAAAACGTTGAGTAACTATTATCCCACACAAGCTTGTAGTGGCCAACAAATGGTGAAGGAAAATCACCCTGTTCACAACACCCACATAATCAACAAAAAGGATCATGCACATGGAGAATATGAATTAGCATGGATGCACGAAAGAATACGCTCAACTAAGATGGCTCAGAGACACAGACTGAATTAGCTCCAGTCAACACTAACATCGGATATACTTATCCGACCTGCACTCGAGTTATTTTGTGAGAAGTAGCAACCTGATTTGGCTGATTTGCCTCGTATCGTTTGTAAGGTACCATAGGCACTTTGCTCCCACTTTCGTTGATAAAGTCAACATGGAAACCCACATCCTGCAGTAAGGACAAGAAAAGGCTGAAATGCATGCATCCCAATCTTCGATTTCGTGATATTAAAGCATCATTAAAAAGTCATGTTGCTGAGCTACAGATGATACAGATGCCTGAAGACCATATCAGGCTTGGCCTTTAGATATCAAAAGACGCGATCCCTGATTGCTTACCTTTCCTGATGTCAATCTGAAATCCCAGGCCACGATTGATCCTTCACATTCAACTTTGACTGCCACCTGGAACAATGAAAACATACTTAGGATACTTATCTTGCGGTACAAGCACTCCCAAATGTACTTCAGTCAAGGCAAACCATCTACGTAAAACTTAGTATCATCCATTCGGGACAAAATGTCAATACAGTGATGAAAATTGACGTCTTGCAACGATGAGAAAAAAACTGTTATATTTGAAGCTGAAAGTAAATTCAAACACTCATCTCTTGAATGGCCACACCGGACCCAGAATATACCTCATGAAATTTTCCTGGAGGAATAGGAGTCTCCTCAAAATCGTCAAACCTGCAGATGAAGCATAAAGTCTTAGAAATAAGCTAATTGTAAGACTTTATTTGTATTAACTAGGCAGACGATCTGCATCAGGACAGTTCTGGACTACATAGGTGTACAAAGGTAGCACTACCTGCGAGCCCATGTTCTTTATATGAAATTTCCTTGGCATTTCGCGATGAATTGAGCTGACATCCTCCCAATATTGGAGGATTTTAATCTTCAACTAACCTCAAATAAAAAACAATACATTTCTTCATTTAACCGGACACGAGAAACTTACTTCTCTTCTGTGAGTCCTGCTTCTTCTGCAGATATGAGGAAAGGTGAATTTTCGAATACTTCTCTGCAACACAACGCATCCAAATATGAGTAGTTAGTCAAAATTGCATATTCATTAAAAATAGTCATTACAACCAGTAAAGAACTCGGAACATGAACCTGCATTCCGGCAATTCCATGCAGACAGATAGTTTCATGCAGGTGATGTCAATGGTCGGAGGACTTCCTCAGCACTCTTCTAAGTATGCCTTGAGTCCAAACCTATTTCTCATGAGGTCTCTTTCAATTCTCCAACCAAGATAAACCGATTTGGCCACAAAGGGCTCAGATCATGCAATGATGGACGGAACGCCTTACCCCATAAATTTCAGATAGTGCTTGAAATCCGTGACATATGCATCGACGGACTTCTCTAACTGTGCAAGCATATCTTCCGTTTGCCTGCAAAAAGGATGTACACTCACCTTGTAAAACTTGCAGATTTTATTTACATCCTTTCTACACTCCTTTATACTTCACAGTAAACCGTATGAATCTAAAGTCAGATACGGTTTAAAGTGATGAGTAGATTTCAACGACGCAATACGTTCTTAAAATATAACATTCAACGAAACAGCAGAAGGAAGAAACCAAACGAAAAAATGCCGGACAAGGAAATGGTGCGTGACGCATACGAATCAGCATTGTCGAAAGTTAGCCACCAAAATTGGGTGAATATTCGGATGTAACTGGCCAACGTCGTAATCTGGTATAAAGGAGGGCCGTAACGCTCTCGTTGCTCTTCCATCGGCCTGTTGTAAAAAGCTTTTTCAATTTAGGGTATTTCTTCTCCTGTTATAATTCACACTTGGAATGGTAACCGCTTACACGAAAATCAGGGTTTGAAGGACTATCTGCCGTATTCTAACTGAAAACATCCCCAAAAAAAGTGCTGGCAGAAGGAGAACGTCAACATCCGATTGATATGCAACAAATACTAGGATGTGATATTTGAAAAGGGACCTACCCTTGATGATCATTGATCTGTTTAACGAACTCAAGTAGCACCTGCACATCCGTAAACTAACAGGTCACTGCTTATAACATATAGGAACGCTTATTTACGACAGCAGTAACAATTCTCCAAGATTCAATACAAATATAACACGTTGCTTCCTGACGACAATTACATTGTAGATTTAGCAACACAGAAAGAAGTACATGTGCCAAAAAATTGTAATCCAATAAATACTAAGTCGTAAGAAAGTCCTCCAACGGTAGCGTCTTTCTAAAGGATGCTACCGTGGAATATTAAACTACATGGGCTGATAGATATCGAAGGTTGTGACTGTACTCCTTGGTATGTGCATGTTATAACCTGAAGAGGTTGTCTAGAATTTAAGAAGGACCAGAATATTAAACTACATGGGCTGATAGATATCGAAGGTTGTGACTGTACTCCTTGGTATGTGCATGTTATAACCTGAAGAGGTTGTCTAGAATTTAAGAAGGACCAGAAAAACGTATCCACATATCTTACATCCAAAGTATAAACGGGTGAGTTTTGAAGATTGCCTCATTAGAGCTACTAAAAGCTCAATTTTGTGCATACACATATGAAAGTGATCTTCCGCTTTCAACTAAAATACATCTGAGATACATGATCTAGACAAAGAATGTGCACAAACGTTCCAACAGGCTGCAGGTGAAAATACGGTTTGAGAAATTAATCCAAATGCACCTACCAGTGGTACTCCCACGAGGAACTTCACAAGTTGTTTGTACAATCCTGAACCTGAACCGAGTTGTGCTAATTGTCTTCGTCTGCACGTCAAAATTAAAAGAGATAAGACAGTGCATGTAATGAATTCGAGACCATCGACCATGCTTTGGCTCCACGTTCCAACTGACTTGATGAAGACATGGGGGAAGACACAATAATGAGAACTATGTACAGGTAAAAATTGATTTCTTGGCAAGCTTCGCTTCAAACTTACAATAACATAACGATGTTAGCAACCTAGTATTGACCAAACCACAACTGGTCACTATATTTATTCATAGGCCCCAAATGACACTCCTGACCATAGAGGCAATTTGGGCTTTGAATCTATGACATTGACCCTAGCAAAGACTATCGATTCCACCAACTGACAATCGAGAATGTGGAGCATTCAATTGATTCACTGTGTACGAAGATTTTAGAAAATCAAGAGAATGGAACAAAGTTTCATCTTCATTTATGTTTCAATGTTTATGTTTCTATAACCCTTATCTTGAATCAAGCATTTCAATACCCATGTTGTAACTCAATCAACTCCTTGCTGTAAGTCATATCACATAACCTCTACATACCACCAGTACCACCTTCAAGTTCAATTAAGTGACAACCAAGAAAATTACCAACTGATTCATTTTGGAACCTATAGAAAATGAAAGATGGAGTGATAATATACTTGATATTTACTCCGTTTTCATAATTGATTGTCACTTGATTGCCTCACCAAACAGTCCACAACTGTTACTAACCTTTCCATCTGCTGTTTCCAAAGCAACACAAACTTCTCGCGAATACTTCCACCAGCATTAACAAGAGCCTCCACTTCTGCTTGTCGTCTTTTTTCTGATCGCTCTCTTTGCTGTTTGATCAGTGAGCATCTGAAGTCTTGGGGCATATAAGTGAGAACTGCAAACAAGACTCTTTGTGAGTCACTGTTGATATTTAAATGGCCTAAGGCTGGAATCGACAAGAAAATGATGACTCACGCTTTCTCCGGTTTAAAACGGTTTTTGGAATGACATACTATGTATGTAATCAAACCCATTGCAAAAACAGAAATCCAAATTCTGTCCACAATATAAAAAATTCTAATCGATAACCCGCCTATAGCATCTTCAGCCAGTAATCAAAAGTATAATGATCCAAAACAGCAACGGAAGCACTCACCCATATTGTAGACCCTGTCACTGTTTGCGACCTGAAATTTCTCTATATCCTTCAACAAACTCTTCAGGATCCCTCCAAGCCTCTCTAGTGCTTTGACAACATTGGTTGAAGCAGACTGTCCTTTGAGCTGTATAAATAGCCATTAATGAAAACATCAAAACAGGATAAAATATGACTGGGAAGGGTGAGTAACTTAAGATATCAACATCAACGTATGATACACCGATGCTGAAAACACGTTCAATGGAGCCAACTGTAACTTTCGAACAAATCCAATCGAAGCTTCTCCTGTGACAAGTTGTCTGAACTCCACTGCAGTTGCAGTGAAGTTTAAAGTTAATATTGGAGGTACAAAAACACGGGAACGTACTGCTTTCGGCCAACTGCCCTCCTCAAATAGATGAAGAATCTCTTCAATCTGTTCTCTATTTTTCCACAAATTCTCATCAATCTTATGAGGGACGATGATTTGCAACTCTTCCATCATCTGTTTGTTCCCTGTAAAGTTCGGAGTAGACAACAGTTAATACTCTGCATTTTCGTTAAACTTAAGCATTTGATGACGCAGAAGGTCGTCTTCAAGTTGAATGACTAATTCTAAATAAGCACGGAATAGAGACCATATACTTGGCGTTAGTATCTTCACATGGACAAAAACGACCTCCCATTTCGGGATAGCAGAAAGCAAAAATTGTTCCTTGGGTAAGATAGCCATACTAGAATCAAAGGCTGGGCTACTCAAGGCAAATTATTGGCTTTCATAGTTCAAAGTACCCCCGTAAACTTATAAACTATTCAAACTCTTCCTTACATTGACTCATGAATTTGATCAATTACATTATAATTCACCGATAAAGATAAAAATTTGAGGAAGAAAAAATTCAGAGAAGAAAAAGACGTTATACGAGATAACACTAACATCGATAGTGACAATTAGACATGAAAGAAGAGCTGATTCGATCGTACAAATATCCCAACAAAATAAGTTGGTCGCTACAATTTGTCATTGGTCCCTCGCTAAGTAAAATACGATATTCTTTGCATGTGAGCTCACACTGCTCACGTTATATAATTCAATACCCTTTCTCATTTGGCACGCCTGTGTAAGAATGACAAACTGACCATACGTGGAGACATACGTGAGCATTTAGCAATCCTGGATGCCGACCCCTCCGGACAGATCGACAAAGGATACTGAAGTCTTGAGTACATAGAAGATCCAGACTAGAGGAGGAGTAACATAATTGCTCTGAGCTAAAACATCATTCTACAAAGGTGACCAGAGAATTGGAAAGTTTGCTGAAGAAGGAAAATAAAAGAGAGTTTTCAAGTCTGGTGATTTGACAGGAGATAAACAGAAACCATGCACCTGTACCGCCGATCTACACTTACATGTTCAACCTTAAGGTACACCGCGAACTTCAAGAGTTCCTCAGTAGCTGATCGTGTAGAAAGAAATATGTGGAACTAATTAAGACTTTATACAAGCTTTCGATTCCAGTCACTTAAAACGTTTCCTCAAAATCGAAAGCAGGCACTCGTATGAAACATCGACTTCATCGCCAATTTGCCACTTTCCCATACTAGACTACTTCAGAGAACTCCAAAGCCACAAGAATTGAAATTGCACAAAAGACACCAACCTGAAGCTTTCTGATACTCAAGGTCCATGCGATTGAACTTCTCTTTCAGGGAATCGATAATCGAGGGAAGTTCCTTGTTGAGTGGGGAGTACGGGTATTTCTCATAGTATTTCGCAAGAAAGTGACGCGTAATCGGCACAAGGCCTGCAGTGGAAGCCATCGCAGCCCTTCTCGCTTATCCTATGCTCGTTAATCTTCAACGCATCTCCAATTCACGCAAATCTCAGCGGCGCGGCCAATTCTCCAGCCCCTCCGCTCGTCGTCCACCAACCAAGCGCACGGAATCCCGTCCTCCAGCACCAGCCAAACTCGCGGTACAGCCTCTCAATGTAGAGCTCAGAAGCGCGAGAGGTCCGATCTGCAGCGCATGGTTCAACGGACCATCGATCTGCGATGCAAACATCCGTCAGAGAGAGACTGTTGTGCGCTTGAAATCATGGCCCAGAGCCGCAGAGGACATTCCCTTCCGCTTTCCTGCAGATGCCTTCACATTCGCCCCACACTTTCTTTCTTCTTCGCTCATTCCAGACAGACGCCACACACGACACTCCCTGCAATAGACAACTTCCACATGTTTACCTCTGCCGGAACTTGCCCCGAAGCCACTCCTCGGCCGGGACGCCGCCACCTGTCGGTCCTCTGCCAACGTACGGATCGTCCTCGGCGAATGCGCATTCGACTTAGCCCTTATGACTCCGCTTTGTCTTCCTAATCTTGCCTGCAACTTGCCCCGGTGTGCTTTCACCGGCCGTGCCAGTGCCTGGAATGTGCTCTTCCTCTCGAGCCCGGCCTCTGGTCTCAGTTTTCCAACTTACCTGTCTTTAATGCACCGCGAACTCCTGGATTCGGGTGCAGGGATCTGATGATGATTTTGTTTCGAGGTTGAATTACAGTACATGCTGTGGCGTCAACTTGTGCCCTGCGTCATTTGCTCGTCACCTGTGTCCTGATAAGCACGGGCCTGAGCTCAGATTGGACCCGTCTCGTGAGTTAGCTACTACTCTTGTGCTTATCACATACTTCACTATACACGTCGTGTTCTGCACAATACGCGAAGGACGTTACAAAAAAGTCAATCAAAAGTAGAGAAACTTGGAATCGCACAAATATAAGAACGCATCGTCCTTCATTATTTCCTAGTAGGCATACCTAATTCGTTAGGCGCTCATATTTCGTCTCAAGGATTGGATCTAGCAGTTGTAGTAGATTTTCCAGTTAGTTTTGTTTGCACTAGAGGTTTCATTAGGGCATACGCGGTCCTTGCTACACCAGGGTCTCAATGCCAGAGTTGTGATGAAGTCTCATTGGATGACAGTTTTTGGGGTTGGGATCTCCAGAGTGTTGCTATGTTGGGTGACATGTAAGCTTAAATCATGGAGTCTTTGAGGCGACCTTTTTTTGGATTGTTGTGTAAATTGTAAACTCTCTTTTTATGTTATGGTGGCATTACGATGTTCCTTATGAGTGTTTGCGGAGTAGAGTAGATATATTGTGTTAAGATATAACGATGCATGTATTGTGATATTTGGTGTCATTGCATTATATGGTCCGATTAGATAGGTACATGTAGATCACCCCTTGGAAAAGAAACATTTACCAATTCTAGAATATAAACGTCAGCACCACATAAAATCTTCAACAACATACATACGATTAATATTTTGAAATTTTATAAAAGAAATGTAAACGTTCCCCCAGCAGACAAGGATTTTATCCTGCTAGCATAGATATATAATGTGGACCTGAGTTGACAAATTGACTCCACGCTCTGTGTTCCTGCAACAAATGTGTAATATTTATTGTTCTTTTTCTTTTTCTATACATACATTGAATGTCTTCACAATTTAGTAAATTTTTAGACTTTTTGTTACATAGTTACTTTTTGTTACAGTAGAATGGTTTGCAAGCAAAATGAATGTATTACACATTCAACTATTTGAAATACAGATTACTATCTAGATGTTTTTTTCGTACATTATGCATGGAAGCTAAACTTGATTCAATTCAATGCATAATGTACAAATAACATATTTTATATCAATAATCATTTTTAACATCTATTATTATATAGTCAATGAAAAAAATTGGTTTGATATTTCAAAGATAAATTGGACCGAATTATGTTTATACATTAAAAAATTGAATTGAAACTTTTCTTAATGAAATAGTTTTCTTTTCAATTTTAATATTCATATGTTATTTTATCTATATTGCTTGTATACTTCAATCATTTCAACTTATATCAATCTTTCATAAACGAAATATAATTTTACATTATTATAGATATATAAAATTATGTTAGATCTTAAACTGCTCTTACAAAGCAATTGAAATCTAACACATAGAGCACAAGTAAGATCATTTTTTCATTTTCTTGTTTTTTATATTTAAGTAATAATAATCAAAAGTCAATTTCATTATTTCGTTGTAACATTTTTATCCTCCATATGAACACAAAGCTTTTTAGAAAATATTTTTGGGGTCAAATTCAACAACTTTAAATCAATTCCTTTCCTAATTTGCTACCAAAAACTTTCACAATCTCAATTTTGATTATATATCAAATGAAGTGATTAAAGCAGTAATTGTCAAATACTCTTCAAAACATCTACACTACATAAAAAAACATATCAATATCATCAAAATGTTCCATTTGAAAATTTCAAGTTATCATTTATATACTCAAACATCTAAGAAAAACTAGATTCATATTATTTTCATAAAAGATAATCTGAAATTGAGATAGAGTAATTACTTTGAGACTCAACAAGATCACATTATAGCTCCAAAAACTACTCATCATAGCCGTAATCTCAAACGTAATTTCAAAAGTTACACTTCAAGGGATAGTAATCCAACCTCAAGACTCTTCAACCATAGTTCTCATGATGACAATTTAAAAGGTCTTACTCCATTAGCAGTTCTTAATACTATATATGTTCATGCATGCACACACCTACTAAACTAAAAGGTGTATTACATAAGTTCTGATATATTTTAGATTTGATATGTCATGCTCTAACAGATTGACTGATCATCTTCATAATCGGTGAAATGTTTAGATCTTGTCTAAATGGTTACGGAGGCATGACTATGCTTTTGATTCATATCAAACAACGGGCATCCGTGATAGTTTCTTACTTTGTTGTCTTGGGACAACGAGATGCATGGTTTAGAGATGAGTCGTTTGCTTTAATGTAGTGTGTGAATTTGAATATGATTGTTTCCGAGGACGGCGTTCATAAAAGAAGTGTGGATTTTTGTTATATCTCTACAAGTTTCGAATATATCATACAGATGAATGTCTTCATAACAAGTAAATTATAATATTTCGTCAGAAGTTTTAATGGGGAAATCATCAACGGGTCATGTAATTTCTTTAAAGACAATGTGCTATGCACAAATTTGGGTTAACAGAATCCGTTGTTATATTGCAAATCTGGTTGAAGTTTAGGATCCGAACATGAGCATGTTATGAACTCAAATGGGAGGATACTATATTCGGTGGGATTTTCTTGAATGACTCGATGCGTAAATATTGAGTGGTGTGGAAGGAATCGTTCTTGGAGCTAACTGGCTATGCGGTGTAGTGATTTGTTACGGACAGCAATTCGGGGCTCTTTATTGACGTTGCTTGCACTGAACCGAGTAGACAAACCCATATACGTCTGTGATACGGCGAGGAAAAGTTGATATTAAAATGGGTGAATAATTTATTAAGGATTTCATATAAATTTCTAAAGTTTTGGAAGGAACCGCACACAGCATGGGGAAACTGATATTATTACTCGAATCTGGACTTTTGGTGTCAAAAGTATATGTTGAATCGTCTAAAGCTTACATAGTCAACTGGCATAGCATTAGGCCGTCCAGTCTAGGGTTTGGCGCCAGCCTTCGGGGACGGCCTTGCAATTCCAACGAACAGAGCAAGTCAAATGTCAAGCCCTGATGGTCGTGGGGTACGTGAGTTTGGCCCGAGATCAAGTCCATGTAGCGGCGGTCCAAACCCTCGCTCGGGAGGAGGAAGCAATGGCCAGTCGGGCCTCTAACATTAGCACGGCAGCCCGGAGGCGATCTTCAGTCCAGCCAAAATAAGGGTGCCTCCAGATATGGCCGGAGAAAGTGGGGGGACCGAATTGGGGGCGGCGTCGGACGAACTCGAGGTTTGACGGGCGAAAACGCAACTACGGCCGAAAACGGCTGAGGGTCACGCTGCGGCTCGTCGTGTATTATCTTGGACAGAGATCATTGCTCGACGGATTTTGGGATTTTGTCAAGAGCTTGGGCGCGTGATGCGAATTCGGAGAGTGGATTGATCTTCATCTCGAGGCACTGTACGTTCAACTCTGCCTTTGCATTTTCCTTTCCAATCCGATTCCATCCTTGGAATCGGAGGTTTAGAGTTGTTCGGGCGGGACGGATTGATTCGTGCTTTGCATTTTCTTGGTGGATTGTTATGCGTTCGGTAGCTTCAATCTGTTGCTTGTGTACAATGTGAGCGACCAGCATTCCTCTCTGTTTTTTCAGGAGTGAGCAGGTGTGAGTGGTATTGAATCTAAAGCTACGCGCTCTTCTTCTTTTTGGTGAATCTCAGTGAATTTCAGGCACTTGATTGTAGATGAAATGTTTAGAAGAGTTCATGTTCAGTTTTTTTACAGAAATTGCATGGGTTGATATCGGAGTCATTCAGAAGCACGGCGAGCTCGAATTATTTATCTAGATAGGGAATCTACAAATTTTTTTTTTTTTTAAATACCCGTAGGAGTGACAATGGGCTTCGGTGAGTGATGCCTGGTGTTGTAAGTGGTTTTGTTCTCAAGAGTTGTCTTGCGTTTGACCTCGATGGATTGATGAACTTCGGCCGGACGCGGGGAATGCTCGGGATGTTTGTGGGGATATGTGCACGTGGTGGATTGGAGCTCCATAAGACTTAGGCCTGTGACATCGAGACGTTTCTAGGTTCAGAGTGTGGTGGCTTTGCTGGGAGCATCCGTACGCTATAAGACCTAAACACATTTCGTGCAAGCGGCTTTCAAACGTAATGCGTGTACTGGCAACCAACGTGATTCATCAACCAATTCAAAAGGAAACTAGTGGGGAGAAAGAATCACGCATCTCGCATCGCGCTTTCCGGTGTTTGGATTACATCTGAATGTGCGTATGAATTGTGATTGTGAATGCCCATCAGGAAGGTTTGAAGAAAGGCTGCGGCCATGGATGCGACCGTCAGTGGACTCAAGTCCCTCGTACTGGATAGTAACACCGAGGGCGGGTCACGAGGATCCGGACTCCAGACCCGGGTAAAGAGAGAGATCAGAGTTCCTATCCCTGGGAAGAGGAATGTCATGGTAACTAGTGCACTGCCTTATGTCAACAACGTGCCGCATTTGGGGAACATCATCGGGTGTAAGTTGCCTTGCCTCATTCAAAGCGGTTTCCATAATGTCGGAAGGGTTTATGTGGGTTTATGTGGGGTTACCCTTCTGCAGAGCTGAGTCATGGCCTTGTGTCTGGTTTTGGCAGGTGTGTTGTCCGCGGATGTCTACGCCCGGTATTGTCGTATTCGAGGTTACAATGTCATTTACATGTGTGGAACTGATGAGTATGGCACGGCGACTGAGACGAAGGCCATGGAAGAAGGAATATCTCCCAAGGAAATTTGCGACAAGTAAGTCCCATCTGTGACCAATCGTCCTGATCATACTCATTTTCCAGTTTAAGCATTTGAAGCCAACTTGCAGGAAGACGCTGACTGTACGACGAGCAGCCCCGAGTAGAAATATCTCAGAAAAATTCGGGTTGGACATTCCGTAGAGAACATGAAGTCTCTTTTCTTCATTCTCATAAATTCACTGAAACACTGTCGTGCAGATACCACGCGATTCACAAGGAGATATATGAATGGTTTGATATCGATTTCGACATGTTCGGTCGGACTTCAACCCCTGAACAGACAGTGATTTGTCAAGCCATTTTTCAAAAGTTGCTAGAAAAAGACCGCCTTCTGGAAGACAAGATGGAACAGGTAAGAGGCTGGTGCATTCTATGTTTTCAGGTGCTTCAAGCTTTGTCAGAAGCTCACGACGACCTTATTATGTCCAAGATTCAATTGTTCTGAGCTTATCATCCGGATTTAACATCATATCCACGATTATTCACTACCGACTGATATTCTGGACGCTTGGACTTGGACTACAGCCATACTGCAACACCTGCCTGCGTTTCTTGGCGGACAGATTTGTGGAGGGTATTTGCCCCCACGCTACTTGTCGTTACGAGGATGCAAGAGGTGATCAGTGTGACAAGTGTGGCAAGCTCTTGAATGCTGCCGACCTAATAAACCCCCGTTGCAAGGTCTGTAGTGTTCTCGCTTCGAGCCATTAGCGTCTACTTCTCCTGATAAACGTGCAGCGAAAGTATGGGTGTGAAGCACTGACTTCAAAACTTGATGTTTTCTTGACTATAGAGGTGCGGAAATCCACCACAAATTCGAGAGACAGAACATATGTTTTTGGATCTTCCCCAGCTAAAAGACCGGCTGGAAGCATATGTCACCAACACATCTGTTTCTGGGGGTTGGAGTCAAAACTCAGTGCAGACAACAAATGCATGGATTAGAGACGGTCTAAAGCCTCGGTGCATTACCCGAGATCTCAAATGGGGTGTCCCTGTCCCTCTTGAGAAGTACAAGGAAAAGGTAATTTCATGTTCTTCAGCTATTAGCTAGTTACTAGTTTCCTCTTTTTGTTTTTCAGTGTCTGTCGTCAAAGTCCCGTATGCATTATAATAACACTCTCGGTCTTCACGTCCTGGTGCAGGTGTTCTATGTGTGGTTTGATGCTCCTATCGGATACATGTCAATCACAGCAAACTATACTTCTGATTGGGAAAAGTGGTGGAAGTCTCCAGACGATGTAGAACTTGTTCAGTTTATGGGTAAAGACAACGTCCCTTTTCACACGGTAAGTTGAGGTTTTGGTTCTTGACAAGCTTCGAGTTTACTTTTGTGCCAGAGTCTTGTCAGTGGAATACTTTTCCACCCCAAAGTGAAATAGATTGTCTAGGACATGGTTTTTAGGTGAGGAAGAGAGACCTTCTTCACTTTCAAGTAGTCTTCATTCATTCAACCTCAGTCCCGTCCTCTTCACACCAAATTTCTTGGTTCAGCACCTGTCATCTAGGGAGCCGGTTTTATGGTCTTCAGGTTACGAGACACATACCAGGAAAAACCATTTTCAGTGATAAGTACGACTTTGAAGATGCCTGAAGATGTTTAACAGCAAATGTGGTGTACGGGCAGGTGATTTTTCCGTCCACCCTTCTTGGGACCGACGATCCTTGGACGTTGATGAAGACGATTAGTGTCACGGAGTATCTGAACTATGAGTCAGGTAGCGTTTTTTACCTGAGTTGGGATCAATCCTGCTATTTCAGGATATTGGATCTTCTGTTACTGCGATTCTTGGCTATGAATAGCTTATTGGAATAGCTTATTGAAATAGCTTCTGAAATGTGCGACTGCTAGTTTGAGTTGTTGCTCTTCCTTGGCTAAGGCGAAGTGTATTTGTTCACTACAACAGGAAAATTCTCTAAGAGTAGAGGAGTTGGTGTCTTTGGAAATGATGCGAAGACCACTGACATTCCTGTCGAAGTCTGGCGATACTACCTCCTGACGAACCGCCCGGAGGTGATTGTCTTTTTCTGATACAGTCTTCATAAGGAACTCTTGATATTCATAACGAATCATGAATCGTCTCCAATAGCTATGGTTTGGACTCTTCTGGGTTGCTAACTTGAGGATGACTCATAAATGCAGATGTCCGACACACTGTTTACCTGGGCAGATCTGCAAGCCAAACAAAATAATGAGTTGCTCAAGAACTTGGGCAATTTTGTCCACCGGTCTCTGTCCTTTCTTGTGAAGCCTGCAGGTGATGTTTGTTTTATTTATGTTGATTTCACCTAGAACTCTGGAAGAGTTGCAATAAACCCTTCTTTGGATCTATACTGCTTAACGCAATCAAAGATACTGTCGCTAGATAGGTGGTCGCAACCTTCTCACGCTGATGACTCTATAGACAAGTTACGTTGCTCACTGCAAGTTATGTGATAACACTTTGCAGGTGAAGGGTATGCTGGAGTGATCCCTGAAGCTCCTGGGGCCGAATCACATTCATTAACAGTCACTCTTGGAGAGAAAGTGGGTGAGTTGGTGAAAGACTACGTTGAAGTTATGGAGAAGGTACGATAAGTGGCTTGCTGGATAGCGCTTGTCTTTATTCTGAGTCTAAGCATTCTTGTAGGCAGCGATAATTATCTTGGGACTCCTATCTACCGCGGCACAAGGGTCGTTAATCTTCTCTATATTATGTATACTAACACTTTGAACTTGACGCAAGGTTTTGCCGATGATTCTAAGAAGAAAGATCGATTGCAGCATTTGTCCGACAGGACTTTGGCGTAGCATATTTTCATATATGTGTTTCCTTGTACAGGTGAAGTTGAAGCAAGGCTTGAGGATCGCCATGAATGTGTCGAGCTTAGGAAATTTATATCTCCAGGTAATTGCTTAATTCTTCTGTGTATTTACGGTTGCAGTTTCTGACCAGTATGTAGACCCAATCGAAGTCTGTTGGGATCTTTACAGATTGGACAAAATTGGCTTGAGCCGTCGCACTAACGCTTTCGGACGCATTCTTTGTTTAGAACTCGATCCGGTAGGACTCGCTGTACATAGTTGCCGTCTGTGATTGAAAGTAACAATTGGTCCGCTCTGGTAACAGGATACCAAGTTCTGGAAATTGTACAAAGAAGATCCCCCGGCCTGTGCAATAGTTTTGAGGACTTCCCTCGGATTAGTGCATCTTCTAGCAACCTTGTTGGAGCCTTTTATGCCTTCATTTTCACACAAGGTACGTCTATTTTTGCATGTTATGTTTACCCACTTGCCACTTTCCATATTTCACGGTCATTGTGTGCTTTTTAGGATTTTGGCACTTTTGTCAAGTTAATTTAGAGTTATCTTCTGACTTGAAGGCACGCATTCTTCAGTGTTTATTTTTGACTCTACATACTCGCAGGTTTTGGCGCAATTGAACCTTCCACCATCATCATTAAGTCTGTCTGATGAGAAGGGAGACTTGGAAAAAGCGTTCAAACCGTGGGAACTCGTGCCTGCGAATCACCATATCGGTTCACCGACTCCGTTGTTTGCTGAGATGGTGAGTTTATTGCAAGTAGTTGATGCCCGATCTGCCTTCATCATCCCAGTGTCGCTTTTGATGATGTTATCATCTTTTTACTCTGCACCATCTGTATTGGTTACCATCCATATTCATTCCTTGCTTGCTAGTGATAGACGGGGACAATCCCATATTTGCTACTTTTCACTGCTCTTACGCAAAGTTGTAATGACTTTACAGAAAGACGAGGAGATGGAAAGGTATCGCGCAAAGTTTGCTGGGAGCCAAGCAGATCGAGCCGCTGCAGACGCCACCGCAGCTGCGACTACGGGTCTGAATTGAACCTTCGATTTCTTCTTTTTCTCTCTATTGAACATGATGCCATATATATTCGTGGTGGCTATTTGACATCGTGATCGGAGGCTTTAAATGGTTCTAGTTCCACCTATTTCTTTGCTGCTAAGCAATGCGAGTCACTCCTGAGAAATTTCGTTTAGCTGGTCTGAGACTCACGTGCTACTTGATCGAGCTCCGCATATAATCGTATTTGCTCATCTACACTTTTCATCGTTCAGTATTTGCACTAAGTCTTTGTTTTATCTCTCTGTCCCTCTGGCGATATAGACAAACGAATTGCAGAATTGTTCTCTTTCTGATGGTCGTGCAGAAGGAGAACTTATCACCAGACATTGTTTTTCAGATAATCATCTGTCCTCAAATGTTGCGGATTAGTTCTGAGTTCCTATTGTGGTGTGTCTGAGGAGCATTCTACATTACTGCTTGTGTTGGGGAGACCTCTGCAAGTGTCTATGTGCTGCGTTGTCTACCTTTCAAATATTGTTGGTTGATTGCTGCACAGGAACACCCGCAGTAAGTAAGGGAGATACCAAAAAAAATGTGAAGTCTTCGAAGGGAGGAGAAGCAAAGTCTAAGAAGAGTGCCACAGAGGTGAAGGATGCACCTCCCGCCGCCCGACTGGACATCAGAGTGGGATTGATAACCAAAGTTCAAAAGCATCCAGACGCCGACTCTTTATATGTGGAGGAGATTGATGTAGGTGAAGCAGCTCCGAGGACGGTTGTTAGTGGGCTGGTGAAGTTCATCCCTATCGAGCAGATGCAGGTGTATTATCTTGGCCCTTGTGTTATTTACTTTCCTTTCTGTTGGTCCGGATGCTCAAAAACTTGCTAAAAGAAATAGCGTATGTCGACCGATACGTGCATGTCTTCGGATAGATGTTGACCCTTCGACGTTCCTTAGACTTTAGTGGAAATTTTTGTTTTTGGAGGAAAATAAAGCACAGTCGACGCGTGATGTTTTTGTTGCACAGAATCGTCTAGTTTGTGTCCTTTTTTTATTTTCTTGACCTTCCTACGTTTCTTTCACTGTGGTGAAATTTTTTACTGTCAGAGGAATCAAAAGCAGCTTCGATGTCTGATGTTTATGACCTACAGGATCGACGAGTTTGTGTTCTTTGTAATCTCAAACCTGCATCAATGAGGGGTATTAAATCACAAGCCATGGTGTTAGCTGCGTCGAACGCGGACCACACGAAGGTATGTGTGACTGTGTTCATCTCGCTCGACATCTTTCAACAACATTTCATCCTTGAGTGCAGTCAACATCCAGCACTAATCATTGTCCTCATCTACTCCTCATTTGATGAAGGCTGACACATTGGTTGATCGAATATATTCTAAGTGATGGATGTGTTCTTTTCATGGCAGACTATTGAGGGCGTTTATGCCATTGTGCGTTTGCGCAGGTTGAGTTAGTGACTCCACCGGAGGGTGCTCAAATTGGTGAGAGAGTTACGTTCCCTGGATACGAAGGCGAGCCTGATGAGGTTCTGAATCCCAAGAAGAAGATCTGGGAGACAGTGCAACCAGAGCTTGCCACAACGGAGGAGCTTGTGGCCGTATACAAAGACGTGCCGTTCACCACCTCAACTGGGGTTTGTAAAGTGGCGTCAATCACAAAAGGGTCGATCAAGTAATTTCGATTGAAACTTCCGGAAGGTCTGTCGTTGACCTCTTCTGCTACCTGCAACCCTCGCTTTTCCCAGCTCCATAAAACATATGCCTTCACGTGTTTCTGGTCAGCAGCTTGGGACTACCTCAGCCGGAATTAAGGACCCGTAATCAACGGGAGTCCTCGCTAGGTCTGCCCCAGCCCGCAATAGTGATAGAGTAGGATAACATTGGAGCAGAGTTCTTTAGATGATGGAGGAGATTTTGGCAACCTTCGTTTCCGAGATGGGCAAGAATTGTTGAAACATATCTGTTCTTGGCAAGGCAGGCTTGCAGTTACTCAAGCTTTCAAGATTAGTAAAAGTCATTACAGTGTAAATTATTCGGCAGTTTTTTTATCGGCAGTATCTGGGTCCCTCACAAGGAACTTTATGCTGGAAGTACAAACACATCACTTGTGAGTACGGACAACTTTGTCTGTACATTCTTTGGTGCCTTCCGTCTGGAGAGTATGTATTGAGTGAGGATATGTACGTCTGCCAGAAATTTATTGACCCGTATTCTGCCATGTAGTATTGAGCATAGCGATTTTGTCAAGAGGTCTTTGTACAAGGGAATAGCTTGAGCAGAGAGTACCGAATGCATGCATAATTTTTCTCTGCGGGCATCTTTCTGTAAGGATCAAGAGTTTTTGATCTGTTTCAATGTGAACAATGGAAGACATTGGCTACTCACCGAGTGCCAAATTCGCAGTTGTTGACGATAATCAGAGCGCGGCTGTTGCTCCATGGCGTATTCGTGGTTTGTGCAAGGTCTGCGTGAATTCGCTTTTTAGTAGGCAAATAGGCCAGTCTTTATCAGAGGTGTGTTGGTGTTTTGTTAAAAGTAGGTTACCAGGACAGCGACTGAAGTTTCCCAATCTTTGGCCTAATTGTTGACAGGTTATGAAGTACCAGGATAATTTAATTTAAATGGTACAATAGGTCCCCCATTTGCTCTTCCAACTTCAGCTGGATAATTGTTTCACATGGAGATTTGGAAACTAAATCAAATGCATCGTATTTACTTCGATATTACGCACACTATTTATTAAGAAAGCTTCTCCTTGCTCTCTCACGCTCTCAAGCCTTCTCGAGTAATAACACTTAAATCGAATGCCACTGTAACTGAAGGTCCTTGTTCGAGCTTCCGCCTCAAATCTAATGTTCTCGTGCTCCGTACTCTTGCGAATGGCTTTCTGCTCCGGTATATCTGATCTTTTGTGAAGGGCTTTCTCCTTGGATTGAAGTGCTTCTACGATTGATGAGAAGTTATTTGATGACCACTTCCAGACGGGAATCTCATCCCTCGGGAGTTCTTTAACCGACTGCATGTACGCGTCGATTTCATCCCGTTCTGCAGAGTCTTCCACATCAAACTCTCAGATATTATGTCCGCTTTTGTTCCTTCCATCTGGCTCCGTTCGACTTTGAATCCGAAGAGTGCGAAAGAGATCACTGCAGCCTGAATACCATCTTTTGATGCCATTTCACATACGTGTAGCCAAGGGCGGCCAGACGTGTCCAACATGTTGGTGACTTCTGGCCGCCCACAACACGGTGGCACTGATACCACTGATACCCAAGATGCAGTGTACTTAGTTAAACCAGAAAGGCTGTGTGCAGATTCCACCTCCCTAACAACGTGTTTGAAAACACTGGGCTACAAATGTAAGTTCATGTAAAGTTTACTCTATATTCCATGGATCACTCCAGGGTCAAAGTCCAGCCTCCCCATACGGAGTGATATGACAGAAGTTGCACGGCGAAATGTTGAGGGCTCATGTATTCACGGTCGGTTAGATGATGGGTTGTCAAGGGCCTGATTGCAGAGGGATGATATCTTCACGTAGTATCTTGTTGTGACAACAATATGTTGAGCTCAGGAAGAGACAGGTTTTGAACTTGCTAAGCTGAGGTGGAAGAAGTCTGCAACCAAAGTGTCTGGGCAAATCCTAGGTGAGCTGAGCTTATGGAAGTCAGCATCAATAAAACCGATCAGACCCTGTAGTGACAGAGTTCTCCACTTGCAGGCTTGCTGCAAATAGCATTGTCTGAATTCTTGGACTGAATCGCGCTTAGTGTGGACCAGTACTGACACAGAACTAGCTTTTTTCATGAGGAAATTGAGACAGGTCTTCTGTCAGCTCCATCGCTCAGTCAAGGGGAGTGAATTGTTGTGCCTCCTCTACATGGAGACCTTTTAACGTCCCACATTTACACCCTATGGCAGCCGCATTCCGCCTCGAGTCCAGGATGAAGGTGACCAGCTACATGCGGAGGGGCTTGAAGGATGCAATGATCCTGAGAATGGTTCTGACCCAGCTGATGGTGAGCTTCTTAAGTGCATTCAGGGGCAAGGTACTGAAGGCCAATATCACTTCGGTAATATATCTCGACACCAACAATACCATGATTCATCAGCAGAACCTCGTTTCCTTTATCCAGATGACAGAACAGTACTATCCAGGTCTAGTTGTGTCCACGACTTGGCAGTATACAGTGAAAAACCTGACAGTTATGGGGAGGGAGCCGGTATTTACCCCAACTGCTCCCTGGAGGCCACAGATGGAAATGATGGTGGTATCTCCATCTCCAACTGCACTGCAGAGATGCTGAACGGCTCTTGTGGCAGCACAATAGCTCAAACTCCAACTTCTGTTACCTGTGTACAGAGAAAGATGTGGCTCGATTACTTCTGTAAGCCAAAAATTGAGATCCAGAGCAAAGTCTCAGAAGTGCCTGTAAGCCTGGACACCTACGAGAACACCGCATTGAACTCAAACGATTGAATCCGATATTTTCCTTGTATTCTTTCTGAAGTGGACTCGCTTATAAGTAGCACCACTGGCGAATCCCACATTCTTCCCTGATAGTGACTTCGTGACTCATGGTAGAAATGCAGTCAGACTGTAATTTGGAGCTTTACACTTATCATGCCAGATTACCTTTATGGGCATGAGACATCTTCTTGTCTGGAACAGATTGCACCACCGCCATGCAGGTCGATGGCACCATGGTCGTATACAATGGCGATGGGAGCCCTCTATTGTCCAGCAAAAGCTACACTAAAGATTATATCGGAACCTTTAGGTTCACAATTCAAGGAGATGGATTAGCCGAGTATAACAGAGAGTCTGGACAAATTCTTTGGGCTGGCTATCGTCAGGGCGTGCAATCTGTTCGAAACTGTTGTACGTCATCTAACAGTCTACAGACTTTGCACAGGTACCTGTCACATAAACATCGTCATTGCTTCCAGAAAGAAATGCCTGCATCTGGTATGAGCACATGACCTGTAATCGCCTGAGCTGGGTTGAAGATTATTCTTCGAAGTGTCATCGAATATTCAGCAGTCCGTGGTTTTCAGCCCTCGAAAGGATTCTTTCGAGGGCCAGAAACTTTGTAAATAATGTCAGTTCGGCATTATATATCTCTATTTCATACTATTAGAAAAGTTCAAACTTCTCGCCAGTGTTTCACGTGAGTGGCTTTAGGTAAAGCAATGAATACAGGACGATTGTATTTCAATGTTCCATGCAAAGATTCCTGGCATCTGTTCCGTGGATCCCTTTGTGACTAAGGCATAACTAACTGCTAATTCTCCTCTGAAAAGTGTGAGAAAAACAAGAGTAAAATATACGGCGTGAAAAAAATCTAAGTATCAATGCTAAAAAGAGAAACCATTTGATATCTATCATTGCAAATGATTAAGAAGAAAAATGCGTATTTGATCGCCTGAAATTACCAAAATGAAAGTTTTTGATTAGATTGATCTGATGTAGATAACGTGATTGATAGAAATGATAGATAAGCAGGTAGTTATCAAATCATGGCGCATGATTTAAGATGATCTTGTAATGAATCATTTTATATGAACGATGTCCTTTTTGATTGCATTTTGCAAAGGGATTTTTTTTGGGATTTCTATATTCATGTTTCTTAAATTATAACCGTTTTTCATTCATTTTTAATTCTTGGATTTCACAATATTTATTCAAACTATTAGAACATCTCACATCTAGAACGAGTAAATACTTGAAAGTTCTGCCCTATGGATTAATGTTCTGACCAAACACATTGAAACTCTCAACGTTCAAGTTTAGAATGCAGGTAATAAGATTATTTCTTTTTCAATATTTGGAGGAATTCGAAGACTTTCAACTCACTTGCAGAAATGAAGTGCCAATTATCAAAGATGTCTTGTCACGTTCAAAGGTTTGGGATTACTTATTTTTTACAAGCACATCAAGTTTTTTTTCCTTTTGAAAATGGTGTCATGAAATGAAACTACATGGCTTTGTTGCAGCTCAAATGCAAGGTGAATACATAAATGGTACTCATGCTGCTGCAAAGGAATGAGCATGGAGGAGATTATCAAGATTAAGCTCCGACTATCAGTCCAAATAATACCCTCGTTCGATATCATAATATTCTGGCCAATGCTTCATCAACTAATAATTTTCCCTAACTTTCTTTAATAGAAGAAAGTAAAGTAGAGGGTAAGTAGTCGTATACATTTGATCGGGTCTCCCGGACTTTCATTCCCACTTGTTCACATTTGCGCTTATGTAGTTTCGTTCATGAAAGCAATGCAACCTAGATATCATACTTAAATGAGTAGTTCGTGTCTTTTGCAGCTCGTGAAGGCGGAGTTTGGAAACTTCACTTCCTCCTCACGGATTTAAAAAGTCACGGTGGTTGTTATTCATCAGCTACTTAACATTCAAACGCATGACAGTGGAAGAGAATGTATCTTCAAGTCGGAGATGTTATATCTGTAATCTAGTTATTTGTTGCAGTTAGTTCGTCTTGTTCGATCAGTTATTTAATAAACGTGTCACTTTTATATTCAATGGATTCAATAATAAAGAACTAAAAAATATTTAGGAATATTACTGCAAGTTGCCATGACTTCAAAACACGTGAAGCTATACATATATATTTTGGAGAGTAGCCGATGTCAGCGAACGACTTGCTGGACTCACTAAATGTGTGACAAAATGGCAGAACAAAATCTTGAACCAGGGTCTTCAGTTGAAGATCAGCTTCAGTCTTTGCATACATTCGAGTTCCACCCAGCACAAACCAGCTCGAAGTTGCCAAGTGCTATTAACGATCGTCTGAAGTTGGACGTGTCAGCAACAGAAGAGGTTCTGTCTTCATAGTGGTTTGCCTCTTGACTCATTCACGAGGGTAGAAGCCATATCCTCACAGTTAGTGAATCACAAGATGTTCTAAGAAGTGATACAGTCCCTACTCTTCAATGGGCTTGAATGACTTCATCCTGGAGCTTTTGAGCACGAAATAAACGAGATGACCTTAATGCATGGCGAATGTCTAGCAAGGGGAAATCTTTCCAGCTGAACAAGACTTAGTAAACTGAATCTTGACAATATAAAACATACTTAAACTAAAGTCGCCTGTCTTCTTTGTGAGTATAAGAGCTAGGAATGTGTCTAGTGATCACTGTGAACTCTACAATGATGTTTGTTGGTAATGCTGATGTGTCGATCACATGCGAGTAAGTATTACAATGTGTTAAACGCTGCTTATGTAGCTGCAGTGTAATGACAACCAAATGTCAAGATTTTACAGAGCAGTCCAAAAGACCTGTTAACCAACCGGTGGTGTGATTAACCGGGGACGGGATACTCAGGTGAACATGATCAACTTGAGAGCTACGAGTTCACAAAAGGTTCTTCGTGTCCCGTTAAACCAAGCCAGTTCGAACTGTTTGGAGCAGATTAGTGACACTGCTTTCAAAGAGTCCATGCTGATACAGAATGAGTAGCAGGATTCTGAGGCTTCGGGTGGCGAGTCTGTAGCTTCCGATCTCCTGGCGTCATCAAACATGTGTGCTTCTAGGAGACTTCGAATCCACAGCTCGATAGCTTGGAAGCTTCAACAGGGTCGTGGTTTCTCGGAGACTTCGGACCTGTGATCCATGCTGCTTGCTCTTATTAAGTAGGTGGTGGGGGCCAGAATGTACTTCACAGCTTCAGGTTATCATGGACAACTCGAGTATCCAGATTCATCCGTGTAGACTTCAACACTCGTCAATGGCCTCACTCGCTACCAACTGCTGTATCTGGAAGCACCTTTCCTTTCTGGAAAAGACATGGAACTACAATGAGCATATTTATCTAGTCTCCTCTTTGATTGGATGTGCAGATTCAGATCAATCAGTCCACTACTCGCATAAACCAAAGAATCACTTGCCTCGAACAGTCCCATCACGAACACGGGAAGATTCAGACCATGTGGCAGGCTAGATGCGGAAAGTAAGAGATTCCTTTAACTTTCTTCCAACTGTTTCAACTTCAAGCCACTCCTATGTGAACTTGATGTATCGAACTTGCACGCTTGATCAACCTGTAACAGTTGGAACTCTCTCAACCACTGCCCATATCACAGTTGCTGTAAGATCTGAAACGGCTTTCTGCGTGCCACTGGACATTGATCTATAAATACCTCGAATCCCGGAAAAGAGGGTGAGCAGACATGATTTGCCTACATCCTCATCCTACTTAGATAAGGGAGCACGTGCAAACTGTACTTCGATCACTGCGGAAAATATGACCAACACAATCTGTCTGTGCCCGTGATTCTAAAAAACCCGAACCATCTGGATTTGGATGCCAACCGTAATTTATGATCAGACGTATTAATCCTCGTACGGTCTGAGGGAATAGTTTCTCTCCTACTCCATCCGTGAAATCAATCCTATGCTATAATATTTACTAGTCCTGCAGTGGGTTTACAGTGCTCAGGATGCTGGTTTCGGAGCAGTTCTCTACGTTACCCAACTCTCCTAGCTCTAGAATGGAGACTGACTGAATACTAGCGAAGGGACTGGCAGAGCCTTTCACAGAGAGTAAGTCCCACTCCGTCTCTCTTATGGATCAGAAATCCAGCAATTATTGCAGCTAATCCAAATGCGAAGAGTAAGATATGAAATAAATATGAAAATCCTGTGGGGTATATCAAGAGAAAAGCTCCGTGTCTTCCTTCTTGGATGTTCCTCAAGAGTGAAGAGATTTTGCACACGTCAATTCTGTAAGTAACTTGACTCAGAGCTAGCAAGGAACGAAAGAAACTCGAGACCGTATGCCATAAGTGGGACTTGGTTGATTTGAAACACTGAAAGGAATACGAGATTGTGATATAGAACCCTGTTTTAGAACCTCAAAACTTCCTCGGTTCACGAAGACACTATTCAACTCTCTATGGTCTTTCACGAACTGTACTAAGTCAAAATACCACGCGCTAGATATAATTACTCAAATGATGATGTACTAGCAACGGTCGCATCAGCCCGGAAAAACCACATGTTGTAGGAGGAATGAGGATCTTATAGGTGCTTCTTGTCAGGAAGTAAGCTACGCAAAGAAGAGGCTTCGTGATCTCAGGCGCTCTTGTTTTCGAGATTTATTACTCTTTTCTCATGATCGCAATGAATTGTCTTGAGCTTGGCAACCTAAGCTGGCTTTCGTATGTATTAAACAGCTCCTGGAATACTGCAATGAACCTTTTTTTCAAGCGCTGATTCAAGGTAAGCACATTTCGCAGGGTGCAGTTATTCCAACTGCAAAGCACAACGAACAACTAATCTAAACCATGACTGACGAATTTAGATCAATTGTATTTGGCACTCACAAGGTCACATGCGTATTGAACCTTTTTCTCACGGTATAGAGGCGGTCATATAAACCTGTCCCATTTTAAAAATCCTCGCGATTCGTAATTCTTTTTTACAGGATGAACTGAGACCTGGACACTTGAGTTAAGGATCCTACTCAAGGCAGTTTGCTACAGCGTTGTGGATCATGCATTATTTCGATTTGCTCAACTTCCTGAATTTTGTCGGTACTTGGAGCTTCATGTGCTCCATTTTCATACATAAAGCACATCCATGCAAAGTGCATATCTATGTCTACTGCTGCGGACAACTCCATGTGATGCCTAGATGGAGATCTATATGATAGAGTACTGGTTTTCATCCTTTCCTTTTTTTTCGGTAACAAAGTGAGGTACAAAGTTCATGACCGATCATTGTTGATGACCTGCGCATTTTGTTTAATGGGTTATAGAGTTCATAAAATGGTTCAGTGACTGTCAAGCAACTAGCTCGATAGCAAATTCATTGTTGTGGGACGACCTGTGAAAATACATTTCTACAGATCTGACAAATTTAACTTTACCTTCGACCAAAACCGACCAAAATTTGTAGATCTCTCGGACATGACCACTTCCAAATTTAGAAGGAGCTACAACTCCCGGTCAAAGCTTCAGTTGTAGTGAGAATCTGTGCAATATGGGGAGGCGGATTGTGTATACGCAAATTGTGGATACCAAGTGTCAGCACATTCTGGATCAATTCTCGGAAATACAGCAATCATTCCTGACTGGGTCGGCTGTCAGAGCAGTCGTCTGTTATCCTGTCGCTCGTGTGTGTGGTATGTAGTGTTGCCCATACCACGCACGTGGGTAATCTACCTCGTCTCTCAACTAGTGCACTGAAGTTTGGGCCCTTTGAAAACTGTTTGGCCCTCAGACATACAGCTATACACCTCCGTAGTAACATAAAGAAGTACCAAATATTATAGCAGAAAGGAAGGGTAGACCCCATCAAATAGTAGAGGAAGAAACCAAACGTGAGATTGGTTTCTCCCCAGCATCACAATTGGAAATCTATTCGCCTCACTTCATGTATGTAGACTATCCAGTCTGTCTTGCGATCCCTTCATGAGTGTGGCCAAATTGATTAGTTCTCGGCGTAACTCCTTCCACTTCGGGAACAATGGCCTGTGCATGTACATCTATTTGGAGTATGCCAATAGATATAGGGGAGGGCTAGTTATAGAGATCTAAGAATATATTATCTGCGCTCTAGTGTATAATTTTACTACAAAAAATCATAAGAATGATCATATGTATTGGAATTACTTGTTTCTTTTTTGTTTATATATATATATATATATATATATATCATGAGCATAAACATTTTCTTTATTTTCTATCTTATACTATCCGTATATGAAGATATTAACACCCATATAATATGGGCAATATGGGCCATATTGCATATAAAGTAAGAACACGAGTAAAAGTGAGCAAAGATGGATTGACCATTCGTGGTACTAGTATTGCGAAGAATGGCCAGGAGTTTAGACAGTTGAACAAAAGTAGAAGGAGGGGAGCTTATTCCTTACATCAGAACAAATCATCTTATTTTTACCGTGATAGTACGTGTAATGAAGATGAGACCATCCAAGTCCTCAGTATGCATGTCAAACCTGGGCCTATACTCAATCGCAAATCGGGATGTTAATAAAGGTTACGAGAGTGACAAACCAGCAAAAACCGCGGTAGTTTTTCACGGTGAAAAAAAGCCACATACTCAATTGAGCCGAAGATCATGCACGGAAGTTCTAGAATGAAAGCATTCAGACATGAGGCAGCAGACATGCCCGGCTCCCTTGAACATGCAGCCACAGTCAATCATGTCCCTTCAGCCGAAGAAAAGAGTCCACCTTTAGTTGACACAAGTTTCCATGACCTACCAGACCGGAATCCACATCGACTCTTCGTCCCTCTCAAAGAACACCTAAATAGCCTTGTGTTCCGTCCATGATTATGCTTCTCTATCATGAACTCTGTAGGGGCGAAGGAGAGGGGAGTAAAGCCTCTAGCTCTGTTGTCTGTCAGGCCGAGAGTTGAACAACTACGAATAATAAAATCTGGAAATCTTAAAAAATTTTTGTATAGCATAGAACACTTCATATTCAATCGTCAAAAGGACATACAAACTCCATACAGGATAAGTCATGGCCACGTCGTCTACTTCAAAATTTTGCTGACTAATCTAGAAGTCGATAATTCCATAGCAGTGCATGTTTACGGACAAAGATAGACTCTATGGTTCGAGGACGAAGACTTATCTGAACTTTCATCGTCAGGATTCCTGAATGTTATAAAAGTAACTTTTCAGTTCTGAACTTGATACTTTCAACATGGACCAGCACGAACACGGCACTTTCTGCCCGTCTAAGGTTAATTTTACCATATCGAGGTGTCCGTGTCATGATAAATTTTCTAATGGCATGCACTGCTTAAAGCATCTTGTTGTACTACACAGGTAGATTCAACCATGCAATATGTTTCAAATTTAGCCGTAGGGAATGTTGAGATTGAGGAAATCTAACACAAGTGCTTTGATCCGACTGGTCACAAGATTTCTTCACATGGGAATATTCGAACGTCAGCAGCAAGAAGTACCGGCATGAAAAAAAAATGACACGATGGGAGAGGCAGGTGGAAACAACCCACAAAGCACGTCAAGTATTGGTATTAAAAGAACAGTCATTACACTTAGTTTTTGTGCAGGATCCCATTTGCAGCTCCCAGCACGCCTCATTCTTCACGATACATGTCTAGTCGGGACAACTGTGTAGATGTCCAGATCTTACGAGACATAAGGATATACTCTCAACTGCTGGTGGACCAGGGCTTATCTGACAAGAAGTAAGACTTAGAATGAAAATTGGTCTTCGAAAAGTCTTCTGAACCAGCGGGGTCTGTGAACTCGAGGGACTATCGAGGTCTAACCGCTCCAAAATGGCTGTACAGTCTTCAAAACACGGATTGTAGAGGAAGTCCTGACTCTCTAGGATACTCCGAACATTGCTTGTGAATGCTCTGGTCTGGAAGGGATGCTTGATCGGAAATCTACGTCCTTTGGCGCCCGGGTGTTTCTAGCTATTTCCTTGATCGAACAGCTCTTTTGCTCTGGAAGTGAATCAATCTGCTATCGAGCTGTGTGGTGCCTGACCTTTTACAAGCTGATTGAAATCAGACTGTTGACGAGCCTGGTAAATTTGAATGAGTCCTCGATGGATAGCCCGTGGAACTTGGATCATCCAGAACCATTGCATGTCAGCCCTTCCTGACTCTTGTCTGTCTACAATTTTAAGACTGCCTAATATTGGAGACCTTGATATACCCATGAACACTGTGGATAGCGGCTCTTACTGTACGGAGCTCAACACCGGCTTTCCATCTTGCCTCCTCGCTAATACGATCGGCAATCCATGCTTCGGTTGGATACTGACTCCAACTATGATGGGAGCATGCAGGTAGTTTGGAGACAGCTGGAAGCTGAAGCGCTGGATAATCATGGCGATTATACATTTGACTTCCAGCAACGCAAAGGTTCTGGCCACGCAGTAACGAGGACCATAGGAGAAAGGCATGTATGCCACTGGATGCTTACGGGCAGCTGACACTCCATCTTTGAAGCGTTCTGGCCTGAATTCGTTGGCATCATCACCCCAAAACTCCGGAAGTCGGTGTAACTTTGGTATACAGATGCTGATTGATGTTCCCTTCATGATTCGAAGTTTGCCTAATTGCACGTCTCGGACTGCAGTCCTGGCTGTTTCCGGAGCCGGGGTGTATAGGCGCAGGGCTTCGAATACCACCATACTTAGCTGCACGGACAGAATATAAATAATCAATATGGTTAGAATTGACACATAGTATTCGATGTATAGTCGACAGATGCCCAAATTCAGTTCAATTTGTGGACTTAGCCGAGAATACTCTACTTTCCACTTATAGAAAGCAATATATGGTGTGCAGTCGCCAGTTCAGATTAAAAGAGACAAGCCGTAATACTAGACGACAGAAAATGAACATTTCTGCTATACACAGCTCAAACGTCACAAACATAACTCACATTGTTGAGCTTATTGACCATCTGCATCGTCAAGATTCCATCGACACCACAAACCTCTCTCAATTCCTCGTAAATCCGTTCTTGCCATATGGGATTATTTGCCAGTAACATCATGATCCAGTTTAAAGTTGTTGCTGGAGCTTGATAGCCTGCTGTATAGAAGCTCCTTGCTTCGTGGGTCAAATCCGTCTTACTCATCTGAAAACCTCCATCAATCGTTCCTGGAAGATGATTGACGGCTAAGAGCAAGCTCAGGAAATCCTTGTGGACATAATCTGATCTTTGAGATTCTTCTGCAATAGCCTTGTCCACCATTCTTTTTATGGTCGTCTGTATCGACGCATGCAACTCCCTTCGACGACGAAACCTTTGAAACGAGACAGATATGTAGCTGTCGTCATGACAACTCAGATGTCATTCGAATGCTTGAATCCGCGCTGAAAAGAGTAATTATTCGAGGACCATGTTCTTCTTTGGATCACTTTGTTCATAAATGCTAACGTTTCTCAAGAATCCGAATCGAGGCAGTAAACACATGATTCAGCCATGGATACAATTGCAGAAATGGGTTTAGTGATTTTATGATGATTTTAGTGATTTTGAAATCATTTTAGTCTGAAGTTGGCTATGAGGCGAACGTGAAAATAGCTGGATGGATCCGGATGAGAGGAATTATAACGTACCTGGTAATGGAGCCGGGCGTCCAAGAGCAAGGCAGGGGCTGCCGGTAGAATTCTAGTTTAACCAGTTCCTTGTGTTGTTCGAAAGCGTGATTTGAATCTTCGTAACTACTTCGGAAAAGCGTCCGAGCTACAACATCGCCAGTGAGTGCAGCGATATGTGGCACAATATCTTCAATGCAGCATTCTCTACTCCCTGCCAAAAGCCTATCCCATTTATCTAGAAGGATGGTTTTGGTACTCATCATGATGGGTTCCACCAGTCCCTGCACAATTCCGTAAAACGATATTTAGAGAGTGCAATTCAGTTAACAGATATAAACCGCTTACAACCATCTTGTCCTTCCCAGGTTTTCCAATACTAGTAAAATGTCTTATTTCCAATACTAGTAATTGCATCTCCGCACGGGATGAGATTGATTACCGAAGCAGCCAAAATAAACTGTCAGCGCAATTCTTATTCTAGTGACTTTTACACGAGCAGCAGCAAGATTTACCACTTCAACCACCTCAACCACGTCAACAAGCGCGTGTTCTTAAGGTACATGTTTGGCAGGTACAGTTCGAACACCACGCGTTGGCCATTGTGCATAACCCTTGACTACTGTAAATCTTGTCATGTTATCACCGGACTGAAAGGAATTATCCACGATCTGCCCTCACCAGAGGTGGTCTTTCTATTTCATTCGTTCGAATTTAAAACTGAAGGGAGACCAATATATCATCAACAATATATCTTCGACCTCCATGCATTCAGCTGTATGTACAATAGACAACGGACCCGAAATTCATAGATGCTGAGTTTTCAGTGTTGACAATCACCTGGAGCTGCTCTCCTTGAAATACAGGTCGAACTGCACGTCGGCGATGAAGCCATTTTGTTCCATTTAAAGCAAACAGGGCATCTCCTGTCACTTTCTTGGATAGTGCTGTTTGAGGACCAAACTTTGCAAATGCGCCTTTGTGATCAGAAGAGAAGACTTCCTTGATAAGATCTGGATCCGTCTCGAATATTACTGGCTCGAGTCCCAACCAAAAGAGAAATCTGGGACCTGAAATCGAAAAACGTCTTAGTAAAGCTTGATTTCCTTCACAACTTGCACTCACATCACATGCAAAGCGCATTGCAAAATGATTGTACGTACCGAAGATATGAAACTGTCAGAACAGTCAAATGAGCTGAACACTAATCAGACCAACATTCACGCATTTGCTGATTCCAGGTGCAAATGCACATCGTATATGACTAAGAAAGCTGTTGTTGTGACGGTCGAACTAACCGAATTTTTGTGTCCATAATCGATAATGAGGAAAGAGCCGATCAACGTAGTCATGCCGGACGACATTCATTGGGGTTATCCACGCGTCTGCTTTCAAGGCCTGTACTTCCGCCAGATTTCCTGTCAGGACATGTGGCGTGGGTCCAGAAATCCCCTGTGCTTCCATAGCTCTTCGATACCAAAGAGGCTTCCAGATATAGGTTCTAACGATGGTAAGCACACGGTAAAGGATGATCGTGAGCATAAGCACAACAGTTGCTATTGAACATGTTTTTCTTGAAAACTCCAGCTTCTCAAACGTGAGCATCGCACCTCTGGAGCTCCGTATTTAGAACTTTCAGGGATAAAGATCGTGCTAGAATCGAGTGATCGCAACGCGAATTGCTTTCACCTTTTCAACGTATGCACGCAAGGTCATCCTTACTCGATACCTGCAATGGCAAAGAGTTTGTGATCGAGGACCCCAGAGAACCACGAAGGGTTTGGATCCTCAATGACCTTGACGGCCTGAAGCTGCTGCATATGTAGATTCTACCGCAAGAATCCTGGAGCACACATAAGAATCTTGATGCACCTTAACTCGGACTCACTCATAAACTCGACCTCAGGACTCCCTCAATAATATGAGTAAAATCTTAGACATCCTACCGATCTGTAGACGTGATTGCCATGTTTCAGCTGCTTGCAGGAAGGGTTGTCACTGCACATACACAGGCCATGAAGGACTTTAGATTGGTATTCATTAGAACGTTGCGCCAACCGCCTCAACAGATCTTTTTCCACACGTACGTTGCCACGACCTGCTGCTTGGCAAATTCTTTGCTTGTGCTTTCAAAATGTGTCAGAATGATACTCTACTTTTCAAATGGCTACTCTCCCATCACCACCGAAAGCACGTACCATGTTATCACGGTTCCTCACTACCAGTTGTTGACAGTTTAGATTGCGGTCGCCACTGCCGAGTTTTACCTCAGAATGTTATCTACTGCTGATTGTGAATAGCCCAACAGTCAATTTATTTTACTTGATGCCTAAGAAACCTTTCAGGCAGGAAGTCTTGAACCTTGAAAAATGGATCAAGGCCTGTGCCAAGATCTGTACTTCTTTGTCCAATTAAAGCTAAGCGATCGCATACAAAGATAACTGGATCTCAACACTGACAAAGCTGACATCACAGATAATAAAGATTACCGCAACATCAATTACGTTATGGCCGCAAACGTCGACCAAGAATAGATCCGGAAGAGCAAGCTGATTGCAAGAAAAAGCCTACACTTCTCATATTAATACATGTGGAGTAAAGGTCTTGTTTTGCATGAACTGAGTTGGAAACTGACTTCCTTCTGCAGAGCTTAAATCAGATTGCGTAGAATATCTCAAAATTAAGATAATTGTCTGCATGTGAAGCATTATCATTCATGTGGGTCAGATGCCTAGGGTCTCAGAATATCGAATGTCCTCTGTATACACAAAATTGTCTTTAGTCGCTTATAAGTATCGATGAATGTTTTAAAAAGGTACCACCTGATTTATGTCAAATTACATACATCAATTTGTGACTGTAAATCACGGCAATGACTAACAACAGCACCATCTTGGCATTGGGTCAATCTACCTGAGTGAAGCGTCCCAGTAAAAAAGACTAAATGGAATATAATATTTTATGAATAAAATATATCTCATCTTTACTGACAACATCCACTGTGCAAGAACAGCAAAAGCACTTACTTCTGCATTTGCATCTGCTTATCCATACCCAAACCAAACATGTGACTATCACTCAGCGAGGTCCAAGTTCAACATTCAAAATGATACTCGCTCCAAGTTCAGGTCCAAACAATCGACCATCAAGAGAGTGAAAGTGCCGCTTATAAATTGTCAAAGCCACTCATCTTCTTGGAGACTAAGTGAAGAGAAACACACAACATGACATAACTAGTCCTGATGTTTCTTCAATATACAGCTTCAAATCCATATATTTGATCTCGCGAAACCTGGTTTGGTTTGCCAGTCCAACTCCAGCTCTTGGATTTCAAATATGACGGAACCTTTCGAAGGTCTATGACGCTAAATTTCCAGCAAAACCGGCAGAGAAAGAACATCACGGAAGACAGAAAGCCTGATTATGCAGAAACCGGACGCAATTGTCGAGGCTTCCGTAACCAGTTTAAGATTGATCATCCGACACATAGTTTTTCTGTAAACACCTGATATTGTTGTGGGCATACTGGATAAAATCCACACAGCCCACGAAACAAAACTGTCATCGAAGATAATTTGAATGAGTCAGTATGAGGTGGGTGGAAGCAAGAACAACTTTACCCTCCGACCAATCGCAGACTTCAGCTGCAGCAGAATGTGCTTCTTTCACTGTAGACATCTATATGAGCAAAAGCAAGTTCATGAAAGATTGTTTACTACACGTTATGGAATCTCCACGGAATGAACGCTGATAGTTTTTCACGGCGCCCAAGGTGAGGCTATGCCATGTTACAGACAAATCGCAAATGGTTTTCGATGTTCGTTGAGAACGGACAGGAATGCACATTCCTGCTCATAACACTACAAAAGCAAAACAAATGTACACACGGGACAGAAGGCGGTTCAGCCTGTCTTCTTACTTGGAGCTGTAGTTGCGCTTGGAATACTTGCCGCAGGTGCACCTAGAATATCCTGACCCCATCCAGACATTGTTTATGATTCCTGATTCCCTTGAACTCAACGTATTTTTCGGGAGATTAAACGCTACCGAATGAGGTGAAAGGGCGATCTCTAGAGATCTACAGAATAGAGCTTGAGACGAGCTACTGCTAATAAGCACGCTTCTCATCAGAGAGCAGCATGTTCCATTTCCAACTTAACTCCACTCTCTCTCCAACTGGAAGAAAGTCGAATCAACCAACTTTTGTGAATCATCCACCTGTCCATCGCATGTACAACAATCGGATGTAGCATCTTGGCCGGCAAAGTGAAAGTTCCTATGTCCCTAGCAGGCTGTGGACCCTTGCGTTGTTATAAAATTCTGACAGCTGTAGAATTAGGGTCTTCCTTCCTGCTACCTTACATGCTCCATTCCCGGGCATACATGCTTGTTAAATGCAATAACCATGACTTTTCACGGATGGATGATTTCATCCGTGGTTTCCATTGGCAAGGCTTCAGCTTCTGTGTAACATCTCTAGGTTTCGCTCATGTGAATTATGCGCTGCGCAGGACAAAGTAAATGATTGTCAATTGATCGGATCCGACCATTTCAGTGGAACTCGTAACTGAAATACATTCTGTTCTTTCACTTTCTCAGACTTCGGGTACAGTTCGAAGGCTGAAGAATTCATGATCGGCCCACGAAGGGCAGAATCCTAGTGGTGACGAGCTGAGTGCTGGTATTGAGTTGCAGTTTCCTCCACTACATATTCGCCAGCTATGTCCAGAGAATAATCCAATGTATTTGCATGATGAGGCCAGTAACTTATGGTGATTCCGAACTCTGCACATCCGATGGAACCTAAAATCTACCGTGCTTGGTTTAGCCCGTGTAATCTTCCGACAAACATCCTTTTAGCACATGGCTCAAGAGTATGGATCACATACGTAGGTTACAGTATAGTAAAGCACAGATTCCTTCTGCTTGGGCTGTTTGAACAGGTGCTTGAAGCCTAGCCAGCACAATCACCCCAAGTCACCACAACTGGAGACTGGTTGTTTGGAAAAGTGCAAAGAATAAGGATGGACATTGCTAGTGTTACTGGAGAACATGGCTGGGACAATTCGAAGTAGCCAACACTGACCATCCAAGTGGCGTTTCAGAAACTACATGTGAATTGGCTGTGGAATGTTATATGAGTCTGGATGTGATGCATTTTTCGATTCAATTCCTCTTGACAAGAAGTAGATGGGCATACAGTAAGAAGCATGCCGGTGATCACTCTCACCAGGTGGGAGAAGTCACTGCCAGTCATGCTGCATTAGACCTGCAACGTCAGGTTTGTTATGCAGTCTCGCGGAAATGGGCCCACTTCCGTCGCCGGCTGGCCAGCATCAGAACTGAGAGTGCCCCGTGCTTCCAGACACATTCAACCTGATTCTGAATATATCTGAATCTGTGACTGTTCGAAATCAACTGTTTGCGAAGGTTCGTTGAAGTAAATCCGCTTCCATTCCACTCACTCGTGCTCTTGTTAGTTACCATACACCAAAAAAACCCGCCTTGATCAAAACCCTAGATAGGGTATTGATCATCTTTACCCCATGCTCAGACATGTGCAGATCTCAAGCTGTGATAGTTGCTGAACATAAAGTTGATCAGTATTTGGTGATATGCGAGCAGAGCAAGATGCTCCCTTATCAAGAAAAGCAACAAGAGGAACACCACAAAAGTTTGACGCAGAAACGAAGCTCCCCTTTTAGTAAAACAGCATGGGTATCGGCAAGGAGTTCACTTTGTCTCAGCCACAGACAGTGCGATCAACAGTATTGCAAGCCGAGGACAAAAATGGCCGTCTACATAATAACATACAGTATTGGGTTGCTTTAGCAGACAATCAATGATCTAAGATGTAAAGTGTTTCCACGCGGCTGTGAATCACTTTGCCGTCAGGTACAGGGTTCCCTTTGTGAGAGAGGTGAAAGGAAGTATGCTCTAAACCAGAGGAGGAATAAGCGGCTCCAGATTGCTTAGATTAAGTGGAAAAGAACTTCATTTCATGAGTACAGTCTTCCTCTTTTGCTATAGGAAGAATTAGAACCGCTTTGTAGACCTCTTGTTCCATTCTACATGGACTTTTATTCAATGTTTGCCATCGCCTTTTATTTTATCGGCACAAACTCGATGCTCGTAGCGTTATAATAGTAAAAAAGTTGTCTTAAATCATCGTCACAGTGAATTTTTCGACCATCATACACAACTATAAGAAGTCTAAATATCATTTAAACTCGAAACAATCAGATGTCCTTAAAGTATCAATCACATAAACCAGTGAGAGATTTGGTGCTAAGTATGAAGAACCTACTTCAAGCAACGGACGATTAGTTTCATTGCTTTTAGAATGACAATTGAAGAAACCAAGAGGTTACTTACCGGCACTGAGGACTCAACCTTCATGGACGGTTATCAATTCTTACTTTACTCACGATGGTGTACGTTGTCTATATCGCCATGTATCATTTAAACATTGCAACTCGGTGTTGCTGCTACTGTATAATCTAGCTCAGTGATACGAATCACTACTACCCTTCAACGAATTGTTACTTGGCGACACACCTCAGAGCCACATACACCTTGTTTTGCCGGTGTTATTTTATCTGCGTTATAAGTTGTACCAGAAGGCCTCCTGATTAGGCAATTCGAGGATCTTACTGTTAGTCTTGCCCTGTCCAAGAAGACAAGCTGCAGCGGAGAGAACATCGGTGAGGCTGTTCGATTCCTGGCTTCAAGCACCTTCTCTAGTGCTAACGGAAATTTCCGACATATGCGCATTTTCTATTAGCATTTGAAGGGCTACAAGTAGAGTTTGATACCATGTTGAGGACCCCGATGCTGATGATACGTACGTGCAAAGGACCAGTCCTTTCCCAGATGACATCGTCAACCCATATCGTACACGTTCTCGTCTCGCACTTAACCCTAGAATTGCCACCAGTGATGACCTCGGATTCTACCGAACCTTCAGCGTAACGCACGACTTTCTATTGTGGAAAGACCATACTGGAATCTTTCGAGCATGTAGAGGATTGTCAACCTACAATTTAGTTATTCCGATGGACATGTTTTGAGCTCACCTGCATATTATAGTGCCTCTCCGATGAGCAACGTCACAGATGAGTTGTATCCATAATGGTTCGTGTCTTTTTCTTGAACATCTCGCCGTATGTGCGAAAGCATACGGCGAGATGTTCGCATAAAAATGCATAAAAATGTCTCGTTTCCATTTGACACACGCCCATGATCCGTCGTTCATATGATTAGATCACTCTTTGGGTGAACTGTTCTCAAGATCGAGCTCTTCGTACAAGTTGATCAGACCTGTACGCCAAGACGTCCATCGATTCGTGTGTCGGATCGACAAAAACTCCTCAGGGCTCTACATTTTAAATCAGCCGATGCCATAGAAATGACGAGTTCTTTCTTTCACAAAGATTCTGAGAGAGAAAGTTCTCTCTCAGAATATCTCCTCATTTCCATCCTGTAATCTTGCTTTAATCCCAGCCACAATCCAGAATTTCGTACCGAGTAGAACTCAGGAAGACCTTGCTAACACGGCTTTCTTTTCAATCTAGAACCACACATTTACATTGAAAGGACTGTCACATGCCTTTTTCTGGAGATCTTTATGTTTCCAGCTGATGATACAAATCAGATGGAGCACTTTTACAAAATCAGAAAAGAATCAAGGTTATTGCACAGTGCCCAACTGACAGTTCTTTTCTCCGCGTGTAATGGCAGTAGGTATAAATTGTGGAGTTTTCTTCGATACTAGATTTTTATATTCGTATTGAAACAGAGTGTATCCATACGAATCTATACTGAAATAGTAGAGTTAAGTATAAAGCTGAGTTGACAAGCCCCACATGAATGAATTGGCGGAAGAGGTCGTGTTGTCGTAGAAAGGATAGGAACAAAGAGTCAAAAGAGTCAGATGTCTAGAAATTGTATTATTATTATTATTATATTATATTGATAATTCTTATAATTATATTTTTGAAAAGCTTTTTTCAAAAAATTGCAGTATCGAAAGATTTACCGTTAAATTTTATCCATAATTGTCGACGAATTACACAACAGAAGTGTATATACAAATTGAACTGACAACTTCACGATCGATTAGTTTGAGTTAAAAAATTTCATTTAATTGCGTGTAACTAGTGTCTTTTTAAATTTTCAATTATAATTTGTCCGTACCTTATCATATGTTTTACAATAAGTTAATCATGTAAGAAAGTCTTACACTCTAAACATGTGCACTATCAAAAGAGGGCAGCCAAAATGCATAAAGTGCATTTGCTTACTATGTACCAAGATAACCTCGCTGATTGTCTGGACTTTGCTTCCATTTAATGAAGGGATCCCCGTCATCAGTTAAGAATGTTGTATCGAAGTTTCAAGTGTGTCCTATTGTCTCATGGGATTATAATTTAACATGGACTTGACAGGAAAAGTATCCCTACTAATCTTCGGACGGTCGTATCCTAAGTCCGCTAAAGATTTAAAAAGTTCCTTGTTTCTCGTTAGGTCCTTATTCTGTTCGGAAAGAAATAATTCATGCCCATTTTTTAATTAATGTTCGAGTGTACAACTTGTAGATAGCTCTCAAACATGCACACTAGGTCAATCACATCTTCAAATTTCATCCTCTATAATTCACGCATTCGGTGGAGATATCTCCGTGTAACCTTGACTTGATTCGTTGGACGGTCGTGAAAGTTTTCTACATTAAAGAGCTGTCATTTCCGTGCTTATCATGTGTAATTACTTTTTTTATGGATCATAGTGGAGTTAGTCTTACCGCCACACAGAACAGACAAAATCTGCGTCTGACCGCCAATTTTTATGGTATACGCTTTATGTGACCTGTGCACGGCAGAAATAATAACTCGCGGAAACCGAACCGTTACACAATTGCCGGTCAAATGGTTCGGAGGGACAATTCAAATTGAACACTTTCATGCCCGGAATCCAAAAGGGCGCTGGTGCCATGCCGTCTTCTGCTCGTCCACGTGCGATTGTCGAGAAGCTGGCGGAGTGGGTCTGCCGCTCGTCTAGAGGTTGCCATTGTCCGAACGCCTCGTTGCCTCCGGTGCTTCTTGGCTCACTTTTGGACTTTCGTTCGGGCCGGTCGTGAGCTTTTTGGGACTCCACCTCGGATGAATCTTTCAAGAATATGTCAGCTGCGTTTTTCGCTCGTGCGGTTGTTGTCTCTCTGACGAATCTGGTGTGCTACTTCGACGTGTATCCTGTTCCGTTCGGCATCCTCGGTATCTCGAAAAGCTCAGATCTGAAGTCCGGTGTAGTTTGTGAAAGTTTGCTCTCTATGCACATGCTTGCAATACGTTTAATGGAATCAGATCGATAAAAGAAGATGGGTATTCCTGAAGTGTCGTCGATGGAATTTCTTGTTAAAGCCTTCAGTATTTTCAATTCTTTACCTTCTGAAGTTCCATTTTTAGGTCTAGTAAAACTTCAACATTCTTTACCCAGGTCTAGGGGATTTGAAACGTCCTGCCTCTCGCTTATTTGGTAGCTTGAGATTATATCAGCATATTACTCGTTACCAGTGCGTCAATGGATAGAGTTATTCCGACGCTCCCATAACGAATTATGCTGATATTGTATTCCTGCTTTACTTCCTGATTTCTTCTATGCTGTATACAAAGATGCTTCAACAAACATTTGACTCGACTGAGTTAGCCTAGGGGGGGCCGGAGCTTATTCTTTGTGGTCTTGACTTGTGCCCTATTCTCTAGGTTAATTACTCTTGTAGGCTTCTTTTCGTTCATCCTTTAATCAACTGTTCGACACTCCGATAGCCCAGTATGTATTGCCACGTACATACCGGAGCCGAAGCTGCCAGGATTCTTTTTTACCGCGTGGAGTACAAGGTCTGAACTTTACTCGTACTTATCGCGAACCCGGTCCTGTTGCGTTTCATGGAAGAAAAACGTCAGCATTTGCTTATGCTTGAAGGACGGACTTCTCATAAAGAGTACACCACAAACCTCAAATCGAATCTCTCTTCCTCTCGTTTTGATTCATTGATGGGTTAGATTAATCGGATTGTTACAATAGAGGTGAAATGATAATCACTTCCAGAAGCTCATTGAAAGATGTATACGGCATGATTTTCCAGTAGTATCCCATGCACGATGGCGGAGGGAAAGTTGCTTGCAATCATACTTTGGAGTGACTAAACGTCGCAGGTGAGTCATAATCACGTACTACTGTAATGGGATGTGAACTTGTTAACCAAACTTGTAATGGCCACGATGCTCAGACACTTGCTCCAGTGGATGCGAGCTTGGTAACCCGGTCATGACAAATAGACTCCAGTAGTAGATGAGGATGGGAGGATATTGTAAGAAAATATCGTATACAATAGTATTGGGATAAAGTCTTTGCCTCAATGCGATAAAGGGCAAGTCTTTGCCTCAATGCGAGGTACGGAAATTTTCACAGCGCTTAAAATTTGTAAAAGATCATAATTTTGTATATATACCGCTTGAAAAATCATTGCTATATGATTTCTCATAGTACATTCTGACGTACTATGAGAAATTTTTTAGATGGGAAGTTACTAAAAGAGAAGAATGACATTTATGAAATTCTTCTGCATGACAAAAGTCACGATATTGAGTGTACAAATGAGCCTCTAATTGTGGAAAATTTGTTGGTTTACATAGTAAATTGAGATCTTAAACTGAAATAATTTTGAAGTGATAAAAGGAATGATTTAATATATAATAATTTTGAACTTCATTTCAGTGGAATGTTTGGTTAGATCAATACAAAAATTTAAACAATGAGTTGCAATATCATCTTGCATTTGGTATCTCTTTCGAACACAATCAAATATAAGGAAAAGTATTGAAATCCAAGTTTCTAGAAAAATTATCAAAGAAGATATAAGGAAAATATTATGAAAAAGGATTTTTCTATTAGATTGTATCTGCTTTGCAAAACTGTAAAGTTCGTATCACAGAAAAAAAGATCAATTTTTTCTAAGATGAAGACTTTAGCAGTACTTTATCTTAAAATTGTACATTTTTTTAGATACTAAATTGTAAGTATACCCATTTGTCGTGATCTTAACTTTAATGGGATTAGTAAGTTTCACAGATGAATTACTCAGTGGCTTTTACTTAATTTATATTTTATTCAATGAAGAATACGAAGGAAAACAATTCTAGAAGAAGTTTGAAAACCCAAGAGATGAATTTTATCATTCAGATCAAATGATTTGATGATTGCTGCAATCTGAGGATTTAATCCAATTTTTAAAATTCTAGTGATGATATTAAAACTTGTGTGGAACAGCATGCTTAACATTCGTGTCCAGTTTTAGAAATTATCGGTCATGATAGAGTTCTAAATGAATTTTGATTGTCATTGTCATCAATATAAAAAAAAGAAAACGCCGATAACAGCTAAAATGTGTGGGAAGTAATACAACAAACATGGAATAAAACATATGTCGTAGAGTATTCGGCATATTATTTTAGCAGGACTCTAACATCAATCCAAGAAATCCGAGTTTTCTGGTAAGTTTTGAACAATGGTTTTTTTTTCAAAGAATTGATCAATCTATTGCAGAGGTTAGGTTCAAATTATGCGAAGATAGGTTTTCAAATGAGAAGAGTACTTCAACAGGAAGAAGTACTATTGGAACTAATAGTGATCCATTATATATATTTTAAAGGTCAAGTGGGCCTCCAAACGGATAATTTAAATGGTTTCAAATCCAGTTATCTCTCTTGTTGGCACTGAGGACATATGAGTTAGTGGTCACTCAGTAGAGAATGCAAACTCCTTCTTGCTACGGCTTTTTCTATTAATGTTTCTGCACTAACTACGTGTGATCCTATCGATGGAGCTGTCTACAGTCATTAGATAGCAGAATTGTTCTGCCAAGAGGATTTGATTCGAAACCAACCACAATATATGTCAAATGTCGGCAGAGCCATCTCGCATTTCGATGCACTTAAAACATCCCATAGTTGTATGTTTGGATACGTTGAGAATTCGGGGCACATGAATGCTGCTATTTTGCAGCTCACAACACCAACTTCTGAAACATCTCAGTTGGCTGTTTTGTTGTAAAGTCGGGGAATATTACGGTATCATATTTATCCATTCTAAAGCAGGTAGTTGGCTAATCAATATTGCGCTAGAGTAGAACTTTTCAATTTGAAAATTTACGTTTCCCATCACGAGCCACTGGTGCTTCAAGAAAACAATTCGGTCTTTTTAAACCGAATCCACGTCTATTAATATACACATCAAACACTTTGGCACTTCAAATGGGTGCTTCAGGTTTCTGATATCTGATAATAAGCTTGAGACATCCGAAGTCCAAGACTCCAAGCTATATATTCGGAGTCAGGACTTATGAACAGATGCTAGTTTGTGTGACACTCAAAGATTTCTGACTAATGTGGGACAGGCCAAAACTCTAATAGAGACAATTTCAAGAAGCCAAATGTAGAGGATCTCCCGAACGTAGAACGTACTGACAGCACTTGGCTTGAGATTCATTGCTGAGACTCAGTTATTCCATCTCACATCAATAACTAGCAGTGCTAAGGTTCAAAGAAACTACTCGAAGGTACATTGAAGAAACATTGTTTAAGTCCTGACCGACAAGAGCGTGAAGATTTTAGAAGTTCAGGGAGTGGCAAACGTCTAGGCTTTGAAGGCTGTATCATTCATTTCCTAATGTGATTAATGTGACTAATGTGATTTTCATGCTCACCCAGCTTCAGCTCTTTGATCAAAATCCTGTTGATAGTATTCTACGCTATCACAGTCATATTCATCCTTTGTGCATGTACATAGTCAGAACACGATACCTACTTATATCAGAATATATCTAATCTTGGACATATTGAAGCCATCAGATCAGCAGCATGTACATGCAATCCATGGCATATACCAGAGTCAAGAACAGCTTCATGTTCATGTCGAAAGTAGATGGCCTACAGAGTAGAGGACATTTTATTTAAAATTCGGTGTAAGAATAAATACAACGATAGATTAAGAAAAAGAATGGAGGTTCTGCAGAAGATTTTCATACTGTAAGATGCTCGGGTCTTGATTGGTGTTTCTCTCAGTCTCACTACATTTGTGGGAGAACTGAACATCGAAGAGGTGAAAAGAAGGTATTTACCATTTTTATGAGTCATCTAAAGCTTGAACGAAACATTGTGCAAACTTTTAGGTGAGAAGAATTAATTACGAGGTGAGGACGAAAATCATCATCGAGAATGAGGTTCAAGAAGGAGAAACTTTTTTATTTCGATCCTCATGAATAAACAGTGGATGTCTCAGATAACCCAAAAGCCGATGAAATTCTTCAGGCTCAAATCTCCTCATGTACCATCACATAATTGAAGAGCCACGCAGAACTTCAAAGTTGGGCAGTTTGATCCTCCCCGAAGTCTACCGACGAAGTGATCCTACTTACTCTTCAGCATTTCTAGCAACTTGTTTCATTAGATGTTTAATACATAATGACCAGACAAGTGTTCATAAGCAATGGTGCTTTGATTGCATAGCAAAATTGAGCCAGCAGTAAGCTTGGTATCTGGAGTCGTCGGTAGCGTTGTGCTCATAAGCTGCAATCGAGGATATTTAAGGAGTATGTATTAGATCAACAACTCAAGTTAGATGCAGATGTAGGTCACTAATAGCTACTATAAATCATTTTATCAGTTTCCAAGAATGTCTGCAGGTACATACGAATTTCAGCTTGGTCGAACTCAACAATTCGAGAGCTTCTATTCGCAACATAAGGAAGAAGTATATTGAGGTACCTTTCCATTCCGAGTGTAGGTTGGACATTGTCTGTTATCTTCTTAAATCTGTAGCTGTTCACAATCCAGTCGGACGCAGAACATGAGCAAATATATTCTAGACGATGATGACGAATCTGAAGTACATCCAATGCACGATTCCATATTGCGTGTAAATACGCATGTGGAATTGAAAACAATTCAAGAATTTCGAAGGGCAGATGTGTATTTGAGCAAAGCAAAGAAAATCAGAATATTAATTATGTCCTCTAAAAGTTTCACGAAGCTTCTTCAACTGAGTGTTGGCATGTTTTGTTTCTGTATACTTGACCTGGCTTTCAGCTTCGTTCATTTCAACTTCTTCGGTCTTCCAAAAATCTCAGCCAGGAAGATGTACCATACTTTCATGATTTTCAAGAGAATTAGAAGAGAATAAGTTTCTTCAGACCAGAACAGCAGTAGACAGACATGCTAGCTTTCAAACAGCAGAGTTATATCTTGAAAGGTTACTCAATTTTGTCATAATTCTCCTCATAATGTCGTCAAGATCAGCCGCATCGAGTTAAAAACTGTCTATGGAAATTGTGAAAACTCCATACTCTACTTGTTCTCCTTCATAAAAGTCAATGTTTATAGACAATCTGAGGACAATCAAATGACACAGTGAATCTTTTTCGAAAGCAGAAAGAAAAAGCTCTGCTTATCTACAGAGAAAATAAACGTTTTCCACTTCACACTACTTTGCCAATCCTGAATGGACGGACGACTTCTATGATGCTGAAAGACGAAAATGGCTATGGCTGTAGATCGGTAAGTGCAGTGAATGGGCTCACCGAGCTATCTAACTACAGCTTGTATTTTCCAACTTCGCAATGACTTCAAGCTGGATTCCAGAATGCATGTGAAAGTTAATGCATTAAATTCTATGCAAAATCTGAATGATAGAAAAAACTCAACGATCCTGGGAGTGTGAGTCGAAACGCTTACTGGCGTCTGACGTTGAGTTTGCAAGACGCTACGAGTAGAAATCCAGCGCTACCCCAGCTCGACATCGACATTTGGAGCAGTTCAAAAGTCTGTGTGTGAGACACTAACATCATTTCGCGATGCTCAAGTCAACATGTCGAGAGAAACTTCGGATTTTTTTTGAAAGAGTTTGGAGTGCCTTCAAATGGAGAGGAATGAGCATTGGTGTTGCTGAAGATGGAGATGGATGAATGTTGTATAAATACCAGCGCTGACAGTCGAGGACATCCAGCTGGAGAAGAAAGGAATCAGGGCACGGCCTGTGGAAATGGCTGCCTGTTCGGCTTTGAGGACAGCATCCGTCCGATCAATCGTCGTAAAAGACAAGCCAAGGCAGTTGTTAATGCAGACAGTGCAATGGCGTTCTGTTCCGAGAAAGTTGAATGGCTCGACGGCATGCGCATCAGACATTAAGAGCTCACCCGTTTGACTTTATCTTTTGTAGGGAGCGTTGTCTGTGTGCCACATGCATGTGTCCAACCCTGAATCTGTATTTACATGAATATAATACACTAAACCAATGTTAAAGATGCTCTTACTAAAAGCCGGGCTTCAACAGTCAACTATGTTTGGGATATTACTCTCAACAGTGCTATCGATGCAGTTTCTGTTTCACTTTAACTGAGCTCACATATATAGATCTTTAGTGTTATCTTCACGTAGAAGACATTACTATCCTGGTTGCAGTTTCTGAGCGCCTTTTCGATGTATTTTTTGGAGTCTAAGATTTACTGATGACACATTGGCGCTTCCTTACAGACCCAAACTACTAAGGGAGTAGTGACTTAAGTGCAGCGGTAATTTTTTTTGGTCTCGTAGCACGGACGTGTGGCTGCCTCTTGAAGTCTTAGGAAGCATAAAGCTGTGAAGACGTCGAGCGCTTTATGTAGGGCACTTTTGACCATGTGGCTCGGGGATGGTATCATGGGTTTAGTATAAATATATTTCCGAACCTCTTTTTGATTAAAAAGAAGCACAAGTGTTTGAGTCTTCAGCCGTCTCCTGACATGCATCTGATAAATGTATATGGAACAGAGATAGGTTTCGTCTGTTTGAAACTGACAGCAGGAAGGATATACTGTTCTGTGACACGTGTTTCTATTGAACAGACGAGTTCATAACTTATTAACGACCTTACTAGAGTTTCATGCAGATAGAGACACATATTGAACAGACGAGTTCATAACTTATTAACGACCTTACTAGAGTTTCATGCAGATAGAGACACATAAAAACCGACAGAAAAGTAATGACGAGGTTTTGAATCCAATAATGACGTTCTTCCATAATTTCTGTCACACTATTGTAACTTAAACCTGGTATAGAGAGATAGGAACAGTAAGGGGCTATGCAATGATTATCAAGGTCATTATGGGTCCTCCCCGTTCTTAAATCTTACCAACTGAAAGGTTTATATGGAAATGTTCAATAGCGTCCGGCCCACACATGGATTGACAATCTGAGTGCCTCTGACGTGATCCAAATGTAGAATCTTTCAAAGCAATACAAACATTGCTATGCAGCTAGATTAAGCGTTCCGTCTATATGTATTTTCACGATTCAGAAAACTCACACTCTTTCTGTACGTTAAAAATAAAGAGGAAACTGGATTGCAAGATTTCTGATTGATTCAAAATACAGCTTAGCTTAATATGAGATGAGAGATGTAGTGACTTCTGATTGACTACTACTGAATTATGAGTGTACTCCCTCTAGAGTGGACTTTTTAGATGAAACTGTTTTCATCTGGTTCAATAGGAGTCAGTCGGTGTGACTTGTATGATATGGATCCCACGGCTTGCCTTTCGTTTCACGACTGAGCTTCGTAAGTACGATGAAATGTCATTTATTTCTCCAATTTACTTCATACACAAATGATGTAAGTGCATGTCATGCTGTTGACTTGTCAACAAGTTCCTTATTCAACCAGAATATATACTCTATAATGTCAAATTTGTTTAGGTCTTGTACACACAAACTCGAAAACTCGAAAGCCCTCCATAAAGATGATAATGCAAAAGAGTGGAGATTCACTAGAATTGCATGTCATTTCCTTATGATACAAAAAAATAAAGACATGTGTGTAATTTAAGTTATCTCATTCAGATTCGATTCGTTTCAATGTGTAACATTACGCCAGTCTGTACTTGTGGCCTGTTGACCTGTATGTGAAAGCTGGCGTGCACGCCAGATGCCAGACGCATGTGAAACAATGTCGGAATCATTTCACATGGAGGTCAACAGCTCTCACCTTTTTTTTGTTCGAGCTTATTCACAGTTATTTGCATAATACCTAACTTCATTATTTTGAATATTGCTTCTGGTTTTTGCTATTAATCAATAAGTAATGGAGGCTAGTGTAAAATATCTGAAATTTCAGGAGGTGGGCCTCTACGTTTCGTTTATTAATTTTCATTGGCCATAGTTTATGAGCAGCAGCAGTGCCTTCTTTGTTTGTACTAATGTCCAGTCTACCTTCACTGCACATGTCCTTTTTGTGAATGTCAGACGATGATCTGTATCCACATAATCTGTATTCTGTTCCAAGCAGCAAGTATACGGAATGAAGCGGACCGGAAACTACTTGCTTCAGCATTACATCATTGCTGAGGAAGAAAAAGTCGGATTCCCTATAGAGGTTGTACCCAGCACAAACTTAGATTTGAAGGTTTCTTGAGTTCAGGACACATAAACCTTCATTAACATGCTTACTAGCAGTCACGGTGAAGATTACAATATCATGTTACAACTGGATATTACATAGTACTTCTTATGCCAAAGTACGCTTACGTCCAGCCCTCGAGATCTTTTCAGATGATTGATGTGAGAAGCTCAGAATGCACAATCTACTCAAGTTTACACATTATGAAGTAGATTGAATAAGTTACATCGATCAGAAGCGGTGCCTTGGACCTTAATATATTTGCAGTTGTAATGGTCGCGATTGCAGGAGTTACCGCACTTCCACACTCCATCAGTTTGAAAGCTGATAATTTTCAGATTGGTAATTTGAGGAAATCGCTTAATCTGACACCAGCAGTATACAGCTCTGAATGAAGGCAACATATCTGTAGGATAGCAACACCAGATAAATATAACAGATCTGAAAAGTAATCACTTGTTTGGGCATCTGGAAAGACACATTTGAGAGCACACGTGAACATCTACCATACCTCTTCATCTCAGACATAATCTGGAAACATCATCTGTCAAGTTTCTAAGCGAATACATTAACGTATATGAGTACTGTAAAGTGAATGTTAAAAGCCTGTTGATTAAACAAAGATAAATCAGCCTTTGGACCAATGACTCAAATCTCTAAACCATTGTTGCATCTGCACTAGCATCGAGTCTGACAATGTAGAAACGTAATCCATCGGATGCGTATATCAATCAACATAAACAGGTATTTAGATTACGTGTAACGAATGCGGCTAATTTATCTCTCTCGTAGTCTACACACGATCCGCTCTGCTTTTGTTCAAGTCTAAGCTTCGAAATTGAAGGCATGTGGAGCTAGTGTATGGTGCTGACTAAGATTGGAGGTTCATCATCGACATCCCGATAGAGCCGGTGTCCACTGGTCTGCTATTATCTGTCTAATCTGTATACTTTCAAATTCTAAGCGCATATGTCACATACACTGATCCGCTGTTGCAGTTGCACGCAGAGCCACATGTCGATCCAGAATTTCCACAGCTAGACATCTTGAAGACGAGAAGAGGAAAATCTTCCCATATTTCAATTGCAGAGATTAAATGAACAGGGCCAACCAGAATAGAAGTAGACTTTGTGTGAATGAACTGCAATATTCAACATGCGTTTAGGTTCTGTTGAAGTTCCAAGCTCATGATTCCAAGGCCTTGGAATCATGAATCTGCAGATGGGATCTGCTTGTCGGTACTTGCGTACTGAGGTTCACATTGCAAGTTCCCAGATCATACCACCGCGGCTGTGCGATTGGCCATGTGATCAGAAACTTCTGTGATCAGGTTACAGTGCAGCAATTGACCCGTAATACAAAAGCATCAGTTATACCGTTTTATGACATTTAAGAAATGTTAAGAAATGATTACTGGGACCGCCTTGACCTGCCACAATTTATACGGAATTTTTTTCAATTATAGGCTTTAAACTTTGATCTGAAGTCAGAACTTTGTTCTAAGATGAGACATATGCGTAATCAAAATATAAGAGAAAAGGCGGAGTGATACGCTTGACACGAAATATGCCTTTCATACTTAATATAAAATCTATACTCAGATCAGTGATGAAATCAACGGTCGCATTTTAGAGGCAGCGTTTTGCAACATTGATATTTTATAACACAAGTTTCATTTCAGATGGAGAAAGATTTATAAAGCTTATGCTTTATGTTTTACACTCTCGGAGCATATTCCATGGCCATGCAGCGTGGGGTAGGAACTCAGCGTGGATGAACATGTGGGAGCAGCCAGAGTTAGTACTGTGAAAGGAACATCCTTGGTCTGGGCACTTCGAGTTAGTTTTATTGACCGAATTCGTTCAGGCAGTTGCAGCAGAGCTCCAGGGAAGTCTTTGGACCTCCAATCTGTATAATTGAGCATATTTCTCTGATACATATAACTAAACCAGTATCACGATCTGACCGGTTCATCTAAAAGTCATGTCATAGATAAGCAATCGGTGTAAGCACTGATACCAGTTCCGAGAGAGGAGACTTTCCATCTAAAAGCAAATTCCACGAGATAGTAAGAGGCTTCATGATGAGGGCATGGATAATTTCACAATTTTTTCGTAACATCAGAATTTTAGTGCAAGTCAGATCTCAAGATACGAGATACATGGGCTGATTTTACTATATTTTTGGTGACCAGTTTTCTGTAAAATAATTGCTATCTGAAATGTTGCTCCTCTGAAAAATCCTCAGAGTGCAGGATAAGAAAGAAACGAGGTGGATCGGCCTGTGAATGTGTTCTCTGATTGTAATAGAATCCAGTCACTGCATTGAACAACTGTTGCCAAGATTTCCGTTTATCATGCTCAGGGCACACACAAACACACCGAACAGGAGGTTTGGTGCTTCAAAACCTGAAGCGGCTAACTTGATCACAGTCGACGGAATAGTACTCATGGACGAAAACAGGTGTTCCAAGCAACAGTCGGGGTGTTGCAATTTCTTGATAAGATGATTCTTTGGTGCAACCTTGTGTCCACATGTGGCAAGCTCAGCCTGATTAATTACTTCTGTACACTACCCATTATTTCAGAATCACACACAAACGTCGCTTGCCAATATATCATGTTCGATCATGCATCTGAATCCTCTCCGACGGGCTACAGCTGCTTCTGCCATGATCCGGTAGGAACCAAATTCTACAGTGAAAAGGAAAAGTGCAGTGAGGTGAGATTGATGAATGTATACAGTCTTTGGTATAGGAGCTTCCTGTACGTTTCGTCGTTCCAAACTGTGGGAAATGCTAGATTCAGAAGCTGAACTTGGTTAGAATGAAATCGTACGAAGTTGCTTGTGACCGGCTGAACGCCTTGATTGACTCATAGATCCATTCTCAAGCACTATCTTGCAGAGGAATGAAGCCCTGACTATACCGATGGAGCGTCATAGTTTCTCAGGTTGCACATGTACTGCGAAGAAGCAAATTCAAAGTGGCCTTTGGATCACCTTAATGGCTTCTAGTACACTGTACAGGACTCTGTAAACTCTGTAAGCCGAATCACGGCTGCGTCTTCCGATCGATGGCGTACAGGTGCACAGTGGTGCTCTCCGATACTCCTCCATCTAAGCCCGTCGTCTTGCATGGTGAATCACATCTCTACCACGGCAGAGGACGAGCTGAGATTCCTTTTATCCCTGCAGCCATTCGTTGGGTTTTGATCGAGCCGAGACTTGCTCGAGTGATTGACTATATAAAGAAGCTAACTGCTCTCGTGGATTCTTCCAGCAGCACACAACATTGAACAGGATCCTCTTGCTCAGCCCATCGTCTATATTCATTCCGCTGCGCTTTCCTTCCTCTAGCTAGCCTAACTTTTATTGTTCTGTTTATAATGTCCAGATGTCTGGCTGCGGTGAAATTGGATATGGAGAAATTAGACATCGATGTATGTGGTCTCGCTGATTTTGTTTTATTCTATTCAGGACTCGTGACACACGATAACTGGATAGACGCTGTATTTCAATGTTTTTCATCATAGAGTTAAATCGGATGAGGGTTTAATGTCGAGTACTTTGCCCTCGAGGGCTTCTCTTCAGCTTCGTGTTTCGATTCTTAGAGTACTGTCTGTGTGAGCATTATTTATCTGAGAGCGTAGACAGTGAAGCATGCTTCATATGCAACATTTGTTGTGGAGTAGTTCCGAGAGTCTCACGTTGATGGATGCAGCCCACTCTCGTCATTGCCAGCTGCTGCTGCTGCTCTAAGAGGTGCATGCATAGACTCCCAAAATTCTGAGAAGAAAGGGTATGAGTCTATGTGCTGTAATTCATTTTTGGCAATGATTTGGTCTAGTTTCATAGGACTTCACAGAATCACAGCTTTGCTGTTATTTCTTTGCCAAGTGCGGTGACAGCTTCGGAGACGTAAACAGAAATATATGCCAACTTCAGACCTCGACACTTCGCTAATGGATAGGGAGACTACACCTTTTCGTTCGATGTCGAGGCTAGCCTGCTGTCAATCCATAAACAGGACAGCGTGGATGAAAACGACATGTGGTTCCCTTGTGTCGAAAGGTGGTAAGGTTCTCTTAATCAGTTCAATATAAAGCATTCCTGCGTACATCTGGCCACAAATCGAAGTCATATTTTCTGTATACGGAACAAGTCTAAGCTCAGTCTTGAATGCAGTGTGAACCCCTAGCGTGCAAATGAGCGAGACGAAAAGGATTCACTAACTTCTATGCCAAATCCCCAAACATTCACCAACCGATGACAGTGATGCCCAATTCAGACGTGGATGAAAGAGATCAGACTGACTTCGTTCAGCAACCTCAGCACTAGATGAACCAATCGGAAACAACTCCGATAACAAGATGCCCAATTCAGACGTGGATGAAAGAGATCAGACTGACTTCGTTCAGCAACCTCAGCACTAGATGAACCAATCGGAAACAACTCCGATAACAAGAGGCGTGCCTTCGGCTGCTGGTTACTGCTGATTATTAGGACTGAAATAGCAGCATGCAATCAATGTCGTTGTCCTCCAAGCACCATCTCCGTGGTCCTAGCCAAGCATGTCCTGGTCAGGTATGTTGAGCAGAAATTCAACCCACAAAGTCTGTTTAACTTGGTCTTGTCTTCGAATTTACACGGTCGTGAATCCACGAAGACCTGACATTTATTCCTGCGAATTCGTCCCCGACCCACCATTCGACTTCGAAAGCAGCTTTTCAGTTTCGAAGGGCTGTCTCAAACCTTCTGGACACGCGTGGATGGCAACATTGGGCACGGAGTCCCTGAATTTGTGTGAGCTTACATTCGTCGATCCCATCCTGTCGTATTTGACGAAACTGAAGCTAGTCTTAGTCGACAAAGATTGTACCGCAGAGTGAGCAGAGCACGTCTGTTAAGATTCTCCCTCCTCACATAAAACCTTGTCCTTGATTTGCCCACCAGATACTTTCATGACAAACTTTGTTGACCATGGAATCCACAGTATTCGCACGCTAGTTCCCCTCTGCAGGAACGGCATCAAAATGCATCGCATGCAGAGCTAGTATCGAGGAAATTCAATACAGCATGCAGAATGAGCTCCTCCTCCAATTGAAAGTGACTGACAAATTTAGCTAATCAAAGGACAAAAACTGAAGTCTTTGTCCTTGATTCTTTCCATCTATGCTCCCTAGAACCTTCCAATGGACACTGACCGTCCTCGTCAAAAATCCACTCTCTTTTCATTCTCAAGGTCTTACAGAAAGATGTCAGCTCTTCGTCAAGAAGAAACCGGTCTTGAGCACAGTTCAGATAAAAGTGGTCATTACCTCTTTAGTGGAAGGAGTAAGACGAGGAGTATCTGAAGATAATAACGATCCGCATAAAGGCCAGATAGACACATCACGACTGGTTGCGGAGTTGGATTCTTTAGTCCAGGTCGACGACGTATCATCAGTTTGATCTCCACCAACTGCACCCAAATGTGACCACTGAAGCTTCTAGAGACACGTGTTTGAGGCTCAGGAATATTCATACATCAATCTAAGGAATAGAGCATGTACACAGATCTCCGATGCAGGAACCTTTTGTCCAGAACAATTGTCACAGCATCGTCTTCTGATGTTGCAGTCAACGCTGCCCGAAGAGCGGCGTCTCCTCAGTCTCCGCAGTACATCTCGGATGCTTCGCTGCGAAGCACTTGTCTCGGGTACACTCTGGAGCTCACAGTAAAAACCAGGAGACGAGCAGTGCTCTCCTGGAGCTATTCTGAGAAGCGCGTTCAGACCCAGGTTTTGCAAAAGTTTGATGTTGCGCAGTTAAAAATCAGTCCAGATGAGAAAAAAGAAATTGAAATGGATGCTGGATTGAGGAGCTTTTCATACCTGGACAAAAGCTTCTCGATCAAATCTTTCGGACAAAGTCGAGGGTATATAATCTTGCGGGAAGTCTCGGAGATTGGCCGGACGCGAAGCGAGAACTGATGCTCGTTCCGACTTTGTTTGATAGCTTTCATCAGGGCTGGCGAAATATTTGCGATACATCCGAGTCATCTTGAATTGGTGTCTTCGAACACCTATTTCAGGATGTCTTGCCGCAGAAACTCCGGCTGCTCGTGCAGCATGTCCAGCCAGATATATAGCAACACGAGGTACAAATCCTAGTCTCCTTTGCAAAGTACACCTGAGTAATTCAGAAACTCTGCATTTGATCAGGTTCTTCTGATGAGATGCATTTTTGTAGCAATTATACTGACACTGCTAGCAGAATGTCATAATCAGCTGAACATTAGCTTTGAAACTGGACTTTACTGAAGGTTTGAACTTAGACGGAGATTAGGGTAGACCAGCAAGAATGTTTGCATTTCCATCTGTGCAGATATATCGCATGTCTATTGGATTTGGTACTCGAATCCTTTCTCATCCAAGATCTGATCGACAGACACGACCAGTTTTGCTGATGGACTTGTGTGCAGAGCTATTGTGTGTTGATTTCCATTTCTTTTGGTGAAATTGGCAAAGGGTTTCATTCTTGGCTATGTCTTCATACTATTAACACTCTGGTTCTTGCTTGAGCAGCTGAAGATCCAAGAGGTCGACTGGTGTCTTCCATCCTGTTTCCGAAATGAACAGGTATTAATTCACTCACAGATAAAATACTTTCAATTCACTGATCGAATTGAAATGAATGTCAGCTCTCGGCGAAATCCTTCATCTGAAGATACTGCTCCTATTCCAAAACCATGGTACCAGTAAAAGTTTCCCTTCCAGGCGATACGGAAGATTTCTGCATTGAATTCATAGGTATACTGGTACTTGATCAACACCAACCATGGTGCTTGTTTGGAATGACCAGTCACTACAGTCTCGATGTTGACGGGAACTATGGTTGCAAGGGTGCAAATGTGGTGGATGGTACATTGCGATCCTTAAAAAAGCTTGCCGAGATATGGCTAGGCGCCCATGATAAAGTCGCAGCATTATCTTGTCAGAATTTATGGCCCTGTATCGTTCCATAGGGTCTGATCTTATTTGAAGACATTACTTAAAATTGAATCTCCTTGTGTGAGTGTGTTGTGATTCATGCTTCTGGAAGTGAATCGATCTTGCACAATTGGAGCAGCTATTGCTAAGCTAGCTCGAAAGCGATTCTTAGCCCCCTCAAGCCACAGTATCATGTCAAGTCTTTACTGTTAATCTATAAAAATAACCCGAAGGCTCCGTGTGGCCACGAAAACCTCGTGTCTACGGGAAAATGGTCTGCTTTCAAAGTCTGCTTCACTTTTGGTCAAAATTTCAGGAATTGGCGACGTTGATGGAAATCTCTCTGAAGTTTGTATCAGTGTGATCGGGCCTATCTCTTACCAACTGTCAAACAAGGCTTTGCTGTTCCATGAGATCAGCAAGGACTGGGAACATCACACACAAAGAGACCTGATAATTTATGTCGTTCACCCATGTTTTACCAGGACTGAGTGAAGGAAAAGACCCCAAAGAAGAGAACAGAGGTAGAAATAAACGAGTTGAGTCTTACGCTGTAGTAAAAGGCTTTATTGAACAAAGTGTTTGTGAAGACAATAACCACTACCAGTGTGTCAAACTGTAGTCTCTTTACCATATAAACGTTCACAGTCTTTCAGCATAGACGTCAGGAAGACAGTTGATAACTGCAGCTCGTAAAGGCATCAAGTTGTATGTCATATGTCAACGTGAGTGCAACAACTATCAACAAACAGCTCGCAGCATATCGCTCACGATTTACAGTAGCCGATTGAATCCATCTCGTGGACGTGTGGTCATACTGAGACTATAAATGTACGACCTTGTTCACTTGAATCTCAATCAAAAGTTTCGCCGTGTCACTGGACGAACGAGGTGGTCATATGACATGTGTATACTTTCATGTGTATGCATTGTTTTCAATAACACTACAGTACATGAGAGCACTTGTAGTATTGTAAGAAATTTTAGGGTCCATTGGGCCGAGAAAGAAGCCATGTTCCCATCTTTCTCTGTCCCACCGTACATCTATAGTAATATTCAAGACCTAAGACTTTAAGCTAAGTTAACAAAGATCATGAGTTTCTTTGAACATTGAAACTACACTAAGGGCATTATTTGCGGAGCTCTGAATACTATTATAATCTATACAACTAATGTAAATTCGACGAAGCCAAACAATAACACAATACGATATCCAAATTAGCAAGAGAGAAATTTAAACATTAGAATTGTGTGAACCCAGACGGTGTTGAAAAAATCACAAACCCTATTGCCCTAATATTTTTTAAAGCAGAGAAATAAATACAAGCTCAAAAAATATATTATATAAGTGATGATGATTACAAGAAGTAATCTAGACTACTTTATATAGCCTAATAAGAAAAACCAACAAAAAAAAAAACCCTAATTGATGCAAATATCTATTATGACATATTGCATAAAGCATTCCTAAACCAAGGAAGAATGGCAGGAAACTATCTTATCATATTGCTTTGCGATCAATTAACCTATCACATTATTTGGTGAATTCGGTGAACAACTCGTCTTCACACCAAAACACTACTCGCGTAAATAATTCATGGAATGAAGAAAGCAATTACTCAATGAGAATCCAAAAATTGCATTTGATTGATGTATGCATAGACGACTGAGAGAGATATCCTGCTCTCACTATATTACATAGTAAATTGAATTTTCGCCGTTTTATATTAGACTATTCGCGTTCATTTGATTCCCGATTCTCAAAATACTTATCTAATACAATCATACGAGGACAAAGAATGTTCATGTATGTTGTGAGGTTGAAACCTACTGCCTATATAAAAGATATGTCCTTGCATGTGCATACCGTCATACCAATTTCTTTCACCACGTGATGATGATAAAGTCTCTTGACAACTCCAAGATTTGAATGTCCACAAACTATTTCTATGCGCTGCGTATATACCATTACTAATGCGCTGCTAGCTTCCGTTTATAGTCTTGCTACAATATCTACGGGAGAAATCTTCATATGTTGTTTTTTTCATTTCCTTTGGCAGAATAATTTCTTAATTCATTCAAGATGAATAAATATAAAAAATCCAAGCTAGTTCTGTATCAAAGTTTATCTCAATGGTAATTTCAACTCTTCCATGTACCCAAAAATCTTATAGAGCCAACAAACAATCAGTGTCAGTTGCATAATGACTCTTGTTAGAATGTAAGCTTAAACCTTACAAACTTTGTTCATAAGAGCTAAACTAGCAGAGAAGCTAATCAAAAAATTTATAACGTCCCATTCCAAGCATGCGTGTTATTTGTAAACATATTACTAATTTTTTTAAACATTTTGAATTTTTTTCTCAGCCTTGGGTCAACTCTGATGCAATAGTGCTCGTGATGCAAACACAGTTTGTGCAGGAGTACGAGGAGAATGTGTTTCTTCTTGTAATTTCAAGAACTGTCAATCCAGTGTAAGAGTGTAATCTTGTTTGCGAGATACAACATTTTCCACATTTACCCTTGACTATATTATTTTCAGGTTCTTTTTGTTGTGCTATGAGAAGTAAGCAAAAGGTTTCAGCTTGTTGTGAGTTGTGCGCGAGGTTGTCACCAGTGTCAAATCTTTTTCAGATGAGTGTCTCCATGTTGATGATTCAGAGGACTGAACGAAGGGAGACTCATTACCTTGAGCCTGAATCTCTTCCCTCTGGTTTATTTTCTCAAGTGCATCCACAAACAGAAACCCATTGAATTTGGAACATTGCTTTATTTTCTTATTCAAAGACTTTACTAAGACTTATTACCTTGTGATGTGACTCAGGAGGAAATCGAACCCCTTAGATGCCCCTCTCTCTACATGAAATCAGCACTACTACAAATCAACTTTCATATTAGCAGAATCTTTCACTGGATGATTTGCTCCGTCTTTAAAAACACTCCACCGACAACAGATACTAGATTCTTGAGAAAATTGACATTGCTTGTCATACGTGGTGAGCAATTTTCCACTGTTCATTCACATTCTTCTCACTTAGCATGAATCTTCCGAACAATAATTGATTATTTAAGAATCTATATTCTCAATCTGTTCCTCTGATGTTACAATGTCAATTTTGTGCATGTTTTTGGCGGAGATTTATTCACAATTATGTTCGCTAAATAATTATTGTATGAGGGTACGAGTCCACTGGTCGCAAGTCTCTCACTGTTATTCAGCATTTTGATATCTTCAAGACAACAAAAGGATTAAAGTAGAAAAGATTAACATTGTCGGTTCTACCTACTTTCTCGTATGGAAGGAGAGAGTTCAAGATTGAGCAGATTACCTATATTACTAGGGACAGGAGTATGTATATTTCAAATTTCGAAGAGGAATATCTTACAATGAAGGTCGAGTATCCCTGTTGTATCAAAGTCGTGAAAACAAAGAAAAATAAATAAATCAGTCTTCATGAAGTACAGTACGCTTGTAGGCAAAAAAACACAAATCTATGTAACTGTGAATATGGACTGTTCTGCCACATGCCCTTCAGTATTGGACTAGTTTACCAGGACTTTACTTCTAGAATAACCTTGCATCGGGTCCTTGTAGCAGGAAAGCCTTCGAAGAAGTTTCTGAATCAGATCTTGGCAAAAGGGTGACGCTGTACGCCCACAGTGCTCAAGCAGAAGACTACATAAAGCAGTGCACCACACTTCATTATTACATTCTGATCCTTCAGCTCGAACTTCATCTTTGTCTCCAATTTCGGAATTGACTTGCGCGTTTACAATTCGACTTCTTTTCAGTCAGATCTACTAGCGTTCCCAACATGTCTGGTTGTGGTAATTCATCATGCTCGTGTGGGGCGTCTTGCAGCTGCAATGGGTGCAGGTATTGTTCTATGTAGATGATCTGTTTTCTCAGAATTCGTCAGATTGGTGAGACATGATTTACTTCTAAACCTTTGTGGATAAACTAGCTGAAAGCTGATGTCTTGATCCTTCTCTTGTTTCAACTCTGAAGAACAGATGTCAATGACCAATCGACTTTTGATTTTCATTTTCATTTTCATTTTCGCTACTGAGTGAAGTGTCTAAAAAACATCTGAACATAATGAGATCGGTCTTTGCTACTCTTCATTCTCTTCATTCTGCTGATTTTTTTCTAAAGCTACTTACTCAGTCTTCATTGTGTTCCTATACAGCTGCAAGAGATCCCTCGATACCTTCCCAACGGCTATTAACATGGAGGGGTATGATATATCTGCACAGAAAGTGTCTTGAAACTTCGATTTCATCGTGCAACATTAGTTTTGTCTTAGATGAAGAAACTTGTACTGCGTTTTCGATCACAAGAAACTTCCTCGTTTTGACTACTCGTATGGACGCAATTTCTTGAACAGATTTGAGAATGAAGGATGCAAGTGCGGAGACAGTTGCAATTGCAATCCTTGCAACTGCAAATGAACACAATTCGTAAAGAATATGTGATCCGTTACTTCTGCGCAGGATGCGTTGACGGGGAATAAGCAGACGGCGTCTGTCTAAAGCTTCTCATTGAGATAGCTAAGGATTCACTGTGGGAGACGTATTTTTCCACTCGTCTTATAACTGTGGCATTGTAATAAAAATATGATTTCAAGTACATGTGTTGCCTATTTCTCGCTTGAGTTGATAGTCAGTCGATGTCATTATTATCCTGTGGCCACTGTTATCTTTACTATCAAAATCTCTAATGAAAGTGTATTTGACGACGAAGTCCAGATGAGGATCAACGCAAACTTAGACTGTCACGTCCTCCCATGTTTGAGTTCCCTCTTACTTTCTGTTTCACAAAGTCAAACAGAATCAATGGATCTACATTTGTGATCGCATTCGAGATTCTAAGCGAGGAGCTCAGAATTAACGCATGCAAGTGGTCTAGGAAGACTCGTATACATTTCTGATGCACGATTGCTATTGAGATCTTTCTGATTTTTCTGGCCGTCTTCGATCTCTCAGTTTATACTCGAAATTAACAACTCCCAGTGGATACAATCATCACAAAATCTTTTCTTGCAATATGTGAAGTATCATGTCAAATGGAATCTTCATTCTCAGAAAACAGAGGAAGAACCTCAATGTTTTCATCACAATGGGAATTTTCGAGGAAAATAAAATAAAAATCCCTCATGTCTTCATCACTGGGCAGAATTCCTCGTTTCGAATTCGCAAGCTACCGATTTCATCTTTTGTGGTCTTTTCACATCAAAGCTTTCAGTGATAGATTTACGTCTTGCTGTGATCTTACTGATTGAGCGAAATAAGCAGTCATTTACATCAGATTCACACGTGATGCAACTCTCTAGAAAGTCACACATTCGGATTTATAGTCCTAGCCGAAGTAAGACATAAACTAAAAATTCTACAATATACTCATTACTCTGATCAAGAACAGAACTAAGGCTGCCATTTCCACAAGACTTGTAGACATCCCAAAGCTGCATTCATCCAGTCAGGAACACTGCAAATCTCTTATGTGTAGGCTTCATAAGTTCATCGTTGTATTGACTCTCTGATATCTGCGTGCTGCGATCATGCTGGCATCTGATGATCTGGGTTGAGTCATGAACAGTCGTGTCTGGTGTCATGGTGAGCGTTGCCGTTTTCTACAAATGGAAAAGATCTGCAACAATATTTCAATAATCCGAACTGGTGCACGTCTATCTTTCTGTCAATTGCATCGGGAACCTCTCATGCAACAAACAGACTGTGCAGCGATATACTATCACACGTACAATTATTCAGTACTGAGTTCTCGTACTTTTTGAAGTAGTAGGGGCCCTTGCAATGCATTTATATCCACTAGGGTTCGAGAACGTACTTTCGGCGTGTACTGCTTCACGTTCATGACCAGATGATGACATCTCGCTCACGTCTTTTGCATTTGAATTTGATTGCAGCTTGGACTTTTGGAATAAAGAAGAGCTTTGTGATTTTCTGACTTCCTGATTCACCAGTCATAAATACACATATAGAAGAACACTCGTGGATGTAATGGATGCAACTGGTAAGAAGTATGTGGATCTGATTTTTCCAGATTATAGTAGTTGTGCGCACCAAGAGACAACTGTAATATACATGTGATCGCAGAAGGCAATATATCCTAAAATCCGTCACTTTTGACATTCATCATTTACGATGCACTCACTGAAGCTTTAGAGAGAGCCACTGAGAGAGCAAGTGATGACAAACATTAGATGCACGCGTCTTTTGTTTTTTATGTCGACCATTGTAAAGATGTGGGTGCGGAGGAAGCGAAACGATATGTGCAGTGAAGGACCAGAATGGTTGGTGTCTTCAAGCTTTCCAACACCATTATTGTATAGAATCAATCGTAGGTGTGTGTGTTATCTCCAACTTTCTCCTCATAGAAGTAGTTCTCTTCTACCAAGTCATTCAAAATCATTTCTCTTGAAAATTATTCTAACCTGGTACTGTCTTCAATCTTCAAATGACAGATGTTGATGATATTTTATCATCTAATTCATTATCCTTCTATTGAGGTCTCACCTATCCAGCTTCGTTGAGAACATGAACGCTGCCATACATCATATATAAAGTCCGAAATGTGGACATAAAATCAATGTCAACAGTTATTTTGTGGAGGAATAAGAGTAAAATATAGATTTAAAATTCCTATTCTAAGTAAGCAAAGGATCTCGCAGCATTTACTCGAAGGTGAAACTTGAAAACATTGCCATAAGATATGATTATGGGTGCAAAAATGGTTCAGGGTTGTATCAAGTCAGTTGGAAAGCAAAGAGAATTTTAATTTTTTTTAAATAACAATCCAAGAGATCTACAAAATCTATTTTCCATCTTAAGGAAGCACTCACAAAGGTAATATAATCAATATACACGTAGAGATTGTCAAAAGAAAAGGTAGATGAATTTGGGAACTCTTCCAATGTTTTGAATAAATTTGTGTAAAATTCTTGTTATAATTCCTGGCATTATTAAATTTTTCCAGGTCATTCGGAATAAGTTTATTAAAGTAAACGTGATTTAGTACTAAGCATAAAATAGAACACTCTCCAGCTAACCAGTGCTTTCCTCAATAGCAATGGATGATGTTATGTTATTTATAGAGCATTGGACCGGACACCTTGATTGCAAAAATAGAATATTTTCCACTGTTATACTGATGGCACCTAGACCTTGTTACCCGTTTGGGTACATCCTTGGACACCAGATAGCGTCTTTCATCATTTTTTCTAAGGTCCCGGTTGACAATGTGGATCAGAAAGCAATGAAAACATGTTATTACAATCAGAGCATGTGGGTTCGTAGGAAGGCTACCGTGCTAATATGTGAAAGGCTTGTACTAGTATGCGATAACTGAAGTCAAAAGTGTAACCTTGATTAGTACTATACCATTGCAGTTATAATCTATCGTTTTCTGAGTAGCGTGGACTGTTGTGCAGGCTGTCGTGTAGTATTGTACTATCTTACCGAGACACAACTTGAAGGATACGTTAGGTTTGGGTCCATGTAGCAGGAAAACTTTCAGGGAAGTTTCTGAATCAGACTGATGCGAAGAGGTGCAGCTGTTCGCCCATAGTGCTCATGCTGAAGGCTACATAAAGCAGCCCATCACACTTCGTATTCCAGTTCATCTTCTCATCCTCGAGCTTTATCCACTATATCGTCATCGTCTCCAGCTTTGGCACGTCTTTCGCGGTTTGATCATTCGACTTCGAGTAAGTCAAGTCTACCAGCGTCTCTCAATATGTCTGGATGTGGTAATTCATCATGCTCATGCGGAGCATCTTGCAGCTGCAACGGATGCAGGTATGAAACTCTTTAATGATTTGCTCAGATTTCCCACGCCCGTCCGGTTCAGGACGCTTGATTTGCGTTTCTAACATGAAACTGAAAATTGAGAAATCTCCTCCTCCTCCTCTCATTTCACATCATTTTTTTGTGAAAAGAAAGAGGAATGAAAAATAAGCAACCTCTGAGTTACAAATTTGTGGCAGTTGGCAAGTCCAGAGTCTGACTGCAGATTGCAATCCGATGGATGTGGATCCTTAAGACTTCTTCTTTGGCAGTCGGTTAGCACGCCATTTGATTGTTTATTAAGAAGACTCTAAGGACTTTCCTGTGGTCCTTTTGCAGCTGCAAGAGGTCGTTTGACACCTTCCCAACTGTTACCAACATGGAGGGGTATGAAAGGGCAGATTGATGAATCATCTCTCTCTTCCGTCTATTTGCAGATACTGATTTTCAACTGATTGAAGTATATTAGGTGCTGGATCGTGTATCGCAAACGTAATGCAATGAGATTTCTAATCTACTTGGTACTGTCTCGCTGGTTGCAATACTTCGGATGTGCAATCAGATTCCAGGATGAAGGATGCAAGTGTGGAGACAGCTGCAGTTGCAATCCTTGCAACTGCAAATGAAGTATTTCGACTCGGAAAAGATGATCGACTACTCCAGACGGTTCAATGACCACGTTTTGGTCACTGTCACGCTGCACGCCATGATAGACTTCGTGACATACCTATGCATAAAAAATAAACAGTTTTTTCATTTTGCTATGTTCATTAGAACCCAAGTGTGGGCACGTATATGCACTACACTGTGATTAAAATATGTCTTACGAGTGAATAGATTTAATAAATCATAACGGAGCAATAACCTCTGAAACGGGGCCTCTTTTATTTCTGCAATCGATGTCTCTAGTCACTTGCTCAATCACAGGAACTGCTGTTTGAATATCAGTCTTGTAACTGAGTCCTTGGAATCTGAGATTCAGCATATCCAGAAGTCGAGATCTCCTACTGATAATTGTGTCATCGAAGAGTCTTCCTAATACTCGGGTGTGTTGATTTATTATGGGCACAAGGACCTGTCCGGAAACAGTCAGGACCATCCTGATGCACCGCCAACGAAGCCTAGCATGAGAAAATAGTAGATTTAGAACTTCCAGATGGATAGGAAGATTTAAACTATTCTGCCTTACATTTGACACTCGCTCTAAGGACATGCTTACTGTCGCGACATAGTTCTTCGCTTTTCCTCTTCTTTGTGTCTGATACAGTCAGAGAGAGTGGCCAAAGTTGCGCTATGTAATCGCAATCAGCTTCTCCTCCTGAAACCTCACGATAGCCAAGAGACGGCTGAAGAATACGACTCTGGTGCGAAGAGAGTAAGAGGAACTTACTGTTAGTCGATCAGTATACTCTAGTCACTATGCAGCTCACGTGTACATGTTCTGATTAAAATGTAATCACCATTGTTAGCAGTCGTAACGTTCGGCTGAAGCATCTTACCGTTTTAAACTGCATTACACTCGTCCATGATTGTCGAAAATGGAGAGCTGTTTAAGTGGAGTGCTTGTGTTAGACACTGGTGTGTCAGACAATTCAATTTGCTTCACTTGTCAAAGTGCAAGAGAGCTCATTTTGAGGCATGCTGGTATACATATTCCGAGGTTTTTTCTACTTTGGCCGACAGCCTTCAAACTTCCTCTTTGTCAAAAGTCCCTAGAGCTGACCACTATCATTCGTATTTTGCAGCTTCGTGTCACAAAAGACTCTTTTTCTTTTTCAATCTTGCCACAACTTAGAATTCCAGTTTCAAAGAAGAAAGAACGTAGTCTCTCTCAGACGGTGCCTTTTCTAAGATGAATAGTTAAACTCTACATTTGACTTGCACATTGATTTCTGCATTCATAAAAGGAATCCTATGTTTACGTTTGATTCATGGATACAACGCTTAGATGCTGAGTTTGGATCGTGTAGTTTTGGATCTCTTATGTTACTGTCGAGTGAAAGATCTGCATCTCGCAGTGATTGTGCTCTTCACCAGAACGCTAGGCCTGCAAGAAGTGATAAAATTGATTATTTTTAAGTAGACTTAAGAATATGTAACTGTAAAAGGTAGTAGAGACTTCCACACGACCTTTCTAATTTATTCGTTAATCTGACCAATGATCCGACTGTGTCGTAAGTTTGCGGTGAGAAGTGTCAGCTCATGGCTCATAAACATCGCATACTATCGACTGGTGATTTTGTAAGTTAGAATGCCTTGCCTATGGTCAAGACTGCCATGATTGTGTCTAATGATCTAACTTAATCACTGTACGGTAGGAGCTTGTGTCAACGTAAGCACTGTCGAAAGTCATCAAAATCAACTGTAGACTGATGATGCAGATCTGGAACAGTTTTGAATATGCTGCATAGTGATGATGAGCATCGGGAAGCTCACATGCAAGAAACAAAATGTACTACATTGTATACTAACAAACGTACCACCGTGAAGTAACAATTCTGGTACTCATTGAAGTAGATTGGTACGATGGAAAGCGTGTTTGCTTCATTGGGTTCGACAGAGTCGTTCATATTGGTAGTCGTGAATTTTCTTTTCATGATCATGCTATCCTCCTTGGACTTCTTTCGTACTTCAGCGTGTACTTATCTTGTACTTTAGAATCACGATGACATTTGCATTCATGTGACGTTTTAGTGATCTAGTAGTAAAGATCCAGGAGGACAACCTGTCATGGATGTACTGGATACACTTGGTAAAAGCTGGGCGAGTGAATTGTCGTGATCGTGAGCACTAGAGTTCCGAACATAATACATTTGCTTCAGTGGCTAAAATGTTGAAAAAGATACCAATTTATGTTCTTCTAGAGTTTCATCATTCGACCGCATCGCGTTGAAGATGGGAAGAGTGATACTTTAGACCAACGGGTGACATTTCATTGATATCAAAATACATTCCGAAAGTTCATGTCTTATACAGTTCTCGTTCCTAATTAGGTCGACGAGAGTTCATGTCCGAGACAAATTTCGCTGGGAATTTCAGAGATGAATTATGTAGCACCTGCGGAGCTGCAAATGGATGGTGGGTGTTCTTCTCAACCTTTTCTTCGAAAACGCTCCAGATTTGTTCTATCATGTTTTTCATGGTTGTAATTTTCGACCTCTAGCCTCAAGAACCCTACTGACAACGTATCAGTCCAGATTATATGAGAATCATTGAAACATCTCGTCATTTCAACTATTGTACTTGACATCTCTTGCAATAGTGAGTGAAAAATATTCGAAAGTTGTCACAAGAGTAAGCTGTATCATATTAGTCTCCTTCTGTACTCTGTGCAAAGTGTGTACATGGACTTCCAGCTTGTGCTTGCAGTGAAAAATAATGATGTTTAGTATCTACTTGTATTTTCCTGGCGTGAAAGGCTGACTGCATGGCTCAGTGTACCCGTTTTTCTCATAGTTAGCAATGTTATCGGATATGTTTACTCCGATCGGAACCCTGATGGATTATGAAGCTTCGAAATGTCTATAATCATTCTGAACCTGTCACAAGTTGCTCTTATCAGAAGATCTGCTTCTCTACATACAGGTCGGTGGTCCGCAACTCTTGCTTTAACTCTAGAAGGGTTCTTCGCAGTAGCTGGAATTATTTAGAACACCACATGTGCTATGAAGCGCGGCAAAATGGATGGCTATCGTAGATGTATAATGTACTTTGCATTTGACCGATTGAAGCATTTTCAGACCAGAGTCCAATACCTGCTGATGATAGAAAACTTTCCCGGATTTTGTTTCTGATCTCTTCTACTTACGTTATTACTTTCGCGGCTTATGAACAACGTACACTTTGGCATTACATGTTAGGTCTCAGCTTTTGCCTTTTTGTCTCTGGCGCCTTCCTTCCTTGTTTGGCATGGAATTACAAGTCTTCGCCTTTATACTTTACAGGTTGTAGTGTCAGACACAACTACAATACTTGCTGTTGAAGAACAGTATGCTAATGTAGAACATAATTTATCGTTGAAATAGTTATTTAGAATTTTATGTAGAGAAAGTTGTGATATCTAATATCTGGTATGATATGAGTCTCCCTTCCAAAGGTTGGGGAAGCCGCAGATTTCAGATTCATCAGCCGTTCTCAGTTCTTCAGATGAACTTCCCAAAGCTTGTTTATCACTTGGAAGCAGCCCTAGCCCTAACTTCTTTTCATAGATGAGCTGGTACACAATCATATTTCATTCAGCAAGTGTCTTTACAACTTTCTTTCAGTTTGAAAAATTTGATTCTTAGCTTTAAAAGATTCGTAGTTAGTGTTTTTTGGGTCACATTCTAACTTCTAAAATGGGGTTGTACAGTCAGGTTATGAAGCTTTAGAGTGACAAGAAACATTATTTCTTGAAATCGTATCCAATCAGATTTATTATTTTTAAGTGGCTATAAAGTTTTAAATTTTCTTCCTAGCAATGGTTTTATGCACTCGTCTTGAAATTCAAGACCTTGTATAGAGAGTTATAACTACACCAGCCTTCAGAAACGTTAAAAGAGATGAAGTCAAGTTGTTTTCCAATGATCCCAAATCTCACACTGAAAGACTCATTCAATGTTTGGAAGAGATTACTTACACATAGCTTCCAAATATGACCGTAGACGGGCTTATGACAAATTTCCACATGAAGGGGCTGTTAATGTTACCAAAGCATTAAATACCTTCATCTCTTTTCTTTTCCAAGTATGATTGGATTTACTTCCATGATTTCACGTTTGACAACTTGCTTGTATAAACATCCTAAAAACCTTTTAGACTTGAACAACATAGACAACATGTGGATGATAGGATTTGTTCTTGAATATGAGATTTACATATTTATCAAAGATGATCTTTCGTGTTCGAGAAAGAAAGGATCAGAATCAATTGTTGATATATTATTTGGCAAAACGGGAAGTGAATAAACATTCTCTTCATTTATTAGTTTTGATCATAATGGTTTATAGACTGAAATAAATATTTAAAAGGATTATGTAGAGAAAAACTGTAGAATTTTATTTCTTTAATATCACTCAAATATACACATTTTTATGTATGTATTGGTTTCTCTTTTTCATATTCCCTAAATCTGGCTGAGAACTCATGGAGATTGAAAAAAACTTTCACTACTTATAAAAAATCTTCATTTAATGGATTCAACTTATTTTACACCTCAAGTGGGATGTCATTGTGTTATGGTTATGCAAGTTACAATGAGTTTATGAGATCATGCTAAATATTTTATTTCTGTCTTTGTGCTAGTCAGAAATTTCATGTTTATTTGTGTCATTGACTAAAATTGTCTATGTGAGTGTGTGAAGATATTATTCTTTTTACTTCACTTCATAAGCGTAAGCTTTATTTTATTTTGAATTCTTTTTCACCTCATTTTCATTTTATTGCTTCTCCAATATAGCTAGAATTTTTTAAAATTTCTTGACTTTTATTTATATATACATGCATGCATACATACAGATGAAGTGTCTTGCATATTAGCATTGATAAAAATTTCAACAATTAACCATTTACTTTTATCTTCAAAGAAATCAGAGATAGATGAACACGAAGTAGATGATATCCATATCTTGAGACTATTTTTTCACATTAGATAGGTATTTTTCAACTTAAGTGAATTTATCTTTAAAGTTTAAAAAATATGATGCTATAAAGTAAAATTTTATATTTGTTGTGTTTGTTGATGTTTTTGTGTTGATTAATTTTTACTATTGCGTTTGGATGATTCAAAAAAATTGATAAAAAATTATTGGAGTCAATGTTAAAGCAAACATAGTAGCTAAAATATGGTTTCAAACAAAATCCATTGAGCAATCAATTCTTTTGATTTCACAATCTTCATTTCAAGCACTAGTGAAAGAAGAATGACTAAAGTAGAGCTCA